CTCGAACGAAAATCCGTGAGACTCGTGAGCAAAAATGTTTTACAGTGCGATATCTTTTTGGCATGGTATTATGTAGATATTTGGGCTGAAAAGTGTCCCAAAAACCCAATTCTACAAGTGCTCTGAATGCAATTGAAATTAACTTATTTTGTATCACATTCCGATATTCCATATTACAAATTACTTTTCTCGATTTCAACGTCAGATCTCATTCCGGAATCTCATTTTGAGATCTTGTTTTCGAATCTCATCTCGAGATTTCATTTTTATTTTAACTATCTTAATATGCCATTCATGTATTGCTTATAGTATTGCTAATAGCAATTGAATTGAATTTCGCTATAATTCATTTGTTGTCAATTTTTGAATAAATATGGGTGATAACACTCATACTGATTGGCCCTTCGAGAGAGTGGGAGATTTTCAGAGATTGAATGATGCATTGACTGAACAACTGAATCAAGCTCGGTCATAAATATGAAAAATTAACTCAACAAAAACAAGATCTAAAAAATAAATTGAAAGATATCAAAACCCAGATGAAGGGACATTTTAAGTATTTTTTTCAATTTTTGTGATTATATTGGTTATCAAGTTGATAAATGTTCCTTTTTTTCTGTTTTTTATGCAGATTGGATAGCAGATCCGAACTGATTGATTTTGACGATAAAGTAAAAAAATTGGATAGTCAAATATGCGCGTCAAGGAATACCATTATCGGCAGCAATAATTATTGAATATGCTAAGCAAGAATCAGAAGAAATTAAAGGATCATGGCGCTGACTTAATAGGCTCGCAAATAGAATAAATTTGAAACTTGGAACTACTCATGGTCAAAGGTTATTTGCTGATTCGGTTAAGGTTGAATGATTCCCGGAAAAAACAATACCCAGGTTAATACTTGATTGGCAACATAAATTCCTTTATAATTGTGACGAAAGGCTACGTTTTAGAGCTAAGCTACGGTTGAAACTTATTTTATTTCTAAAAGCCCACATGTCGAAGATAAATTTTTTCATGAACGAATCAAAATATTGTTTTCAGTCAACAGAAACGGTGATAAGTTGGAGCCATTTGTTATCAATGTTTCTGCTCGTCCGAGATGTTTTTATTCTAATTGCAGAAAAAATAGATATTCACTTCGCAAAAATGCCTGGACGGACAGAGTTGTTTATACTGATTATTTAACAAGACTAAATGAGTCTCTAAAAAAGAAAAATTGTTTTAATACTTGACAATTTCAGTGATCAAAAAAATAGCTTTGAAGATTTTTCAATGATGGGTTTCCATTTTTTACAACATTACTCACTCAACCTCTTGATGGCGGCATCATGTAAGTTTTAAGTCAAAATATCTCTCTCTCTTTATGAGAAAAGTTATTAATGAAATACAGAAGTAAGTGTTAGTCAGATTTCGCATTTTGTATAGAAATTAAATTTAGATTGATTGATGCATGCAATGTTGGTTGTAATCAGACTTCATGAGTACAACAGATTCACTCTAAGAAGCATATTTACCATGTATTTCATTTAATTTCAAATTTTTCATTTTTTCGACGCAAACTTGGGTCATCAGTTACTCATCAACTACATAATTTTCAACATTGATTCGTATATCATTAGCTTTGTCTCTTTGAGTCCTAACTAATAATATATAATTGAATACTGTAACTTCATTACATTTCTTAAGACATTAACATCCCCGAAGTCAAAAGTTCAATGTATATACATTGGGAATATAATGGTGCAATTCATCCTGGCGACCTTACTATTTAACAGAAATAAACAACCGACGAACATAATAAATATATCATAAGAAAGAGCATAAAACAATAATGTTTTCATCATTAACTCAGTACATCGTTCGGAAGCGCTTGAAAAGGGCTTTCGAATGATGTAAGTTTCATTAAATTTAACTTGATGATTTATTGAAATTTGACCCAAACATGATTGTTTCTTGATTCTACTGTTCATGATTTTCATGGTATTCAAATCACTCTCATCTTACCTACTGTCATTAACTCTGATCATCTTCAGAATATAATAATTGACTCAACCCTTTGCAGTGTGCTTCACAAATGTTCAGCTTAGCTTTAAAAAACTCAAACATAATTACCACATGTTTCCTTCACAATTCTTTCTCCTTAACTTAAGCTTACACAAAACCAGTTTTTTGCTCCAATAACCTAAAGGTTATATTCCAAGTGTCTTGGTTATGAAAATGAGAGTTGAAAAACTAAATTTGAGAGAGAGAGAGTTAACCTTAACACAACAGTTGTGATGTAGACCAGAGAAGTAAACTTGTAAACCTTTCTTTAAATTTTTGCCTCAAACTAACAGAATCGGGCTGAAAATGGTTATCGTGAAACAATAGTCAATTTCTGGTGCCACTGTGGATACATCGGCTCAAATCAAGAAAATAGTTCCTTGTCAAATTGTAAAAAACGAGCTGAATAATTTATTAGTGCCTTAAATAATCTTTCTGTTAACCATTGTTCTTAAAATGATCTCATGGAGTCACAACATTTTGAATTGATTAATTATTTTGGTGATGGGAAGTAGAATATTTATCTTTACACATTTTGTTGGTTGAATAGTGAAAATGGACGAGAGGTGCAGTATCTGGAAGGTGACTGTAATGAAACTTGATCAATAAACTCTAATAACTCTTCTGAATTTGATATCGAACTAAGTTCATTGTTGATCATTTGATTATAAATACATTTATTATATAATTGTAGTCATTTCTTGCTTAGCTAACAAAAATTGACACTGGATGATATCAATAGTTTAACCGATTTGAATAACATACAATAATTATTTATGAGGTCGATTGAAATTTTTGACAAGCTACAATCGCAAAATTTAATCTCAGAAATTTTGTTAACCACTCATATTGTTGATTGGCTTTGAAAGTTCCGTTGACCTGATTTAAAATAAAACAAAAGATATATTTGATGATAAAATGCTGAAAGAAAATGAAACAGACTTTAAGGTCAAGAAGAAAGGCTGATTTAAATGGTTTGTTTGAATGTAAACTGTCAATCAGGTAAATAAATATGGTGTTTAGGAAGAAATTCAATGATGAGGACATAATCCATGAATGAATTGTTAGAGTGACATCTTTCTTTGCCTAGTTTCCAATTAAGGCCAAGCTTGTGATAGAGACGATTATTTTCACTGTACAGTAGCTTCTCTAAAGCATTTCGAGTACGTTTCGATAAAGCTAGTGTTGGCCATCTAGTAAAAAGGACGCGTGCATTGATTGAATGATGACTTTTCAAGAGATTATTAACTCGATTTATGGTAGCCTCAAACTCGTTACCACGAGTCTTTATTTTTTTCATTTTGGGTTAATCAATGTCAGGCATTGAAATAATATTGCTCTCATTGGAATGAGATTCATGATTAGATTCAATCTCTTCAATAATATCATCAAACTGTTGTCTATTCTGATTGCTTGAGCTTAATTTTTTATCCATACTAAAAAAATGTTTGGAAGAGATCGCAGCTTAGGAAAATTATGATTGGTTTAATTGGTTTGTTTGTTCGTCAATTTCTTCGTAGAACGGAGTGACATCGCTTTTGATTCGATGTTTGTAAACAAGATGATTGATGATTATTTCTTTGTCCGAGAAATTATTAGAGCATATTTTACATTTGAATTTTCCAGAAGAATCAACTGATTCCTGGGGTATCTCGGGTATCTTTTGGTGTCCATCTTCTACTAAATAGCCGAAGTGTTGAGTGAAATTTTTGACGATTTGATGAGCTAGATTAAGGTGCTGTTTAAACGTAGAAAGAAACAAAAAATGGGATTAATGAATTACTTTTCTACGAAAAACTTCAACTTTAACTTACTTTGAACATGTTTGATCTTGATCTGTATTTGACATCACAATGGTTACAGATACAAATGTATCCGTAATGTGTTGAATATTGGTGTTCTCTGATTCCACAATAAGTTTTACATTCTTTTGCACAAGAAATGCATTGGTAAACCTTCTTGTTCCCTACTCTGATAACCTCATAACAATCTTTATTTATATCAGGAATGCGTGATGATAATCTCTCGAATGGTTTAACCGAGCTAGTTGTTAGACTTTTATTGCCTTCAATTAAAGGTTCTTTCAAATCATCTTCTTCGTCGATTTCTTCTTCTTCATCCTCAATGAGATCTTGATGTGAAAGATTTGATGGAAGATCGTCCGATTGCTCAATTTTAATTTCATTGCCATTAACTGAGTTAATGATTTCCATTGTATTCTAAAAAACAGAAGAGAAAGGAAAAGATTGTAATATTTCAAATAATAATTGCGTTGACAGTAACTCACCTCTGGTTCAAGAGAAGGTTCAGGATTTAAATCAGGTTCACTAGAAAACTCTTTTCTTTGTCTTGTTACATAAGTGTCTTCAGAACTTGTTCGTGATTTATGATAATTGCGAATATGTTTAACAATATCAGCCCTCCAAACAGAAACAAAAGGACATCTTTTACACCGGAATTCAAGGTGATAATGTTGAGTCTCAATATGAGCTTTGATTGAGGTCCAACAATGTACAACATAGTTGCAGAGATTGCAAGTGTATTCATCTTTGTTTGCTGTTTTAGTGTAATATTTTTTGGTACTGTAAAGCCCGGCCCCAGGTCCGTTTTTTCGTAATTTAACTGGACTCCCATTTGAATCATAAGAAACATCGTTATAATTAATATCATAAGAAATTCTGTTATGGTTTCCGTCTTGGTTATCGTCGATGAAAGAAGTATAGCCCCTCAATTCCAATTCATTGTCATTCATGTCAACACTATAATTCCTTTCTTCAAGCATATTGGGTTTTTCATCGTAAGGATAGTCCAATTCAAGCTCAGGGTCAGTTTGAGTGCCATCATTTGCTATGGACGAATTTTTCTGCGATGCTTGATCTACACGTCTTTTTCTATTCTTTTCAAGTCTAGGATCTCTTGAAGATGTGTCTTTGACTCCTGGTCTCACAATAACTGAACTTGATTTGGTATGAACGTCATTTGATGAATTGTTTACATTTCCTGAGTTTCTATTATTGACTGGTGAAGGTGGAGTTTCGGGAGTTGGAGGTCTAGAGACTGCAGAGGTAGCAGCGATAGCAGCTGCAGATGTTATTACACCAATAGAACCGGCACCGCCATTAATAGGATCACGATAAGGCACAGGCGAAGCCATAACTCTGATGAAACCATTGCGTCCATTTCTTAATGTCAATTCAATATCCAACATACGAGCAACATTTTGCAGCCCAGTTAATCTAGGATTACTGACTTCAGCATAAGTTAATGAATAAAGCACATGAAAAAGGCACTTTAGATCTCGTATTGAATTGTTTTTCAAGTGAACAGCCGGTTTATTGCCGTTTAAACCACTGGAAAGAGGAGCCTTGGATTGATATGATTCCAAAGCTTCTCCAAGTAAACGCGAGTAGTTAGTCAAGATAAAACGATTGCCAGTAATACAACCATCACGACAGATGAATGTTATCTTATCCCAGCTCATGATGAAATGCTGATGGTAACGATATTTATGTATAAAATGAATGTGATTCTCTAAATTATCTAATTAAGGCTTTTATCTTTTCCGTTCATTAATTTAAATTGACATTCTTAACAGAAAAGAAACGTTGTCATGGTAGCAAAAATATTAATTTAATTCAACAGGAAAATTCTAATGAGATATCAGTGTTTTAATAGCAACTAGCAGGCACATTCAGGTTAAGCATTGTCAAATAGAGATACCTGAAAAGAACAATAGAGAAGATAGAAGAAAGAAATGACATCCATCAGAATACAGTTAAAAATAAAATGAGTAGAAGAATAACATTGTGGGAAATAAGGTGAAAAACACAAATCCAAGCAACTTACCTTGTGAGTTGATAATCTTGTAATAATCCGAAATAATAAATAAAAATTAAAATCAATAAATAAACAGGGTAAATAAAAAAAATGAAAACAATCAGCTCTGGAACATTTGTTAATCCATCAAATAAAAATATAAAAGCTATTCCTACTAAAAAACAAGTCAAAATAGAGAGTATTCAATGAATGCTGTTCATTGCTCTCTGCTTTTAGGAGAGGCTGGACGATTCAGGCTGGATCGCCACAGTTGTACAAACATTTCACAGAATGTGAAAGGGAATATTTCATAAGTTACATTTACGTCATTATATTTTATTAAATATCAAATACTCAATTATTATTAATTTTTCTTTCTGTTTCCATTTAATAATAATTCTGAATAACTAGCTTGTTATTAAATGCCAAATTAAAGAAATGCTAAATATTGATTCTAGAGCAACGGTGAAGATGTAGTTTTGAATATTGTATCTTTACGTTTTGCAGCCATGAATCCACTTATTCTGATTGTTTGCCCCAATTTACATAATCATTTAACTGAATCGCTGATTATCAATTTGTACTCTAAAAGTGATATCAGCGCATCAACCAAATTTTATTGGGAACATTTAAAATGTAAAGATTTACTGAGATTTGGGTTAGACTTTAAGGGTTAAAATTTTACCTTCATGAATTTTCATATTATGTTAGATGCCTAGAGAATCATGGAGTTGTATCAAATAAACCTGAATTGAATGGTGAAGATAATCTTGAATAGGTTGTAGGTTCTGCGGTAAAATCGGAAACACAAATATTTGATACTGATACGATATCATTACAATGTTGGTTGTTTAGCTAATCTCCAAGTGAACATCAATAAATACTGAATCATTACTATTGATTTCAATGATCTACTCTGATTAAATACAGTCAAATACTAATAAGTAATTGATAGCAGAGATTGTCTCGGTGCAAATGACTATTTATGTTACTGATACAATTGTAAACAAAATTCACTGAAAATATTATATTGATAGTTTTCCAAGTATGGTTGGATATTTTTTGAAATGAATGAATTTTGTTAACAGGCTTATTAAATTTCGTAAGATAAGCAATTTTGAAAAATTATTACCCAAAACTTTATTTTGAAGTTGACGCCAGTATTCCTAAAATGATGTCATCATGCTTATCTCAACAACATTTTTGTTACAACAATCAACAAAAGGCAAAATATCTATGAATCTTTCCGATGACGACAGTGGTATTTACAGTGTAATGAGGTCTCTAGCCCCAAATGAATTGACTAACAAATACACTTTTCTGCCTCTAATTATGAGACAATAATATTGTTCCTGATTTACCAATTTAATTTTTGATTTATTTCAATTGTCTCAACTTTAAATATAGCAATGAGAATCTTGAAAATATAAATTGTTCATGTGTTTAAAATCTTGATATTTTGCTCTAATATGTTTAGTCAAAGAAAATTGAAAATGAAGTGAAATCATTTCTTGAACTTACCAATGACTATTTATCTGACCACTGGCTTGTCAGCATTATGTTATTCATTTCTTGCTATAATTTGATAATACAATTTGCCAATGCCCATCAAATATATTTTCATTTAAATTATTTTATGATGGTCGTCTTAATTGTGTTTCCAAATTCATTGTTACTGATATCGAGTACTATCACTTTTATTAGAATCACGTATATTGTATTCTTATTCAGAGTACCCGCCGTTTGCAAATTGTACACTTATCGATAGGATTTGTTTGTACTCTGTTGACTAATGCCTATACTAATAGAAATATAATCAATAAACCCTGATAATTCTTCTGAATTTATTATCTAATTAAGTTTATTGTTGATCATTTGATTATGGATAGTCATTTCTTGCTTAGCTAACAAAAATTGACACTGGATGATATCAATATTTTAACCGATTTGAATAACATACAATAATCATTTATGGGGTCGATTGAAATTTTTGACAAGCTACAATCGCAAAATTTAATCTCAGAAATTTTGTTAACCACACATATGGTTGATTGGCTTTGAAAGTTCCGTTGACCTGATTTAAAATAAAACAAAAGATATTATATATTTGATGATAAAATGCTGAAAGAAAATGAAACAGACTTTAAGGTCAAGAAGAAAGGCTGATTTAAATGGTTTGTTTGAATGTAAACTGTCAATCAGGTAAATAAATATGGTGTTTAGGAAGAAATTCAATGATGAGGACATAATCCATGAATGAATTGTTAGAGTGACATCTTTCTTTGCCTAGTTTCCAATTAAGGCCAAGCTTGTGATAGAGACGATTATTTTCACTGTACAGTAGCTTCTCTAAAGCATTTCGAGTACGTTTGGATAAAGCAAGAGTTGGCCATAATAGGGAACATCCAAATGAACAACAACAGCATAGACATCCAATTAAGAGAACGCGTGCATTTATTGAATGGTGACTTTTTAAGAGATTATTGACTCGATTTATGGTTGCCTCAAACTCTTCCTTTGACACTTTACCAATTAAGCTTGTTGGATATCCATTTGAAAATGTATTGGATAGGCCAAACAGAGTCATGTTACCGTTTCCACGGATCGTTATTTGCTCCATTATGGGATAATCAATGTCAGGCATTGAAATAATATCACTCTCATTGGAATGAGATTCATGATTAGATTCAATCTCTTCAATAATATCATCAAACTGTTGTCTATTCTGATTGCTTGAGTTTACTTGTTCACCCATGTTTCCACGTGGTAATTGAGGCTTTATGTCCACATTATAAGCACCTTTGGTAAGTTTGGTTCATGTAGAAGATGGTTGTGATCAATAGCGAATAAAATAATATAGTTTCACTGGTCAATTAGTCCAATAATAATGACACTTGCCACATAATGCCACTACCAGATAATGACACTAAATTTTGAGATGTTCCCTTTCAAACTTTCCTTTGTTTACATAAATTGGAATTATATTGATCATTCGAAATAACAATAAAATGATTAGATAGATAAATTTTTTGGTTAAATCAATAAGAATATAAGCGTTGAGGATTAAGTTTGACAAATAAATGATTGATAAGGGAAAATGTAAGATGCACAAATTACATAGTAAGGTTAGCTCATAGTTAATATAGCATGAATAGTAGGAATAAGCTATTTCAAGATTTTTACAAGACAGATTTGACTATTTTGACTATCTTTAATACTAAACACAAACACAAAAATATTTAATGTTGATCAGTCAATAAATGAATCAATTATTTACTTTTAATGTTACAGTTTTTTACAAGAGCATTTCGATCACCATTTAAATGTAAAATCAATCCAACATCTGAAAGCAAAACAAAAATGAAAACAAAGACATTATTTTTAAAAACTTAATCAGCAGAGGGCAGCAGTCAAAATCCTTGATTTTTTCAATTCTGCGATAATTCAATTGGTCGAAGCTCGGCTCTAAATTTAATTACGAATCCAATCGATTAATAACGAATAATCAACACAAATTAATTCATCGCCTATGTAATTTTTGCCTTTATAAAAGATAATGTAAGTCGAGCTTTAAATGAGGCATAAAAATATCTTATTTACACAATAAATATTCAATTTAATTTCTAATTTTAATTCGACATTGCACTGATAATAATACAATCAAAGGCTACAATAATCACAACCTCATTTGTGTTACCAATGTTTTATATAATGGTAATCAAGAATAATTTTCACAATTACAGTTACATATTGATATAATTACCAGGATGCAGAAAAATTGGCAATTTTCAATTTTCTGGTGCGACATACAACTTAAGTTTTATGCTTTTACATATAATAAATCTTTATAAATTTTCTTGCTCGATATAATATATTTGAGAGTAATACTTTTAGGTTTAATCTCATTTTAGGTATCTTTGGCCTTCTGAGATGGACAACAGTTTTGACTATTCATCTGTAAAGTTATCATACAGCGATTTTCAATTCTATGTATTGATGCATTTGGGTAATCCTGGAAAACTGGTTAACATGGTAAATTTTCCCACAGTTTAAGTTGAACAAATGTGTCATTACAATGAAAATTTTGCTGCAAGTGTTTCAAGTTGATCTTGGTTTCCAAACTCGATTGGTGTTTGGGTTTGAGTGTAAATTGGCTATTTTACACCCTTCATGCCAAAAGGCAACGGGTTGTTCACATCAGTTGACAATATAATACAAAAGGTCCAAGAAAAGACAGAGAAGGAAAGATTCAATTTGTTAATTTGCGCAATTTAAACTTGAAAAGTTAGTCTGAAAGACTTAAGAGACAAGATAGACGTTATGACTTGCTATTACTTATTTCAGCTCTTGGTTTCCACATGAATGTTGATCAAAATAGTGGAGATTTGATCAAATTATTGAGAATTGTAATAGACAAGTCTGGAATTAAGTTTCACAGATTTGATCAAAAATCATTAATATTTGCATGACTAGTAACTTTTTTTCTTGCTTTTAGTTTCGTGTTTTTTTTCAGATACTGAAACACAACCTTGAGGTTTGATGTACAACTAATTATTTGGGCGATTGAAGATGCAATCAAAAGAGTGAGTGAGTATTTTTGGTGAACTGATTATGAACAAAATGAGAGGAAACTAGGAAAGAGTGATCACAGGGAAAACAGTAATAGATTATAATAACAATAATTGTTAAGTTATTTCTTTGCTGATTCAATACGAGGAGAGAAATCACTTAACAAGCGTATCATTTCAATTTACACAGGTAATGAAAGCAAAAGAAATTTCTCTGCCTTCCAAAACTCTGAGTATCAATTCTGAGACGAAAATTTATTCTTCTCTTTGACTCAAGATTTTTTAGATTGGTGACTGTCAATTTACAAAGGACAAAATGGAAATAACTGAAACGCTGAAATGGATTTCCATTTTGTTCATGTGAGCTGAGAAGTAAACTCAGCGAAGACTATCCTGAACTTATTTTAGAGATTTAAATTATTGCTTCGAAACACTTTATCATTGTAATTATTATTGGAACTCCATAGAAGAAGTGAATTGTGTTTCCTCCTTCTATGCAATGATATTAATCCTCAGTTAAAGGTTACATAAAAAAGCTGAGGAGGAAGGAAAGAGTTTCCTCTTTTTCCCTAGGAAAAGGTAATAAACAAAAAATCAAAAAATTAACCTTCGAATAGCGAGAAAATGGAAGAAAAAGGACTTTTATCTGATATACACCTCTTTCCAAATGGATGGGAATCATTTGCTCTGAGGATGAAATTCATTTGCCATTGCTTTCCATTAACTCTCCTTTGGCTCAAGATTAAAATGAAAATATGTATTGTATTTGATAACATCAAGGCGAATCATGGTAATTCAAAACTTTAAACTGTTATCAATCAATTTGGTAAATTGTTTTATGTCTTTTTGAACAATTGAAAACTCAATTGCTCGTAAAGTGTATGGAAGTGAGTTAAAAGACACTAAGGTCTTCTCATGAAATAAGTGTTAACCCTCACCTTCATCTGAAATTTAAAGTGAAAGTTGATAACAATAAAATAGATAAAATGGTGAATGATATTGACCAGAACCGAACAGTAGGTTCAAAATTAACAATTAATAAATCTCACTACAAGCCTCAGTCGTGTGTTAATTGTATCATCAAGGTGATCGTGAAGGGAAATGAGGCAATGATGATGATAATGTATTAAAATCACCAATCATAAGATTGGAAATTGTTAGGCTGCTGTTGAGTTGAAACATTGATCGTGATGGGATTAATTGGGTTGGATAGATTCTTGTAATCAATGTCAATACTTTTGTCACTTTTAACGTCCAATGAATGAGTATCGAAATAGCTTAAAACTTGGTCCATTTGTCGGAAACCATCCCGTATTAAATCACTTTCTGTTATGGGTTCACTTGGACTATTTTGATCTCCAAGTATAACCTTAAGTCCATAAGGTATATTATTATCTTGGCTTGGTGATAATTTATTGGACCTATTGGATTCGAAAGACAAAGGAGAAACACGATGATTCCATCGATTAAAATTTGGATTAGATCCATCAATTCCGGGACCAGTCATATTAAAAGTTTCACTTGATCTATCCGACTGTGGCCATCCAGAGGAAAATTGTTGTTGGCTTTGGTTGTGTGATGCATTTGGAGTTGCCAAGTTTGTTTTTGAAGCTGTTCGAGTTATGGGTGCTGAAGGTACACCATGTGGTGCTAGTCCGGCACCTCCTTCAAGGCAAACTTGATGCTCTATGTCATCCTCAAGCCAACGGAAGCCAGAATTGGTTCGCTGGGAGTTAACGAATATGAAAAATGCCAAAACAAGGCCACAAAGTAAACCATAGACTGCAAATGTTGGCCGAGTACCAAATTTATTGATGAATATGCCACCTAAAATGGCTCCCGCACCTCTACCAAATCCATGGTGTAGTCCTTGCAAAACACCCTGAGTTGATGATTTAAGATGAGGTGGAGTTGCTTGGGTAATGTAAGAACAACAAGCTGCCCAAACTCCGGCATGAGTTACTCCTTGCATTAATTCAAAGGGCAATACAAACCAAGGATTATCCAAGTAGGCGATGTATAAAAACCGACCAAAATTGCATGCCAGACCAAAACAAAGTACCTATTAGAGAGTAAATCAAAATGATCAGTTCATTATGTCAAAACCTGATTAGTTGGTTCGATTCAGTCGTATTTTGATAGTTGGTTTACAAAATATGATCTGACTCATCGAAGTATCAACTAGACATGAAATTGTATACATTCCAATCAGTTGGTTTGATGAAATAAACTCACCTTGGTGTGTCCATACTTTTTGATATACTCTAAAGAGTAGAAAAATGCAAAAATTTCAGATATGTGGTTAATTACAGAAGCAAGGCCAAAAAGTGTTGGTGTTCCTCCAAGATCTTGAAGATGCCAAAAGAGGAAAGCAAATACCATACCAATACCTGCACCCATAAACCACGTAACAAATAGGAAAGCACCATATCTGAGATTTGCAAATGTTTTCAATACTTCAACCCATTCGGGCATTTCTCGCGTTCGTTGAGCGAAAACAGCTGACTTCCATTTGTCGATAAATTCAAATTTCCGGTCTTGCTGTAGTCCAGGAGGAGGATTTATTGGTGGTGCAGTATTGAATATTGGCTTTGGACCAGGAGTTTGATAGGGTTTCATGGGAACTGAATCAATACCCGATGAGCTCTCTTCCACTGACCTACCAGGTTGATCGGGAAAACGAAACTGATACGCTATGGCAGATGCGATGACCATAAGAACAGCAAAAATGGAGAAGCAAACTTTGTAATTACGTTCACTTTCATGTGGTCCACAAGGATGATTGGTAAATTCAGTAGAGTTATCCAGTGCCATTCCCACAAAAAACATTGATATAGCCCATCCAGCGGAACCAAACATTCGTTGGCGTCCATAGAGATCAATTCGATCACCAAGGTAATCAAGTGTAACTGAATCGGTAAGTGTTATAGCTGGAGCACTGAAAAATTCACCAATTAACACCAGAAGCAATAGAAGAAGAAAAACCGATTCAACATCCTCCCATTTGTAAACAACAGTGCTGAATGGGGGTGAAACATAAGAAGCATGAATATCCTTGTTGAAATTTAAAGTATAATCAATTGGAATCGGCGATTTTCCAATAACATGAGCTGGTGGAGGTCTATGTCTATTTGCATTAGTTCGTGAATTAGTTGATCCACGTTTGACCCGTTTTTTGGCTCTATGTTCAATCAAATCTTCATTTTGATCTGGCAGTATTGCATTCAAATCATGAGACTGTAAATTTTCTTCCTCACTAGCTCGGCGATCTCTTCTTTGCGGCGTTATTGACATTTCAAAATCGTTATCTGATTCATCTGAATAAGGTGTAAACAAAATATGATGAGTCTCATTAAAAGTGACACATGCAGTCGCCGGTGGTCGTATATATGCCATTGCACAAGTGAAAACAATCCAGGAAAACATGGAAGCCATAAGAAGTATTTTACCCTTGTTAAAACGGTCTGCCATGGAACCCCAAAAAGGGGCTGAAAATATTTCAATAAAAGGTCGTATACCAGTTAATAACCCAACTTGGACTGAGTTCATTCCCATTTGTTTGAAATAGACTCCTGTCAACGGAAACAAAGATCCAAAGGCAGCATAAAAGAAAAAATAGAAACCTTTTGACATCAACAAATCTCGATTGGTGAGAATCTCTTGGATTAAGTCAACAGTCTCTGAGCTACGTTTATGTTCAGGTACTCCGGTTGAACCATTATCATCCAGAGTTATGGTTTCCGTGTAACCCAAATCAATGGGTCGATTTGAATAGATACCAGGATCATCTCTATCACCAGAATAGTCACTATAACCGCCACCGCCTCCACCGCCGCCAACTGATTCTGACAGAAATGGATTGTAATTTGATGAGGAAGCTGTTGATCGTTGAGATTCACTTTGAGTATATCTTGGTAATTCCATGGTGGTTGAACAACTTAACTTTTCCCTCTCTTTATATTTGGTGTTGTTTGGAGGTAAAACCAGCAAAAGGCAAGGAAAGAGATGAAAAGATAACTAACAGTTAACTAGTGATTAAAAGGTTAAGAAGTTGAATATGAATATTATAAATCGTTTTCAGATTAACGACAAGGTTAAAGGAGAGGTTAAGTAAGATCAAGTAAAGCCCAAAAAGGCATAAAAACAAAATAGCTACCAATCAATGAAATTAAAATGCATTCCTAGACCTCCAAAAATGAATAGATGAATCAAGGTGCAAATAATGGAAATGCTTTCCTCTATACTTTCTTCACCTTTTCATCATCCTCATCTTCAACCTCTGGTTTTATCATTTAGTATTATTTTTGCTTTCTTTTCTTTCTCATTCTTCTCGTTTCCCTCCTACTCATGAGTGTGGTTAAGAAAGTGTGAAACGAGATCCATTTTGGGATCCATTTTATTCTGACATTTTTCATTGATTCACTACCTTCGATCGATAACCTCTGTCTATGAAGACATCTGCGACAATCTATTATCTAAACCAACCTGGACCATTTAGTATCATTAAAATAGATGGTTGACCACCAATTATCAATTAATGCGATCAAAAACAATAATTTCAATCCATAAATCTTATTATTATTACTTACTGAATAAGTTACTAAATTCAGTTTTTTTGCTATTTCATTGTATGCGCAAAAGATACCCAAATGTACAAAAATGTTAAAGATGCTCAAAATATGAAGCCTAACGATTTATGGTTAGTCTATTATGAAATTCAAATCATGGTAAAAACTTGAGAAACTAAATTTAGTTAAATACATTTCAGTTGAATAAAAGATTAATTAATAAACAAATGCTAGCTGTAAATACCCATTAATGATAAATTAACAAGACATACCAATTTTTGCTAAACTGATTAATAGGCATATCAACTTACTGGAGTTTTAATTGAACAAAAACATAATTATAAGAGGCTTGAAACCTAAACGAAGATTTCATCAGATTGCTGAAATTGAAAGATTAACAGGATTTTTGTTGCATTCACCAGTTAATCAGTTTAAAAAGCGAGAAAAATAGTTGAGGGCAAAATTTAAAAAAAGCGGACAACAACAAAAACAGAGTAGCCAATGACAACGCTCAGGGAAAAATTGTAGATATATTTTGTGATGAAATTTTTGAGTTAAAAATATCTTGAATTTATTCTATCCTTTTCTGAATATCAACTCTAATCTTCTGGAATCTGTGCACTTTAGATTTATGTATCTGACCAATTCTAAACAGATTCACTTTCTATTGGTCTTTCAATCTGTTTATTGGTTTTTAGTGACTTTCGTTCTCAATCGGTAAATCTCCTTCTGGTATTCTGTTCTCGATGGCTCACCGTCAAAGTTGTCCAAAATGTGGTTCTAGTGATTTAGAAACTGATGCCGCCCGTGGAGATACTGTCTGCACCAATTGTGGATCTGTGCTAGAGGATAATTTGATAGTCAGTGAGGTGCAGTTCCAGGAAGGTAGTCATGGAGGCTCGAATATTATTGGGCAAACCATTTCAGTTGATAATGGTTTTCAAGGGCTATCCATGGGTGGTATGATGGCCAGTGGTAAAGAATCCAGGCAAATTACTTTGGATCGAGCTCGAAAAAGAATCAAAGCTATCGGTGCTTCTTTAAGTCTAAACAATCATTGTATGGATATGGCTTTTAACTTTTACAAAATGGCTCTCAGTCGCCGACTCACTTGTGGGAGAAAAAATAATCATGTTATTGCTGCTTGTGTTTACATTACTTGTCGCCTTGAAGGAACATCACACATGCTTCTTGACTTATCTGATCTAATGCAGGTCAACGTTTATGAACTCGGACGTACTTATTTGAGACTTTCATGTGCTCTCTGCATAAATATTCCTGTTTTAGATCCATGTTTATATATTGTAAGATTTGCTCATAGATTAGGCCTTGGAGATAAAACTCATGACGTTGAGATGACAGCTCTTCGTTTAGTGCAAAGGATGAAAAGGGACTGGATGCATACAGGACGAAGGCCATCTGGGCTATGTGGAGCTGCTCTTCTTGTGGCAACTCGATTAAATAACATAGATCGCTCTGTGAAAGAGGTTGTAGATATTGTAAAAGTTTGTGAAACTACCATCAGAAAACGTTTAAATGAATTCAGTGATACACCAACAAGTAAATTGACTTTAGAGGAGTTCATGACGGTTGACCTGGAAGGAGAGGAAGATCCTCCTTGTTACAAGATGGCGAATAAGAAGGTTAAATCGATAGTTGAGGATAAAGAACAACTGGAACAAGTTGAAAATGAGGTGGCCAAAATTCAGCAGCAAATTGAAGAAAAGCTTGAAAGCATACGGAAAAAATTTCGCTCGCCATTCGTTAAGAGTTCAGAAACGCAAGAAACAGCTGACAAACCTTCGAAGGAGGAAGATGAAGATGAAGATATCGATGTAGAAGAAGTTGTTGAGAAAATCGTGGAAACAAATCATTTCAATATAATCAGAGAAATTGTTGGTCAAGATAATCCACAAGCTGATTCTTTTCTTCAGCAACTTCAAGCTCTTCGACCAACTGCTGCTAGTTTAGGAATCAGTTCATCTTTAAATGTAGGGTTCACTAAAGGACTAAAAGACGAAGATCCAAACGCAAAAAGACGTGCTTCTAGTGTATCATTCAATGGTGAAATTAACAATGAAGAAGATGTCGATAATGAAGATGACAATGAAACTGATGTAGACGACGAAGATATGGATTCGATTAAAGAGGAGAATCAAGCAGCAGACAATCAAGAATCGGGGGAATTGGATCTTGAAGGGATTGATGATGCTGAACTAGATAATTACATTCTTAGTAACAAAGAAATACAAATAAAAACCAAACTTTGGCATAGAGTTAACGCTGAGTATCTCAAAGAGATGGAAGAGAAAGAGAAAAGAAAAGCCGAAGAAGAGGCTGAAAGAGCGAAGAAAGAGAGTTCAGGTGAAATGCCACCGAAAAAGAAACGAAAAAGCAAAAAGAAAACACCAATTGAAGCAAATACCGCTGGAGAGGCAATAGAAAAGATGTTGGAAGAGAAAAGACTTTCCAATAAAATTAATTACGATGTATTAAGAAGATTGTAGGCATTATTCAAATTTCTTTTTTATTTCACACTAGACACCTTTTTTTCCGACAAATCAAAATGATTGATATTTTCAACAATCTTTCTCCAATGTTAATACTGAACGAATTCACTTTTGAAATACTTTCAAAAGGAAGATGTTAATAAATAAAAATTAATTTTCAATTTTGATTTATGATTTTTATTTTTGGGAGTGAAAAGTTGATAATTTCATGATAATCGCAGAGAGGATTGTCATATATGACGAATTTTGATTTACTAATAGGGGAGGATCACTTGTTGCTATACGATTAGCTTTTTTAGCATTTCACGTTATTCCATCAGAGCATTTCTGTTTCACGAAATGTTTTAGGAGCAAATAATTGAAATGTACTCAGTTGTGAATTAATAACATGAATATATTATTAATTGGTTCCATATTGAGTAGAAGATCGTGTTCTAGATATATCTTGTTTGGTGGTGTTTTTTAATCAATTGATAGTTTTATTACTAATTTTCACAAAAATTTGATTCATAAATGAGACAAGGAGAGAGAGAGAAAGAAAAAAGAGAAAGAGAGATTGGAGAGAAGGTTCAAGAGGTGAGAGGCTTGACAGATATATAGAGGGGAGAGATGTAGGAGAAATTTTGTTTGGCGGTGTTGTGTGTATCAATTTTCCACCGAAAAAGGGGATAAAAGCGTGAAACATTGCAAAATAACGACAATTAAAAGATAAGACACTTCGTCCTCTTCTTCCTTTTAGTCTGGAGAGCAGCGCGAGTTGCCGTCTCAAAGACTTCTCGGACACCTTCCTTGGTTTTAGCAGAGCATTCCAAATAACCATAGGCGTTTATCTTCTCAGCCATAGCTCGGCCTTCCTCTGGTGTTACCGGCTTCTGTTTCATTTTTGATAACTCCTTAATAGTATGGCTATCATTACGAAGGTCTTTCTTATTTCCAACAAGTATAATGGGTACATTGGGGCAGAAGTGCCGTACCTCAGGTGTCCACTTTTCCGGAATATTTTCTAAACTGTCTGGACTATCAATTGAGAAGCACATTAAGATGACATCAGTGTCCGGGTAAGAAAGGGGACGTAACCTGTCGTAATCTTCTTGTCCAGCAGTATCCCATAATGCCAATTCAACCTGAGTGAATGAGAGAGGGTTGAGGAAAGAGAAAACAGATTGCAAATGTCATTATGAACGTTTAGAAGGGTTTAAAATTGTAAAATCTAAAGAATCAAACGAAAAAATGGATGATGTTATACGGATGAAATAGGGAATGTACTTTACCTGTTTACCATCAACCTCAATGTCAGCAACATAGTTTTCAAAAACGGTTGGCACATAGACCTCAGGAAACTGATCCTTACTGAAGACAATTAACAAGCAGGTTTTACCACATGCACCGTCTCCTACAATTACTAATTTCTTTCTGATGGCCGCCATTTCCGCTCTAATTAAAAAAAACTAAGGTACTAGGTAAGGTGAGGTGAGGTTGAAAAAAAACAGAGAAAAAAAGAAACAGAAAATAAGATAGACAGATTTATGCTTATGGATGCTTAAAATGAGAAAGAGTAAAAGAAAGAGAGAAAAGATCAACACTTTCTGTTTCACTGTTCTACTCACAGACTCACAAAACTAAATTCATACTCATAGAAAAAGAGAGCAAAAAAGACAGAAAAAAACAAATAAGACAGTTGCAGTTGCAGCAGAGAAGAGACAATAAAGAAAGAGGAGGATGAAAGAGAGAAGATGAAGATAAGCGACGAGAAAGGGGGTTAAATGGGGAAAAAAAAATTAAATGTACGGGGTGTAGCTTATGTTAGGGGAAAAATATCTGAGTATACAGAAAATTATGTTTTTTCCCCTAAACTTGAGCATAAACTTTCTCAACACCCCATAGCTCAGATCATAACTTTCAAGCAACAACCAATGTAACCACACCTCGTAACCAAGCTAAAAACTCAACTAAACTTGCACAAATGGCGATGTTGTCAAGGGAACATAAATTTAACTTACAAATTTCAATGTTGACCGCCAATATTGAAAGATTACGCCGAAAAATGGGATTAATTAACACATAAATCGAATGGTAAAGGTCCACAATAAATACCGTTCACCGAAATGAGATGGATTCAATTGAAGATGAAATAAAACAAAACAAAATTGTCACTTGGATAGGGTTAAAAACTGATAGAACTCATCTCATCACTTGCCCATCAACCTTTTTCAAAAGTAACTCCCTCATCTCCATCCTAAATATAAACTGTAAATATAGATGGCGGTACTACTCTCAAGTTTTGCTTCATAAAACGGTATCAATGACAAATAAATGTTCAAGCGTTTATAACGGAAAAACTGATCAACTCGGCAAATTTGAATCAATCAAAATGTACACCAATTACCTTCGATAATTAATTTTTTCCAATGTAAGTTTCTTCAGAAAAGAGCCGATTACAAATCTTTAATGGCTCACAAAATTAATTAACTTTAGAGAAACAAATTATTTATGAAATTATTTTTTAATTCAAGTAGATCAATATTCATTAAAAAATTATTAGAAGCGATGAAAAAAAAGATTCAAAAGAGTAGTTTTCTGATTCAACTGACAGGTCTTTTGCCGATGAAAATGATTATCCTTGAATAAATCGCTTGTGACTTTTTGTTCGATTGATTTTATCGAAACAAGTTAACACGAAAAAATAAAGTCAGCAGCTATACAAAGATAATTGCAAATGTTCAAATTTATTAGTCGCGGTTTAATCATTTTCTCGTCATTTTCCAGACATTTATCCATTTCAATTGAAGGTTTTAAATTCCAAGTATTTAGCCAATGAATTAACATGAATGCGACAAGAGACAACCAATTAACCCTCTAATCTTTAGTTTACAATTGCAAATCCATTAATTGACGCCTATTAAGAAGATGTAGTTAAGGGTCAATTAATCCGATTGCAAGTCAAGTTTAATTACACTTGAGATCTTGAAGTGGTCTCATGTAAATAAAATGAGTAAAAATTAGACAGTTTAATGAAAGACAATCTCAATTGTTTTTAAACTTTCATTCCTGGCAGCTTTTCACAAAGATGTTGATCAAGTAACAATCAAGTACATCTTCTTGATCTTCTTGATTCTCTTTTTTGTTCATCTTCTATAATTTTGACAGATCATTGTACATTCTCGTGTGATTTGCTGTTCCTCACACTTCTTCAATTTCTATTTGCGCTTGATCCATTAAAGAGATTGCATTTTCTCCACATCTTCTTCTGCCTTTATCATTTCATCCTCATCATTTTTTGGTGTCTTTCTGCCTGCCTTTCTCATCACTTCAGATTTCCATCATTTCTCCTTCACTCTCTTTGTTGCTTCTCTTCTTCATCTGGCTTTCTTGATGTCTTCCTGATCTGTCTTTATATTGTGTCTTTACTTGCTCTTCCGTTGCAAAGTAGATTAATCATTTAACATTTAACCCTTTATATGGCTCCAAATCAAATACTATAGATAGTAAGGATGATCATTTCATGAAGGTGATTTAACATTTGGACTTTCATCTTTAGGTCGATATCCTTCTCTATACATGAAAAATAAAATAAAATCAAAAATAAATAATATAAATATACTTTGCTGTTAATATGTTAGTAAATTAGTGGGTCAGTTTTTGTTAGTGATGAAGATGAGTATTTAATGTGACTCTTTGATGCATTTATTTAAGTAATTTATAATCATTGTTTGTATTATTAGAAGTGTTACTGTTATTGTCAATAGTATCATTCATTGTTATATTATAGTTAATAATAATAGTAATTAGGAGATTGGATATTATTTAAGGTAACCACAGCATGGAATCATGAGTTGATTATTGGTTAAAGATCTATTGGTTGATCCAGTTCCATGTATTATAGAGTTATGATTTATTTGGGAGTTATGCAGAGAGTTCAAACCCTTTGGATTATTAGAGTTGGAAGAGTTATTATTATTCACATTATTATTGTTGTTGTTAGAGTTGCTGGAGTTGCTGCTGTTATTATTTGAACTGTTATTGGCATTGGCATTACTATTGTTAGTGTTATTGGAGTTGTTGGTAGTATTACTTGGTGAGGTTGTTGTTATAATTGTTGTACAGTTAGAATCAGGTGAACTAACGATAGAGTTAATACCACTTTGATGAGATGAACCATTAAGGGTAACTGGACTATTAAGTGATCCTGTTGGTGTTGGTGCTCCACCCTGTGAAAGTGCGCCGTTACTTGATCCATTGCTTCCTGGACCACCATTTGATCCAGTTATATTACAACCACCATTTCCTCCATTTCCTGATTTTTGACTATTTAAACGTTCTTGTTTACGAAATTTAGCCCGGCGATTTTGAAACCATACCTGTGATTAGATGAAAAAAAAACATCGTCCATTAGTAACTTTATAGGAACAAGTGTAACATATTGAAATACATGTAACTCGCAATGCAGCTGACACAATTCAAATTATTTAACAATGAACACCAAATCACTGAATCCACAAAAAAATAAAAACACAAATAATTTAAGAGATTTAAATGAAATAATTAACAGAATGAATTTGGCAAGATTAACACTCTTTGCCTTGAAACCTGACGAGTTGAGGGGCCATATGTTAATTTAACTAATTACAGAGCAAAATGACAAAGTAATGTTAAGATGTGAATAATGATCGTTTTAATTGTAAATTAATGATTAAAAGTAATATGATGATCACAATGAGAAGAGACAATCCAATTACTCTAATGAATTGTCTTTAAAATCTGGTAACAAAATTGTGCAAAATGAAGCACAAAGTAAAGCATAACCCAAATGCTGATGTAAACACAATTCAACTTGCCAACAAAGGCCAATTGAAATTAGTCTCAAATTTTAAGCTAATTATATTAAATTGAATGAAATAATGAAAGTGTTAAAAAGACAATAATATGTGAAAAAATATGTATTTTAAGTGTAAAATTACACCAGAGGAAAAATGAATAAGTAATTGGCTGGAACGTTTAGATAAACACGTAAATAAGCTGTTAACATAATGGATTAATTTCAACATGAAAACGGAGAATTAACAATTAATCTTTTCCAGTCTATCTTTAGAGATTTAAGTTGATTGTCAACCCTATAAGGGTTTTGATTAAATATTAAGGATAACAAAGATTGGAGTAAAGAAGAAGAAGGAAGGAAAATCAATAAAATTGTTGTCTCGAACCATTTTCAACTTGAAACTTAACGTTGTATTTTGTGATCAATTGATTTTAAAATTTAAGATGGCAACTTGGATTTTCAGGATCACATTCAATTTAAACTGAACCAACTAATGTTCACTGTTATCATCCCAATGTTCAGCCTTTCAACTGACCATCAACCATAATGATGATGATGATGAGATCAAATATATATAACGAGCAAATCTAATCTTAAGATTGGTTTCAACAATTTCTTCCCATTTCACCAATTTCATCTTTTCTGGTCAATCCTCAATAAAACCTATCTTCCCATGTCTTCAGTTTCCGATACAATTTCAGATTCATTTTAAAACTTAAACATTTCAAAAATTCATATCAATGACAACTATTGATGAAAATTTGGACCCAATTGAAGTGAGAAATGATAAAATTGATAATCAAACTCTTGGCATAATAATAAATGCATATTTATACCGCAATATATTGTAATATTTACCTTACGGGTAAATACAGTTTGATGAAGCAGCTTTTTGGTGTATTTCATCGCCATTCACCATCTTGTTAACCTCTTGAGATATAAAGCGATGAAAAAAAAGCAAACAATCAACTGTATTTAGTTGACTGATCATCACAGTATATACATATTAAATTATGAGCACAATTTACATTAAAATAAAAATGATTGAAAAATCATCTTTTCATTGTTTTCATGTGTGAAAACAACAACAAACAAGTGAATAGGGAAAAAACAAATGTAAAATGATAATCAATTGTAAAGCCAACAAAGGTTGACAAAAATTATAATCATAATTTAACTGATATCAAGTCTCACCACAAGAAAAATGCTGACATGAATTATGATGCAAGTATAACATTCAGTGAGACTGAAAAGGATAAATTGAGCGAAAAACTGAAGATAATAATAATCATAATCATCATCATAATTATCAGGCCAAAAAGGCCTGAATAAAAATATGAAAAAAAGCGACTCCATAATTGTTATACAAAAGTCCTTTGTAATGCATTAAGACTAACCATAGATAAACTCAGTAAATTGTTAGATTCATAAATTCATCCATTTTTATCTTCATCACAGATTTGTTTATCTGGTTAAATAAAGTTGAACCAAAAAATGACTCCATTAAATTCAACAGAATCTTAATCATAATAATAATCAAAATAATAATCATGAAAAAATGATAATAATGATAACAATAAAGTAAAGAAGAAGAGGAAAAGAGTTGAGAGGAAAAAAAGGTTAACATGATAAATATACAAAGATGTGTACATTATATTATTATTATTATGATATTTATATAGAGACTGGGAGTTGAAACTGTGAATATATTGATCATAAGCTATAGGAAGATGAGGATGACTTTAATTGAAGTTCATCTGTCCTGTTGCCATGATTGTGTGAGGATTGAATGATCATTTTTGATGATCAAGATGTAGAGACAAAATTGTAATAAAACGGCCCTTGGGTTCTGATGATAACTTTGCATGGTTAACGAGATCTCATTAAGCCAATTCAGTTATTCAATCAACCATCATCACCATCATCACTTTCATCATTACATGACAAAAGCAGAAACAAAAAACGGTTCAACTTTAAATATATTATTATAAACATTATCAACCATATTAACATCATTATTGAAGTTGAAGGTTTCACTGTTTATCAAATTGAAAGTCATTTCAATTTCAACTTTTGTCTTCATTTATCATGGAGAAATGTTTTCTTCATAAACTTTCATCATTATTCCTCAGCATTTTGACTTTTCATTTAAATATGAATTTCTGTAAAATAAATTATTCAGCTTATTGAATGTGAATGTAAAATATGTGTCTTGTAAGAATGCTTTTGTTGGAGTCAAGCAAAAATGTTAAGGAAAACCCTTTTTCATTTAAAACTCCTCTCATCAGAGACTTGATGACATTCATCTTGGAAGAGGGAAATATCATGGAAAATACGAAACCCTGCAGATATCTAAATGAAGAGTGAAAATATTCCTGGAAAAACAATTTCCTTATAACATGCAAATGAAGATGATGATCAAGATGAATATGAGTTGGGTGGGAGTGGTGAAGTCACTTTTTTTAAGATGTTCAGATGATGAGTAAACTCGAGTCTTTTTGTATAAGACAAATATGAAGACGATAGTTTTGCTTGACAACTTTTATCATCCAATTAAACTTGAAAGGAAGATGATGATCAGGAGGAAAATGATGTTATTCAATTCACTTTTTGCTTTTCCTTAACTTTTCCTCTTCTTTGTTCATATCATGTTCAATTTGTTTTTAGCTTCAATTGACAATCATTGAAATTGATTGTCAATCATCGATGGATACATTTGAGCTTTTAATTGCTATTAAAGTCGCAAACATTTGAAAGGTGTTGACTCTTGTCAATCCTTGATCCAACTTGATACAACCTTTGGATTAAGGTTATCTTAAGGTTAATCTGTTTTCTTATGTTTGTTGTCAATTCACCTTTTCTTGTCATCGATATTAACTTGATTACAGAATCGACTATTTAAATATGTACATTAACTGTGTTAATATGTTGCTTCGATTGTTATTGAATTACATAAATCTCTTTATTAGGCTTAACCTATTGATTGCTCACTGTTACCAGAAAAGACCAGTTAGGATTTGAGTGAATTGGGTTAACTGAATTAGGATTTGGGTTAATAGAAGGCAAAAAAGATGTAATATCAGGTTAATCCAATTTCAATTGTTAAATTAATCAACATTTAATTCTGTTAATAAGAAAATCATTTTATGGGTGTTAATTAATGGTTAGGTAAAAATAAATGAAGATTGTAAATGCATCTTGAAACTTTGCATTTTACATGAAATTATCTCATCTCATGTTTTCATCCTTCAATCTTCCAATCCTATAAGAGTTGAGAAGATGGAAGACAGAATAGTTGGACAAGAGCAGGGTTATGAGCAAGAATGGTTTCACTTTTCATGAAGGCCTATTGAATAGGCGTAAATAGCAATGAGACTTGAAGTTTTGGAAAGGCTTGATAGCCTCATAAATAAGAAAGGTTTTGTGATATTTTTATTTCACCCTTTTCCTTCATTCTTGGTTCATGTTGATGTTACTTCCAATCATCTGAATGACCATTGCTCTATATCCATATACACTGAATAATAGCCATATGTGGCCATTCAAATGATAACTTAACCTTTAACTGTCCACCCTTTGTAAGATATTACAACTCGACAACCTACAAGCATTAATCTTACAGCAAAAGACATTTTTAGTCTTTAAACTTACTTTTTTGCAGCTTCATCTTGTTAAATTAATTACTTAAAATATATAATTGTAATCATTGTAATGGGCAAATGATTTAATCAGTTTTGAGTAATCCTAATATGATAACAATTTAGTCAGTAACAAATTAATTAATATACGAGAGCAACAAAAAAGTGAACCAGAAAAAAAACAACGAACCTTCATTCATATTTTATCTTTTGTTGAACCTTGTTACTGGTTATATTCATCTTCGTCATCCTTATCATCTTTCATCCTACTTCTCATCATTAACACACACACACATACACCATGAATCTTCATCTTAATTGAATTAGTATTGATCAAGTGAAGTTGGAAGTGGAACCAGAAAAAAGGATCAAAAATACAAAAACCTTGCTTACCTTTTCCCTGAAATGAAATGTATAAAAAAAGCTCGTCAAGTGAAAAGGTATTAATTAAACAAAATGTACCATTGATGTAAAAATAATTAAAGTAATGATTAACATGTGAATCAAACAAAACAAGCAATCAATCCATCTGTTATTAAATGGTTATTAAAATGTATTAAAATAATGTAAATAAAGACATTTTTATGCTTGGTCTTAATCAATTTAAGTTTAAGTCTTGATTGAGACATCAAATTGCTAACCAAACTGACATATGCTCAATTTATCATTTTAAGGGTATAAAAGGAAGATGATGATGAGAGGATGAGGAAGAGGAAGAGGGATCAAAAAGAGATGAGATGTCAATAAATGGTAACATCGACATGATCAACAACAGTAAAAGAGATGGAAAAAGCTTAAACAATGTTCACTTTTTTTTGGCTCCTTGCTTTCATGTCAATAGTAATATAACAAGTAACAACAAAAAAGGACCACAAAAGACCTGCCCAAATAGTTATCCTTTAGTCTTCCTCCTTCTCCTCCTCCTCATCATCTCCATCATTTTTTCCTCTTCTACTTGTTTTCATCTTTTTTCCATTCAATTCCTGGTCTTGCCACTTTCCTCCTTTGCACAAGGTTAATCCTCATCTTTTGATTCCGTTTAAAGGCCACCCACAAAAACACTTTACTCTAGCATCTTCATCACCATCACTAGCATCAATATAATAATCATCATCATCATTATTATCAACATAAAGTGTACATATACTTTCAATTGTTTACTTGTTATTGTTAAAAAAGAAACCTCTCTCTTTCATTATTTATAAACTGTATATATATATACTCGCTAATCCGTCCTTTTTAATCTAATATCAATCCTTTTCGTAAGCAAAAGCCTTTCAATCAACACTAAATGTTGACAATCTAATCGACCCAATTTCAATCTTTAGGATTCAATGACAACATCAGTATCGAGATTGAAGCATTTTTAGATGACCATCTGGTTATTCATTCAATTTCAATATAGAATCAGCATTGGTCAATTGATGTAGGAATATCGAGTAGGCGAGATTTGAAGCCATCAGTGATCATTGGCTCTGTCCAATTAGGGTTATCAAAAAGTTCTGTTATTTTTTCTCTGATGATTTAGCTTTCATTTAAATTGCAAAAAACCTTTAAATGAAAATTTAGTGTTAAACAATTTTTACTCATAATAATGTAATTTATGGTTAGAAGTATCAAATTATGCTCAGGGATTATCTGCACTTGGTCTACATACACTTATGCTAATGATCTTGTATTACTAAAATCATTGAGGTCATTGAATAATTAGAACTTATTCAAAATTGAAGCAAAAGTCACTGGTGAAAAACGACAGAACTTTTTGACACCTCTGATGCCATTCAAGTTTTTGTGTTCCTGGTTGAAATCATCGAGCGAGTCTTGATATTTGCAAAATGTGGATCTTTAAATCATCTTTAGTAACTCATTTTAGATAACAATCAATGAGTCTTAGTCTTTAATCCGATTGCCTTTCATAGCTTTGTCTTCCCAGTCACTAATTCAAAGTGTGTATTCAAATAACCATGCAAAGTCTTGATTCTTGATATGTAGATAATTACAGACAAAGTTGTGAACCTACCTAATGGGGAAAAAAACATAAAGGAAAAATAATAAAATAAATTAAAAAAAATCAAAGTAAACATTGGTAAACAAATTGATGCATACGTTTGAAAGGTAAACATTGATTGCTGAAGATTAGTAAATTAAATTTTCAATGGAATTAAGATATGAAAAGTCAATTGCGATGATTAAACACACGCGTTTGTACAGCTTTGTAACAATGGCACTAGCAAATATTGTGTTTAACAAACTGTTAATAACAAAGTGTCCCATTTTTGCTATCTATTAAACGACTTTACATAGACCACAAAACTGTGAAGAGACTACCTTAAATCACTTTGATTAATCTATTAAATAATAATGATGAAAAGCTTTTTTCTCTATCTTCATTTAAGGCCCATTAAGTTTCCTATCAAATGTTGACAACAAAAGATTTCACTATTTAAATGTTAACACGCTCATTTGATCACCATTCAACATCATCACCGTCAACATCATCAAGACAAGTTAACTATACTTCAATCACTACCATTAAATCATAAAAGAATGATAATTAAGGTCACTAAATATGATAAAAGGAAGAGTAAGAAAAATAATCAACTATCATTTACACTTGGTATTATTTAGTTGATTGTTTGAAAGAAGGGGATTCTTTCTGATTCACCATTTTGCTAACACCATATGCTCTTAATATATACTCTTGATTACATTTATCCGCATCTTCATCATCATTTGTGTATTGTCAATAAAATATAAGTGTTATTATTGTGAATAAAGAGCGAAGTACCAGGAACAAAATACAAAGATAGTAAGGATATAAATCTATTGAATAGATTTTTATACTTACTTGGATTAAATTGATCTCCATGTTATTATTTAGTTCTTATATTGTATCACATTTTTACAAACACTTTTATAATTCAACTTAACATTATAATACAATGGCTAATCCTAATAGTTATTAAAATATTGACACCATTTAATAAAAGTAAATCCACCAACCATTACAAAGATGATTTACCATTTCTGAATTACGCAGCAACAAAAGAGTGTAAATAACACTTTAATTAACATTTTTCAACGTTGAAGTCGCTACTGCATTTTTTGGCGCTAATTTTGTTTTCAGATCAACAATTTCAATGTTAAATCTATTGTTATACAATTAAATTACAATTATATCGTGAAAATTATTGCAAATTAATTGGGAGTTAAATGTTTGATTAAGATAATTGAATAAAAGAGGAGTAAAAATGAGGGGAAAACTGAGATGGAGTTTGGTAAAAAAAAGGAAATATCTTTGGTTATTTGGAGTAAAGGGCCCAATGAATCTGAAGATGATGGTGAGGATAAAAAAAGATGAAAGGTTGAAATCTGGAAAATATCAGAGAATGAAATGAATCATCAGCACAATGATGAACTCACATCAATAATGGTAAGGAACACCAGAAACTGTTTTCCTCATTAGGATGAGACAAGAAAAAATAATCAAGATAAAATTGTAAGTCAGTTTTATGATGATCATCTTGATCATCATTATAACCATTCTCATCATCATTATCATCGAAAGAGATGAGATTGATTTATCAATTGCCATTGAAAGGATAAAGTGAATGACAGTTTAAAGGCTTGAACACCGTAACAATCATTGTCATCTATTTTGTAGCCATTTTTGTGGATGATGATGATTACCATCAACCATCCTTTATCATCCTTCCCTTGATCACCATTCAATGTAAAACAAAAAAGGTGCATCAATAGAAAGGCTTAACCCAAAATTGACCGTCAACCATGAAGACTTCTGCCTGTTTTTATGCTTTAATTGAATTGTTTGTCCATTTAACCCTCTTTTCCATATCGTCATTATCATTATCAATGACCAGCAAACTGACCATTCAAATGCGATTTGATTGCATTTAAAGACCAAATTGAAAGTCTCTCTAATGGTTGTATGACATGAATTAACTAGTTGATACACCATTTGGTTGACATTTTTGGATTCATTGAAAGCATTTTCAATGGTTAAATCCAATCATAATTACAATTAATCTTTATTTCCCAAATAGCATTTGATTGTCAAACAAAAATCCAGAGCAACTTGAGGTCAGTGGAAGCAAAAATTTAGATGTAAGTTGTTTTGGTTATTCAGAAACCAGTTAAATTTTTGGTTCCACTGACTTTATGCAACAATTAACCATCAGGCTTTGATTATTTGCATTGACTTTGAATGGTAATTAAATGGCGATTAATTGTTGATCATTTTGTAAATGACAATTAATCATTAATCAAACAACAATAATTGATTTAAATCTCTATTTAAATTTTATAATAATAATCATCTCTTGAGTATAGCAAAAAAATGTGATCGTTTAAAGCAAAGCCAAAAGGTTTGCCTGACAAAACCATTTCAAAATGAAATTGAATCAATATTTACTCAACTGACTGTATTGAATGAGAGTTACAATCAAACAAAAACACAAATGTCAATAAGGTCAGAGAGAAAGAAGATGAAGATGATGAAGATGAGTTTTTGGTGTTTATCTTTGGTGACAAGGAAAACTTGAATGAAACCCGAATCTTTAACGTTGAATTTACACACAATTCAAAGCATATCAAATGAATTGAATGGTAAAAGGGAAAAAGCTATTTGTATGATTGATAATCAACTTGAAATTGGGTGAAATCAGTTCCAATCTAATTGTTATCGTGAGAAGAAATTTTTTAAATTATTTGATATTTGGAGTGAAAAAATGTGATTCAACGTAAAATATGGCTATTAAATGATTCCATTGGAGATCAGTAAAATAACAGGGAATCATTTAAACATCAATATTTAATGTTAACCTAAAAGTGAATGTGAAAAAAATTGACATTTTTAACCCGAAATACACTTGAGACTAAAAATATTATTCTTATTTGGACATTTTGTTCGAGGTCTGAGAAAATAATCTCAACTCAATTGTGTCTGATGATCATTAGGAAATGATAGAAGGTTGATTAGTTGATCATTTTGTTCGGCATCGACAATTTGTTTCATCGTCTTTATTTCAATTTTCACTCCCAGTAATCTATTGGGATTTATGGTTAGCTTTATCAGGTTCACTTGACATTAGTTTTGAATGAAAGAGCAATGAAGGGACAAGATAATTTTACTCAAGTGATTTGATTGAAACTTCCCACGATCAACAACTAAGCTTTCCCATCATTATCAACATCATCAAAATCATCACCAACCAGATATTATCATCATGTCCAGAATCATCATGATGTAGGGATTAGATTAGAATAGGAAAGCGATAGGAAAAAGATGGAGTCTTCTGAAAAGGTAAATTTGTTATCTAAAGGAGTTAACATGCGCCTCAATGTTTAATGGATTAACACTTATATATCGGAAATATTAACTGTTGGTTGATTGTTGATTTGAATTGTTGAGCAAAAATACACAAAGAAGAGGAAAAAAGAGCGACGGATTTTGAGGTTAAACGGACATTATTCAAGTGGATTTACTGTTATTGATGAAGATTATGATAACTGGGATGAGGATGACCAAAGAGGAGATGACTTTGATCACGTGTCAAGTCAAATTTAATTAGGATTAGAGGGTTGATTTGGTAACGGATGATTAACCTGGACGTTGGTTACAATTGAATGTTGAACAACTTGGATAACAGTTTAAGATGATAATGTTTTGCATACAGATGGCGCTATTAAGGAGCCTTATTCAGTGGTTGTTGTTGTTTTTTTTGTTAGGTTTATATTTATCATTTTATTGTTCCGTTGTCTTGTTTTTGTGTTCCTCTCATCTTATTCATCATCAACTTGATTACTTGGACACGCGTTTAGATTGTAAGTATTTGAAATCTCATAACACTGCACACGCCTGTTGGACACATTTGAATGCAAAATATTTCCTTCCTGTAACATTGTTCACCATATTTCACTCTTTTTTTTCTTTCTCTCTCTCCTCTTACAGACCCTGCGACATGACAATAAACAACACCGAAAGGGACAAAAGAAAACAATAAATCGGAAAACAATTTTCATCATCATCAAATGAATGTCTTGATCAACATAGATGATATTATCTACTGTAATCAAACAAGCAACTGAGCACAGGTTACACCAACACAGGTTTTCCCAATTGATATAACAGTAGGCTGGAATGGTGCCAAATAGGACAAACACACACACGAAAATGTCAACAATTGAAGGACACGTTTCTTTTCATTGCTTATCATCATTATCAGGATCATCTTCAATAACAACATCATCACAAACAATAGTGACAGAATTACCTCGCATTTGCACACCTTATCTAAATGAGCAACTGTACACTAACATTATTATTACCCCTCCATAAAAATTAATTTGGGTTTAATTTTGATTCAAGATTATGATCTAGGATTCAGCTAACATTCAGTTATTTGGAACAACGTTTCAGCATTTAGTAAACAAACAATATGTCTATATGTTTATACTCGGCGTCTCTTGTAAAAAGACCAAGAGGTTTTATCATATTAACAACTTAATACAATTGTATAATAACTTCATTATTTCATTTTGTACATTTATATCTTGTTGGTATTCATTGTTTGTAGCCTTGATTGCTTTAGCAGTATCATTTACAGTTAATTTGTTATTAGGTTAAGATTATTGAATGTTAATTTTCTTACCTGTACACGTGCTTCTGTAAGGTCTGTTTTGCGTGCAATATCTTCACGGGTGTAAATATCAGGATAATGAGTTTCATGAAAAGCTCTTTCCAATTCTTTTAATTGTGAACTTGAAAATGTTGTCCGAATCCGACGTTGTTTTCGTTTCTCAGTTAACACAGCTTCGTGTGACGGAGAGTACATTTTATAAGGCAAACCTTGAAATAATTAAAATTAGCATCAATATGTTTTCATGAAAAGACCAATCAAAGTCGAAAGAAAAGTCAAATTTATCAGTTTAGCCCAATTTATGAGTTATTATTTCAAGAATCTTTGCTCGACAAGTTAAAATATTGTCATGATCATCTAACTGATTAATATCAACATATGTTTGCTATTCTTGAATTTCGTTGATACTGCGTCAATTCGTTTGCAACTAAATGTAAGTCATTTCATTTCAAATCTGAGTTCCTGTGAAAACTTGCAAATACAATATTACTATTGTAACGTTTATTAACGTTATTATGATTTGATCACCTGCTGCTAACGGATTTATTGCTTTTGATTAAATGTTTCACTATTAGAATATTGAATCGTTTAAATTTTTTTAAATCTAATGACGAAGTTGTTGAAATTGTTGATTATAAGTTACCTTTTATTGATGATGGATTAGTATGAGCTGAAAGAAGATCAAAAGTTGATTTGGTTGATGATGTATCAAAAGGATGATGAACATAATGTGAATTGGTGTCACCCAGCGAGTAATGGCAATTTTTTTTGGACAACTTTGATTTACAATCATCATCAGTTTGATCCCATGAAGTAATTAATTGAGCTCGAGCCGACGATGAAGCAGCTAATTGTTGATAAAGAGAGGCTGAAGCCGCCGCTGAAGAGGCAGCAACAGCAGCAGCTGATCCATAAGGTTGACCACCAACGGAATAGTATGAGCCTGGATAACCTGTGGTTTGTGTTGAATATGCACTATGGTTATAATCAAGAGTTGATCCTGGACCACCACTTTGCTGACAGTTTGATAATGAACTTGAATTTACAACACTGTTACTGTTTACACTTGAACCGCTAAATCCAGTTGGATTATCATCTGAGCCAATCATTCCCCAATAACAATTTAGATTACCAGTTCCCTGTGAACCTGTTGTTGGTGTTGCTGTTGTACTTCCCATAATTATCATTTGTCAATCGGATAAAAAAATTAACAGGTTAACAACACAAACAAGATGGGGAAGACGATCTAAACGGTGCAGACGATGAAGACGAGAAAGACAAAGAAGACGGAGAAGGACAGAGAAGACGAAATCGACGGAAATTCTTGAAATGGAAGCAAACAAACAGGTAAAACAAACAACCAAATATTATGCTTGTTTACATGAAATAATCACTGAAGAAGGAGGTTAAAGTAACACATGATAAACAGCAAGCCACAACAAAATATTGGAGGAAAGCTTTAAGAAAGGCAGTCGACAAAACAAAAGGAGTAAAAACAAATTTCCAAAAAATTTGAAAATATTAATTCATGGTGTTCCTCAGACTGAATAATGGTGTTGATGGTGTTATTTTTTGTCTCTCCAAACTCGTTTGCCTCTCTCTTCTGGCTCTTTCTTGGTCTCGTCCAAACAAAAAAAACAAACAAAACAAATTGCAATGACTCTTTGTGCCAATATGACTGTGCCTTTGACTGTTCACTTTCATTCCAATCTCATCTTCTTCTCCATCCTCATCTTTAATCTCTCCCTCTTTACTGAATCTATAGCCATGATATTTAGGAACCAGTCAACACTTTTGACTCCTCCTTGCAACTCCACCCAACTTGATCATCTTCATCTTTTTTCCTATATGGAAAAAACAAGTAGAGAAGATGAAAAGACTTGAAATTACATCTTCTTTTTTGCTCTTCTCTCTCTTCTCTGTCTATCTCTTTCTCTCTCTCTTCACATCACTTTTTCCTCATCACTTTTTATCCTATACCTCTTCTTGGAGTTTCATTTTTGCCTTAAGGTCTTACTTTCCAGGCATCTCTTCATTCCCAGTCTTTCCCATCATCCCTGATCATCATCCAACTTCATCTTCTCGTTCTGTTCATCCAACATCCTCATCACTTGTTTTTAAGGGTTGGACACTTTTACTTTATCTTTTTTTCTCCTTTTTACATGGACTTTTGTTGAACAGAAAAACTTTAATGTTTCTTTCTTTTCTCTCTCTCTCTCTCTTTCAGATTCTCATCTTTGATCATCTTTATTTTGAAGACAAAAAGTCCCTTGGAAGAAGATGAAGCCAGAAAGAAAGAGATGGGAAAAAGGTCAAAAAATGTTGTGATGAGAAGAAAATTGATTGATCTTTGTTAAATGTTACTTCATTTGGGCAGGAAAATTGAATCAATTGATTATCTATCTTCACAATGAGATGAGAATGAGTTTAAACAATTAAATTATGATTGTAAAGTGAGCCTGAATTAGTGTTTTGTGTGATACACTCATTATCATTATCCATTTAAACAATTATCATCATCATCACACATTGTTCAACAACAACAATCTTAATAATAACAGTAATAGAGTTAAACAAGTGGAAATAATTTAACAACCAAACAATTTTTAAACCAGCTTAATTGTTAACAATTTAACTTATCTTTTCTCTCTTTTTCTCCCTTTCTTTTAGGTTTTTAATCTAATTTCACACCAATTAACACTGAAGGAGAGGGCAAACAATTAATCAAAGACAAATAAACACAAAGCTATAAATAAGATGGACATTTCAACTATCAAAGCTCAAGAAAATGCATTTGGCTCTAAGCATTACATTCATTGCTTTTTATTTACTTTCATGGATTTTTTTGCTTCTTCTGGTGAAAGGAAAAAGTTGAAAAATGAAACTTATTTAGTTAATTCATTTCAATGGGACATAAGCTGGAGATGATTGGATCATGCAATAAACAAAGTAAACATGGAAACAAGAAAAGAAGCTGATAAAAGGCGAAGAGAGATCGAAATGATGATTTAACAGCAATAAGACAAAATTGAAATATGATTTCAATTTTACCAGCTGATTGATGATTTCTAGTCTTGTTTATCTGCGTTCATGTTTTTACGCTATTATATTCACACATTTGCCATTAATCTTGACTTCATCTCATGTCTAAAGGATCATGATGATCATCAAGATGATAATGTTTACATCTGTGAAGCCCAAAATTCCTACAAAACAATTGCCTTTTTTCATCTTCATCTTCTTTCTTTATAACCAAATTGGACAATAAATAACCATTTCAATATCAAAGTGTTGGCCTTTGCTGCTGCTGTTGCTGTTGCTGTAAATGTAAATATCTTTACCAGTGAAAAGAGATTCCCTTTCAAGCTAAAAATCCTTCTCATCATCATCATTATCATCATCATCTTCAATCTTCTGCTTTCTCCTTCATCGTTTAACTCCATGTGAGTCCCATACAAGTTATGCAATGGCAATTGATCTCGACTTTTTCCTTATCATCATCTCTTCCTGAATATCTTCAACCTTCAATCTACTTTATAGGTCTTACCTCTCATCCTGTTTATCTTCATGTTCACCAACATCACCCTCATCATGATGATCATCATTTCATCTTCCTCCTTCACTCTCTTCATTCATTGACGCCAAATGTAACCCATCTTAACTGAATGCTTTTAGCTAATTGCTTCCAAAAAGGATTCTTGGTTGTTGGTTACAAAACAAAAGGCTGATCATCATGAGCCAGGTAGAAGAGCCCAGAATATTCACAATGAAACAGTCAAAATATTCAACTCTTTTTTTCCTACTTTTCTCATCCATCTAACAACAAAAATGGTTTCAGTTTTACTTTGCTAAAATATTGTATCCAATAAGGTAATAATGATTAGGGTAAACTTGTTCACTGATTTACAAAGTGTTTGACAAACAATTATTTTCCAATGAATTACTCGACTCATATTAGCCGTAATTTACTTTGTTTCAGCTAATTAACCTTTTCTCTACTCATTCCAATTAATACTTACCTTTGTTTACATTGAAAATAGCATAGTATTACATGATCAAGATGTTAAGGGTAAACATCCATTAAAGACTTGTATTCAATGATACTCTGGAACCTGTTATTTTGATAATAAATTGTTTCATTTAATCACAAGAGTATAGACAATATTTTCCCATAACTACAACCTAAAATGATTAAATAAATTGGCACCAAAAAAGGACCTTCCAATTTGGTTAATCAAATACATGGGAAAAAATGGAACCATCAAAAGCAATCCTCACGAGATTCATGGAAACAATTTTCCAATCTAACAAAAATCAATCAAACAACAAATGTATACAAAGATATCAACAATTATTAAACAATTGGCTATTAATTGTTTGGCAAATTAGTACAAAAATCAAGTGAAATAAACCAACAAGTAAATCCAAGCCAAAAAGCATGTAACAATCAAAACCAAGTAACCAGAATGTACAAGTTGACCAGTTTTGGTTGAACAGCTTAACCCATAATTTTTATTCAACTCCAATTAAATGGAAAAGCTGATCACAATTGATTTAGCTAGTTAATCATGTATCATGTTAATTTAAAATGAATCAAGTTAATAATGGTTGTAACCAAGAAAGCTTTGAAGCTTATTATTATTCAGTTGCAAGTGAAGGCCTGAAAAAAAAGTACGAGAATGAAATGAATATATTAAATGTAGTATAAATATCAGTTTCCCTTGTTAATCTCAATTCTTATGGTTAACTTAATGTTGACTGATCTATCATATGATAATAATAATGATTATAATAATAATAAGCAAGTAAAGCCAGTCAAAATAGATGAAAAATAATTTATTCACAACAACCTCATCTTTTTATCCTCATCTTTCATTCCTCATACCAAACACATTCACTTTTTCCTCTTCGTTTTTTTCATACTTTATTATTTACTCGTTTCTTCCTCTTTACTTTTCTTCATCTTCATCATCATCTTCAACATCTTCATCTTTACCATCTTCAATTCAGTGTACATTAATGTTTACATTATTTTACATCTTCATCATCTTTTCTTGCCTTAACGTAAGTCTTCATCATTCATTGTTTAACTTGCTCTTTACATTTATGATTGTTTAAACCTTTTTTCATCTTTCATCGTCAACATCACCTTTAATTTGAAACCCTTTTACGTCTTTCAATCAATTAACATTACAATAATTAGCTAATTGTTAACTTTGCTTTTCAACTGTTATGTTGACAAATGTTGAACAATTAAACCAAACCTTTCCATCTGTAGTCGGTCAATCATATTTCAATCATTGCTCCTGTTTGTTTCACTATTTGTTTTTGGTTGACAAATATAAATACTGTATTATAATGAATGATCATTTTTCATGATTTAAGGTAAATAACTTGTTTACATGATTGTTCAATCATTTGAATTCAATGAATTGAAATTATTGAAAAGGGTTGAAAGGGAAACAAATGTCATTTGCCTGAAGCTTATTCAACAAACAATATTAACCAATCTAACACTTTGTCTTGTTCAATTGGGTCGCAATTCACATTTTTCAATTCATTTCATTCCAATTCAAATCTGATTCATTTTTTCACGGCAAAATAGACAGAATCATTTTTTATTATTATCGTATTATCGTTCCTTCCAAATGATCAAATTCAATGTAAATCAAGTCAAAGAAGCAGACAAAAACATGATCACTTGAAAAGCCTTTGTTATGATTAAACTAATAGCGTTTCCCTTCAATTTAAAGCTTCAAAATGATGCGAACTTGTTCACAATGATTATCATGATGCTGATAATGATGATAATGTTGATGGTGATAGACTGAAGGATAAAGGAGAGGATGAAAATGATACTGATGATGATGTGAAAAGATGTTTATCCTGTTCAGTGAAACCTCAATCATGGTTTGGGTTTCATTGGAGTGTCAAAAATGCGATTATGGCGTTTGATTGATATTGTCAACCATTTTTGGGTTTCCAGCTTTTAAATTGTCAACCTAAATTGTAGGCCTAAATGTAAGTTCAATTTGTAAGTAAAAATTTAAGCCTCAACTGAAGATCTAATGTGAAGGTTTAAACTTACAATTTAGTGATCAATTGAATTTACATTAAAATTGTTCCCCATCTCATTGAATTATACAACAATTATTGAATAACCATCAACATTAAAAATTGATAAAATCAATAAAATGAAACAAAAGGAAGAAATTATTGAAATAAAAAACGATTGACAAAATTTTATTTAAGGTCTATTGGGTTAACATTGATGAGATGAGGTTACAATCAATAAGGTAATTTTGAACAAAAATTGAATCGACTGGTTAAAAGGTTATTCATTGTGAATACATTGGAATGGTTAATGGAGTAAATTGTTTTCTTGTTTTTGCTAATTCAATCTTTTTATTTCTTTTGCTGTTTTCCTTCCCTAATCAAGGGACAACAATTTGAAGCCCTTCTTCCTGTAGGTTGTAATTGAGACCAGCAAAAAAAAGGTCAGAAAATTACAACGATAAAGGTTAATATTAAATTGCGAAAAGGCAAATCAAGAAGCAAAATGGGCAACAAGAAAAGAGTTGATCCTTTAAATTAGTTGAGTAGTTTATTGTTAAATGGGCAAAGAAAGCTGAATGAGCTGATCTGTAGTTCGCTTCATCATCATCTTGATCATCCAGTGGAAGTGGTCAAACGTCTCAAGAGGTTGATTGAAAATCCAGAGGATTTACTGGGTTGAACTAGCCATTGAAATTAAGGCTTAGTTTGTGAGCCAATTTTTGTAGACTCAAAAATTACATTGAATAGGTTCAGGATGGTGAAAGGATGATAAAGGAAGAAGCAAATTTCAACTTAATTCAATGGACATTTCCAAGTCTTTTACGGTGAATCATGATGATGATGAGAAGAGGACAGAGTTTACCTTGTTTTTTACCCGTTAATCCAATTGAAAACAATAACCTTTACTTGATTGTTGTAATAATCAATTGTTTACTCTCTACATCTTTACAACATTTATGAGTCTTCATGGGATCAACTTGCTTTTTTTGGGTCTACTTTTTGTTTACCTTGTATTTTGTTTCTCCTCTTTGTTTTTACCTTAATAATAATTTACCTGAGAAAACTACAATTTAAACATGAATCTCGCCTTGGTTGACTATTAAGATGGGATTCACAGTTGTAGCGAGTTGTTATTGTGTCCATAAATCAGCAATTTAAATCCATCTAATCAACGAGATGAAAATGGGAAAGCTTTGAAGACCTTTTAGATTGAACCAAAAACTCAACAGTATTTTTCAGTTTTCATCTTATTTATTGTTGTTGTTGTTGTTTTATTTTGTTAATCAATTGATATCAAATGCTATAAAATGTGATGATGAAGGATGATCATGTTGATGTTGATCATTATGATAAGATGTTCAGACATTTTACTGATCCTTGAAAGATGATGAATGGAAGCAAAAATGAAATCAATATTGAAATTGATCTTCTTTTTTCAACTTTTCACTGTTGCCTTTACTTTTTGTTTCCAGCTTTTCACTATTTTTCATCATTTCTTCCATCATTTTCATCTTTTTCATGTGATGATCATTGAATGAGATATTGACAAACATGATTAACAAAATAAAGAAATGGATACCAAGGAAAAGACATATGAGTTGAGGAAATGTTTTGACATTATTTTGGTATATAAAGTTCAATTGATAGATTTGTTTTAAATTGGATTGTCAATTGTCATCTCTTTTCCCCTTTAACAATCACACTCCTAATCAATCCTGTTTTCATCATGTTTATTCTTGTCATGAGCTAAATTGTTGAAAATAAAGACAACAATCTACAGTTTTTACCATTTAGACAGTAAACAAATCTGTATCAGTTCAATGCAACTATGGATCAGGCTTGATGTCTCAACTGATTTTTCAGCTAATCAAACTTGATTGTCAGCTGATTAAAGAGTGAAAATAATCAAATCAACAGTTAATTGTTGACCTAAGGTTGGATCAAAATTTAAATGAGGCTTACCGATTGTTCAAGTATCTTTGTTGTTCAAAGGAAACCTTGGCTAATGGATGTTGATTCATATTGAAACAATATTTTTTCAATCCGATTGGTGAATTAATTAAAGTATAATTTTTATTTAATTACTCAAACTGATACGTTTACACTTCATTATAATGATTTATAAGTTTAATTAGATTCACAACCTTTGAACCAAAGCAAGCAAAAAAGTGTTATATATTTTGTATATAATGTAACATTATAACATTTTGTAACATAACTTGATTATGGTTAATCTTTTTCACTTTGCTTGCTTGCTTGTTGTTTTTTTGGGATCTCGTTGTTTGTATTATTAAGTTAACTGAATCAATGTTACCAATGAAACAATCATCAATTGTTCATTTAATCAAAGTTAATACAATAAACAATCAAAAAAAATTGTTGCATCAATAGAGTTGAATAGCGCGCCTTCAAAATTCAACAATCAATAGCCAATGGTAATTAATTGGTAACTTAATGCTATTTACGCATATAGGTACCTGTGTCTGTGTGGAGTTAAGATAATTATAACATTGTAACAGTTTACTTACAATAATCAATAAACCAACAGGATAATTATTGGATCTAAAGGTTCCTCTTGAATCAGTAAGGAAGATGAGGAAGGATAAAGAAGGTAAGTTTTAAAAAGTGACTGGACAAGAATACAAAATAAGGTGAAAAACAAAAAGTTGAAAAGATGACCAATTTTCCTTGACTAAAGGCAAGACAAAGATATAAAACATGGTTATTGTGAAGTCCAATTGAATAAATATTATTAATCATAAATTGTGAATAGTTTAAATTGGTAGTGAGTATAAAATGGTTTAACTATATTACGATACCTGATGAAATAAAAAGGTAATGACTGTTGACAGTTAACATGATCTAACTATAAATGTAAGTAACCATTTTGCTTCTCGTTTCTGGTTTACACTTTTATGATGTTCAGTTGGTTAAAAATTGAAATTTATATGGGATCATTGAAATTTACAGTTAAATTTTAGATTTCCCTTGAGTTTTAATTGTAAACAATTGATGAAATAAAGGTAGGTTATGATAGGAATGATGATGATGAAGAAGAGTCTTGGATAAAATTGATTGCAGTTTATTGTTATTGATTGATAAAGACAAGGGATAAAGGAGTAATGGTTTTCACAGGTTTCCAATTGTTTCCATCTTATCATTGAATAATTGTGATCAACCTTTTTTTATTGATACAATTATTAATTCAATAACAAACCAACTTGAACCTGATGATGATAATTTGCCATTAAAAATCCATCACATCGATTGTAATCAATTGGACATAATCATTGAAATATTGTTACCATTGTTTTCCTTGCTGTATATAATCAAATTTGTGGTAAGCCAACTATTATTATAAGTTGAGATCATTTATTACAAGTAAAAATGACTAATTAGATAATCTTAAGCATATCATATGGTTGAGTTAAATAATCAGTGTAAATTGTTTTTGACGTTGATCGAATAATCAATTGTTTTGATTATCATGTATTTGTTGGAAAGTTATCATTATTAATGTAACTTGTTCAAGAATAGCCAAAACAAAGATGTAACCTAATAAAATGTTATGTACTTCAATAGAGTATCAAACAATTGATAATCATGTTATTTGGTAACAGATGAGATCAAGAAATTTGATTAAGTGTGGAAACAATGATAATAATTGTGAACTTGTTGATTCCATATTTTGTTTCCCTGTGATTAATCCAAATTAGGTTAACACGGATAAAATAAAGGTGAATACAGGATTTATGTAAATAAGCGTATATTTTTTTTGTTATTTTATAAGTTGAATTCATCACATCTAGGATAGGTCACACCAAGAAGTTAATGTACCTTAATACAATACAATTTAATTTGAGAACACCGAAATTCAATTTACAGTGAAAGTGAGAAAATGAGAGATAGAGAGAGAAGAGAGAGAGAGAAATAGAGATTTATCTGGTAGATTGGATGAGATATAATTAGGGGTAGAAAATATAGTTAAGATGAGAAGTTGATTGAAAAAAGCTAATTTTGTAGTTTTAGTTGATGATTTGGGAACAAAATGAATTGTTTCCTATTAAGGTTTTAAAATGCGACGAGGACAAGAAGGAAGAGAGATTGAGAGTTATAATAGGAAAGGATGATGATGTTGAAGAAAAAAATGAAGAATAAGGAGGAAAGAAAATAGAACGCAGTCTATTTCTTGACTCTGGCTAGTAATCGGATCTTGCACAAAAAAGGAGGATAAAGTTGAATTGGCTAATTTGATCTGTAATCAATTCAGCTTATTTGATCGATACCCAAACGAGTTTATCGATCAAATTATTCATACGCTCATATATAATCATAATACATTTTTCAATTGTTTTATATTTTATATATAATTTGAAATAGAGAGGGGGGAAAGGTGGAGATGGATAAAGAAGGAGGAGAGCGAAAAAAAGGAATTTAGGATTACAGGGAGGAAAAAAACATTGCTTTCAGGAGATGATTAAGGATGTAAATGGAGTGTATTTATATTTATATGAATATATATTTATATATTTATATGCGGTTGTGTATAGTTTGAAGTGTGGGATGTGTAATTAGAAACGCTTTCGCTGAATCATTAATTTCAAGCTTTCTGCTACGAACCAGGCCGGGTTAGCATAAGCATTTCTATTTTTGTAATTGATAGAAAATTGTGAAGATTGTTGATTTTTTTAAATAATATATTGATCTTTGCCATGCTTTGAATCCATTTGAGTTTATACAGCTTTCTTTAGTTTTTTATTTCTCATCATGCAAGTGACATCGTCACTGTCGAGGTCCATTTCATTGGTATAGTTTATAGAAGAATTACGACCCAGTAATTCGACTTTGAGTCTCTTTAAAATTGAGATATTTTCTCTTTTCTTTGCCTGTTCTATCATTTTCTTTTGCACTTTGGATTGTTCCTTCATATCTTCGATTAGCAACTTTAACTGTTCATAAACATCTGTATTGGTTGGAAAGAATTTCACTTTTGCTTCCTCCGCTAAATTTTGAACTTCCGAAAAGTGTACGATCTCATCTGTATCTCCGTTCAACACTTTTTTTACTTTGACTAACCATTCTTCGTAAGTTGTAGTTCTCTCTTTCAGTTTTGTCATCATTTCTGGGAAATCATCCAATGAGTGTCGATATTTGAGAATATATTGAGAAGGTGTGCACTTATCACACAATTTGTCTCTATGAGCCAGACAAACAAACGTATCTGTAAGAAAAATACAAAGAACATTAGAATTTGATATCATATTTGACGCAATGCAGATTTGACGTCTAATTCCTCTCTTATAATGGAATGGAAGTACATAATAAGTATTTAATATGTGTTATACATAATTGGTGTATTTCTTTGTAAAAGTATTAAAACGGTGAAACATCAAGAAACTGAGTTTTAATCAGTAAAATGCAATGAGACTAAAAATGAGAAGATATTACAAAATACATTATTCATGCATTACGGAAAGTTTAGTTAGCTTGAAAGAATAAACAAAATATGATAACTTGACAGGTTAATTGCAGAAAATTCGATAGAATGTAAACAAACCAACAAAAAAGTGCTCAAAAATTTTAAACTAGCATGTAAAATTCTGAAAGCAGAAGAAATTCGAGAGTGGATTGCAGCCAACTTATAAGATTAATAAGATGCGTAAGAAGTTACAGTCAATTCAGATTGAAAATGTCCAAATTCAAAATGGGATAATCCAAATAACCATTAAAAAATCTCTTTCAAAATCTTGAACCAGTAATTAAGATTGAACACCATTTAATCATCATAATTTTGCTCGGAACATAAGAGCGAAGTTAAATTACATATTTTTATGGTAATTGAAACAATCACTACTAAATTATTTCAGAGGCATCTTCATTAACAGAAAATAGTCAATCAATAATTGATTAACTTTAACTTATTTTAATTTTTGCTTGAACCAAGATTAGAAATCAAAGCAAATAGGTTTTCCATTTTGACATAAATTTTTTCAATTTTCGATTCATTTTAATCTGCACCTTTCAATCTGAATTGAATGTATCATCAATTGCATCTGGCGAAAATCAGGCAAAACTATAACGAGTCTTGCTTAAATGAAAATTAAATGTCTTCATAAAATTAAATATTTATCATAATTAACGCTGGGATGGATGGAGATCCATTCTGGTAGCTTTTTAGATTTATTGAGTATTACCGATTAATTGTGAAATTGGCAGTGCTAAAATCGAAATGTCAGTTTTTCCTCTATCAGAATTTAGAGACTGTACTAGAAAAGATACATTCAAAAAAACACAGGAAGAAAACTTTCATATTCTGATTGCGAAGAAATATTATTCAAACCAGGATGACAACAATATCCTGTAAATATACATAAAGGATATAGAACACTCAATTGTGAAACTAATTTACCTTGAAACTAAAATAGAATAGAAATAGAGGAGAATTTCAATTAACAATGAAGATTTGACAAAAAAATTGGGTTATGGCAAGATTAATAATGCTGGAAACTAAACAACGGAACAGAAAAACTAAATCAACTGGATCAAAGAGCACAATGAAGCTTAACCAGCTGAAACGATTTATTACAATTTTGACTAGATTTTAAATGAAAATTTTCATGAAAGACTAAATCAACTGAACGAAATGTTCTTAATAGCTGGCCAAATAATATGAAAAGCGACAAATACAAATAAAATTTTCTATGACACCCAACTTTTACAACAAAATCAGAGATTCTGGGCAAAAGTAAATGTAAAAAGGAAGTGCTCCTAACCTGATTTACATTCACAAGAAAGTGATGAGAGATAACAGGTAGTCCTACAGTAGAAGCACTGTCTATCATCATCAGGTATTGCTTCAAAAACCATTTGCTGTTTCTGGGTAACACCCCATTCATCGAGCTCTCTTCGAAGGCGATTCTCTCGCTCCACCATTTCGAGCATGTCATCATAGGTTGCGATAGCAATAGCAATGTCTAATTGGTCAGCTATGCTGGCCATCCTACAAATAAGTTCATCATGACTAAAGACGGGATAACGTTGAAGCATTGAATAGTGGTCAACACAAATTCTGCCAATAGATATCCACTCAGATGGTGCAAAATTAACAGCTTCTGCTAGATTTAAGCCTTGGTTGAAGCCTGCATGATATGCACGAGGAAATGTGACCACAAATTCACCAGCTTGCTGATTTGTCCGATAAATCTATACAAACGAAGAGAGAATTTGTTATCAATGATTCAGAGATCAACTCATGTTTAGATGGAAAAAATGAAAATAAACTTACAGGCACACCAGCTTTCATCAAAATATTTGGATTACAGATTGTTACAAGTTGGTGTAAGAGATCAGGTTGTGAATCGAAAAGTTCTGGAGCTACTTGTTTCATTGCGTGTTCAAATTTTTCAGCACCATCCCCTGGAACACCATACCAGGTTTTGGCCTCGCCCCAATGGAGGTAGTTAATAGAATAAGACCAGTGATCCTCGTTGTGCCAGCAGAATGTTGAGAAACACATGCCAACGTAGCTATCGAAGTGAAGAGTTCATACAGAAATGGAATAGATTAGATAAGAAATTGAAAAAGATGTTGACATTTTTTAGTCAGAAAAGACTTACATCCATGGGATTATCATTCCACTTATATTTGAGTTGATGTATTTGAAAACACTTCCTTCTAAAATGGGTAGATTATTGAGATTCCAAGGATGGTCAATGTATTCAAGATCAGCTGGTGAGATGAATTTGGATTTTTTGGTTGGAAAACCAGAGCCAAAGTCATTGGTATGGAGGTCAGCGCCATACTCTACCGTCACTGATTCGTCCATTGTCGATACAAGTCTCCAAAACTCTTTCTCAACACGGGATAAAGGAACCATCTGAAATGAGAATGAAATATGTGTAATTAAGTAAGATTATGATTAAGCGAAAGTGAAATTAAAAGAAATAATTTGTTTACATGTGGTGGTAGACGAAAATAGTCTGCTTTGAATTGATCAGCCATTTCACCAAATTCCGCTAAAGAATAATCTCGCTGACTCTGGGCAAAACCAAATTCATGGGTGAATGGTTGAGGCTGATTTTGTACGAATAAGGCTACACAACGGGGACAATGCCAAACTCCTGCGAATTTTAATTAAGAGAAGAAAAAATTTTAGCATGATAATTACAATGAGTTGATTCAGCGCCATTTTGATGATTTTGATACAATGAGATCATTGTAGCAACAAGGATAACATATAGAATTGAAATATATAAATAAATGCTTAGTACTTTTCTCAACTGATTGATCATCTTGCATCAAATTTTAATAATAAAACTCAATAATCACTTACCCGATGGCATACTATTAAGAGGAGGAATAAGACAGTAAAGGTGAAATAAATTATCACAACCCGCACATCTAAGCAATTGATGTGTGAATGTATTTTCATTGCAGAGAGTGCAAATCTATAGGAAAAACAGAAAAAAATTAATTTGTTTATTGATTTGTGTGAATTAAAAGTTATGATAGCACAAATTGAATGAATAGATCTCTTACTTGACTTTTTCCTTCTTTGACTTCTTGTTTCTCATTTTTTTCTTGAGGTTTGATCTTTGATGAATCTTCAGATGAAAAACCGGGCATCTTGGGTCCAGCTCCATATACCTGTAATCTTTGTAACTCTGTGAATGGACAAGAAAACAGACCTGAAATGTCTGTGTAAAACGTTCAAGGTAACTAAATTCTATCGAGTTAGAATAGTTAGTTAAATAGTAAATTTTTCCCTAATGCTACAACATAAGCATTATCAGGAAAGATAAATGACAAACCTTTGTCCACCCTGGGATAACTGGTCCTACGCCTTTGTCCTGGATGAGCTTGCATTTTATGAGCAAGTCTTCTGGGCGATGGGCGAAGTTGTATGGGTTCACTTGGTTCTTCTTCCTCGTCCTCATCTTTTGATTCTTCACAATCAGTTGTTTCGTCTTCATTAAAATCACTAGTCTGAGAGCTAGGAGCACTAATTGTGCGATCCAGTCTAATTTGTCTACTCAAGTCTACGTTTACATTATAAGTTATTGGTCTTCCCACTCTACGAGGAGATGTTCGTAATTGCCTAGCTTCCGTTTTTTCCGTTTTAATATTTGTCTTATTAGCTGTAACCGGAGTTGTAGATGTTAAAGTTGATGTACTTGTTGGTGACAAAGTTGAAGGTCCTTTCAAGGTTGTCATACAAGGTTCTTCTGTTCGATTTCCTAGTGATGAAGCATCTTTGTCCGAGGTGAAAGATGACTTAGAACAATCTCCATTGCTTGACTCAAAATTAACAATTTCTTGTTTAATTTCTGGCTTTTCAGATGATTCCTTAATGATTGGTATAGGTGTAGGTTCATAAAGTTTTCCATTTGTTTCTACAATTGGGCTGATATCATGAGCAACCTTGACACCAGGAATCTTGAGATCACCACCAATGGTGGCTCCACTAAGGAACACATCAAATGGATATAAAATACGCTCATAATGTTGTCGCAATAAGGATGAGATTGTACCCTTGTTTTGTGGGTTTACTGATCAATGATAATAAAAAAATCAGATTTAGATTGAGATTCAAGTAATGTAAAACAAAGAAGGTTATGGGAAAAACGAATTATTATATCATCATGAATGAGAACAAAAAAGCTATTTATCTTGAAAAGTATAAGATTACTTACAATTGAAATTCATGCGATGAGCAACTTTGGACCATTTTCTTTCTCTTGTACATGTCTCAAAGCCTCCTTCTTCGGCGACGACTTTGTGTAATGTATAAAGATCAAGTACTTTCTTCTCGACAGTAGGAAGTTTAAAAGGAGCTCCCTGAAAAAATGGAAAAAATCAAATTAGTATTGAAACAAATGATAAAACAAAGAGGTAATTTATAACAAAATAATGAATAGTTGGTCAGGCAGATTTCCAACTCGTTAATGCGAGTATATTACTGAACTGGTACAAATGAAAATAAAAAACAGATCTAATATAGGTAAATGATAAAAGAAAAGGACAGCTTCGTTTGACACGGAATAAAATATTTGTCTTGTCTAACAAAGCCTTGATAAATCACTCAAACAAAAACAATAGTAATCAACGCCATTAAAGGTTCCTACCTTAACTTTGTCTCTGGACAAGGTTCCCTTTAAAGGGCAAGTTTGAAAAGAAGAGAAAGAAAATTTAAAAATGAATAAGAAATGTTAGGTTAACAAGGACGTTAATGTATTGAAAAAGGAATGGAGAAAAAAGGTATGGGCAATCGTAACCCGTTAAATTAAAATGATAGTTGTGAACGGAGTGAATTAGATAATTATGGACATTAAAATTAATATGAAAATGAGCTAAATGAGGAAAGATGAAATCGGTGGATAAAAAACCAAAGAAGGAGATATGAGTGTAAAATGAGAAGACAAAGAGATTTGAAGGCAAGCAAAGATTTTTGAAATAAAAAATTATGAATAATAAAGATGGAGCCATGCAGATAAAAGACGCATTGGGAGTGTGAAATCGAACAAAATGAAAAGCAAACAAAAGGTGAAAATTCATCCTCATTTAGCCGAAGAGTGCTTGTAAGAGGAAAGAATGGCAAAAAGCTAGATAATCAATAAAAATTACAAAAAAGACGAAATCGTGATTTTGTGAGATTTGATGTTCTAGGACCAATTACCTGTAGATCCCAATACTTGATTATTTGTTCCAAAAAATTTAATTTGACCCGTGTCTTCGCTTCCAATTCATTCAATCGCTGAACCCTGGGGGTGAATCGAAACTGTTCGACATCAACGGCAAATGGAGGTTGGAAGGACTGTTGAGATGAAAAGGAAAGAGGAAATATTAAATATAATTTGCATAAACATGATAAAACAGGTAAAACCTAATTTCGTATGATTTAGAGGGTAGAGGTTTCAGGTAAATGTCAGGACTAATGAATGAATGGACAAATGAATGAGGCTTATCAGTCTCACGAGATTCACAATACTTACAGGGGGTGGTATTATCTTGCAGATCCCATGTTTTTCGGCAAGTGGCCGAATTTTTGAAATGTACGCAAGAGGACCTTTGATGAAATCTTCTTCGGATGGACGAAATATGGGAGCCTCGCCTGGTGCAATGAATTCCGTTTCTGGTCCCATCCAAATTGCCTCTTTCTTTCAGTTAAAAAGAGGAAATAGTAAGGGAAGAAAGAAAGAATGAAAGAAAGGAAAGAGGAAGATAAATTGATGAGGAACACACACAGCCAGAAGATATTAAATTATATTAGACACATTTAAGATTAAAGAGTTGATTAAAATCTTAACTGGTAGATTAGATTATTGGAATATAATCATCTTAATCACCCAAAAGTTAACAAAAAATTCATAAGAAAATTAATTAATCCGTCCATTTGAGTTTAAGACTGTAAAGAAATTGTCTTCAATGTTTAAATGGCGAATATACCTAACCTACGCCATCTTTTGACAAAAAACTGAGAGCAAATTGTAAACACATTAAAAACATTTTGATTTTCAAACACGTTTTAACATTAATACACAATTATTGTTATTTTTTCAATTGGTGTATCACCTTTAATTTAAATAAATAACTATTTATAGTGAATTTATGTTAAGCATTGGCTAGCATCAACTGTGAAAGTTAACAATTAAAATTACTAATTTTGATATTTGTTTCTTTAAGTGAGTATATTTTGTGCATTACCTTTTCCTAGTTCAATTTGATATTAACTTTTATCAATGCTTGTATTTTCTATATTTCTATGATTGTGTTTTCTAACTGGATTTGTGTTATATTTAGGAATGGTTTTTGCCAGGTATACCAAGAGTAAAAAACACAAGAAATTAAAAAACGTCGACCCCTCTGCTAAATCTTATGGCCCAACAAATACTGATCCCAGAAAGGCAAAGAAACAATTAATAAAAGAAAAACAGAAAATTCAAAAGTTATCTGAGCAACATATACCCAAAACAATTGGTCGACTATTCAATCCCCAAGATAGGAAACCAAAACGATCCAAAAGAAATGGCTCATCTTTATTAAAAGTGGTTACCAACATGGATGACGGAGATAAGTTGGAGCAACTAAACCTTTGAAGAATATTCCAAAAACACTGAAACAAGGACCATATGAGAGTGAAACATCTTTTCTGAGAAGACTGGACAAACTCTGTGTTAAAGTTCGCTCTGAATCAAAAATTGAAGCAAAATATAATTTAGGGGAGACAACGGAGAAAGATGAAAGTAAAATATCGAACCGAATTTTAAGACGAAGAGAACGCGATAAAAAAAGGAAATTAAAGAAAAAGAAAAAGAATTCTCAAGATGATGAATTTTTTTCAAATGAAACAAAGATATTTTTGCCTGCTTGAGTAACAATTAAATTGTGTCTTTTTCTTATAAACGACCATTTCTATCGGTTTACGGTGTAACTATCCTACATTCCCAAATTTTATATCACCTTAACTTTACTTCGCGTCTAATAGTCCAAGAGATCATTTCATCTGCTTGACACTTATATTTCGTGCCATTTTTCAAAGTCTATCCAGAACAAATATCAGATCTGAGATCCAATTTTTTAGATGTAGATATCATTACTGTGCAGTTTGACATTTCTGTGAGTTTAATTTAATTCGATTTAAAATGAAATCTTACATAAATACTCTTTAAGTATATTTTATAGTACAGTTGAGTGACAGGTCAAATGATTATTATTAGTAATTTGATGTATTAGTTAATTTAAAATCCGTTCTGAAAACTGAATACAGTTTTATTAAATAGATACATTGTAGATGCAAGATCCGATCCCATAACTGATCATTCAGCTTTAACCTTTTGTAATCTTATTTAAAAATTTGTTTCTTCGTTTACTGTTGTTCAATTTCAGCACGGAAATGTCTTTTGTTTATAATTCTGTCAACACTGTGATTCGTGCTAATAGAGGACTTATTTTCAAATACCGATCAGCTGTTAACAATGCCAATATCTCCAATTTTAATGTTTGTAAACATTTTTTTTCATCAAACTCTGTTGATGATACCTTTAAAATGGCTGTAACCCAAGTTGCTGGCCTCCGCTCTGAACCTGGTAATGAGGTTAAATTGAAATTATATGCCTTGTATAAGCAGGCTACTGTTGGTCCATGTAATGCCGATAAACCAGGTATGTTTGATGTGGTCGCTAAGTACAAATGGGAAGCTTGGAGCAAATTAGGCAATAAAAGTAAAGAAGAGTCTATGGAAGATTATATAAAATTAGTTGAAAGTTTGATTAAGTCGATTGGTTTGGTTGAGAGTGAGGCACAAAATGATAAGGAGGCCAAACCATCAACATCCTCACCTGAAGGTATGGTCATCACGAATAAACAAGGTGTTTTAACTTTAAGACTAAATCGACCCGAGAAGAAGAATGCTCTATTAACTTCAATGTATCATGAGATTACCAAAAATTTCAATGATGCGGCCAAAGATGATAGTGTCAAGATGGTTGTCCTGACTGGTACTGGCGATTACTTTTCAAGCGGCAATGATTTGAGTAAGTAAAATGCTAAATTTTATCTAAAATTTCAACATGATTGTTGTTATGTGAACTTAGTTATCAGTACAAGTGTTCTTGTTCTGAGTGCATTATTTCTAACATGATTGGATTTTTAAGATCAATTGATTACAAATTTCACCCCTATTTTCACGCTCAAGTTAAAGGTCTTGGTTCAAGTATCATTCATTCATTTCGTACATCATCTAGTCATAGTGCACGTAAGTGGTGGCTAGTCTTTTTTACTGAATCTTGATGATTATCTATCGTGATAAATTGATGGAAGTTATTCTTCAATGCATCAAATAACTCCATGAATATTTTCTAACCATTCTTTTCTTTTTTTACCTTAGCAAATTTCCAAATTAAACCTACTGATGATATCGCCAAACTCGCCAAAGATTCGGCAGGTTTGTTGGAAGACTTTGTCAATGCCTTCATAGACTTCCCTAAACCACTGCTAGCTGTTGTAAATGGCCCTGCTTTCGGAATTATGGTCACTACTCTTGCTCTTTGCGATAATGTTATCTGTTCTGATAAGGCAACATTCCAAACGCCTTTCTTGTCAACGTCACAAACTCCAGAAGGATGTTCAACATACACCTTTCCTCGAATTATGGGAACAGCAAAAGCCAATGCAATGCTACTTTTTAATCAATCATTGACAGCCCAAGAAGCTCTTCAGTGCGGTTTGGTCTCAAAAGTCATCCCGCATGATCAACTCGATAGTTATCTTGATGGCCTTTTGTATGGTAATAAAGGACTGCTTAGTTTCGGATCGACTATCACATGGCGTATGGGCAAACCTTTAATTCGAACTGAAGAAGAAAAGCAGATTATGAAGAAGATCAACAGAATTGAATGCTTAAAACTCGCAGAAACATGGCTTTCCCCGGATTTCACTCAAGCCATGATGAAATTTTTTACTCGAAAAAAGTAAATACTTTTTAGAAATTGGATAAAATATTTTTAAATGTTTTTGTATCCGAAAAAATCACATGTTGTATTGAACAATGAGAATAATATTTGTTACATTATTTTTAAATCTTTTTTGTTTCTTAAAAAAACAATTCTCGATTTTTACGAAAAAATGGATTAGTCCGTATAATCTGATCGATTTGAATTAATAAAGTTGAAAATTATTGAAAACTGATTAAAAAGGAACAGTTTTATTCAAGAAACCTTGTTTAACATTATCTAAATCATTCAAACTTCATGAATAATCAATGTTTAAAGTTTAGCGCGTAAAGGCTAGTAACTTCGTGAATAAACTCATGAATTTCAGCTACAAATAATAATTGTTTTCTTATAATTATCAGACTAATCATGTAATTTGTAAAAAATGAATAATTATTTTTTAAGTATACATTTATTTTCATTTACAGGTGGCAACCAACAAGCGAGATCAACATGAGTTATAAAAGGCAAAAATAGCACCAGATTGTTGTGCGGGCCAATCAGGAGTAAAGTTATGTGAACAATAAAGCATGAGTATTTTATCCCTCCAAGTGAAATTAGAATGTTTTTAAATATTGAGCAAATAAGAATCTCGATTCAGTAGACATCTAAATTATTTAGAGTAAATTGAACTATAAGCAAAATTAATTAACTGTCTAACTTAAGTTTTCGTTATCACTCTGAACGTGGATCGAAGAAGTTTTGATGAAATTTTTATGGAATGATCGGCATAGATATCTCATATAAGAACTTTTGCATTCCCTATTACTGAATGTATTTTCAACCCTTTCGTTTTTTATTTCGACTATTACAATAAGCTGCAGTTTTAGCGGGTTGATTGATTCGACTCCATAAATATTTCGGTGACAGGCCATGAACAGTAATAATATATGGTGAAATATAACCACAAATATCAAAACTTGAACCGATTTCACGAAAACGAAAACGAAAACCAAAATTGTGCATTAATTGGATATCCATAAGTTGATCTACAAATTAAACATATAAATTATTAATACAAATTGAGATTATTTAGATTCTTAATTTTAGAATCAAAACTAAAATCTAGATTTTTAGCATTACCTTCATGGTATCTGTATCTGTAGTCGTCATACATTTTAACAGCTTTTGTAGCACAAAATCCTGTGATATACAGATCTTCGAGAAAAAAATATCTACAGCAACAGTTGTAGTAATAAATAGAGATCGCGCAACATCAGCCGACATCAGGTATCCAGTCCCAGAAAGATAATTCGGGTAAATATTATAAGGATAGACACTAAAGGGCACGAAATATTTGCTTTTGGGATCTCTAATAGGCTGGGCCTTTTTAATTAAGCCTCCAAGTAAAATTTTGTAACCTTCTTGTCGGTGGTTCCAAGGTATCTTTCTAACTTTAAAGGCCACCATTAGTTTATCGATTAATTTAATTAGATTATTGACTTGAACAAACATGTCATCGTCAACTTTAAACAAAAATATTGGTTTTTTAATTTTCAAATTCATTCCATTAGGTACTATCGGTGGTGGCTTCAGTCGTCCATAAGGTCGATTAGGCATTTTTGGAGTTACGAATGGCGATAATAATGATGAAGAGGGAGAAGAAGATGATCCATACGATAAAGATGAATGGTATGAAGGAAACGGAGAAGGGCTTTTCGTTAAATTGAGAATCTCTTGGTTGAAGTATCTAAGTATTAATAATGATTTTAGAGTTAAATTGTAATATGAATCATAAAAATCATATTGAATGAGATCATTGAAAGACAAGTCTTCTTGGACAATTTGCTCATTTAATTTGCTCATCATAGGATCTGACGGATTGTTTTGATGATCAAAGATCGGGTAGGTGAGTTTATTTGCATCGTCGGACATATGTTTCGATGAATTTGAAATCGAAGAGTTATCTAGTGAGTTTCCCTGCGGAGTAGGTTTTCCAATAATGAAGAAAAGCTTTTGTTGATGATAGTTGATCAGCTTAGACCAAGTATCTCTTATTGCTTGTCTTTGGTCAAAATGTTGGACAGAAGAGCTGACAATTACAACTAAACGAATATCCTCTAGCTCATCTAATCGAGGTTTGATTAACAGTTCAGTTTCCAGAACGAATTGGCTCAAATTGGCTATCGGCTTGAAATAATTTGCTTTGAGGCGAGCCTGATACTGAAGATCAGGATAAGATCGAGGCCCAGTCGGTATCTTATTAACAAGAATAACTAATAATGTGACCACGAAAATGGTCAGGAAACCATAAAATGATGGAATAATCTTCCTTTGACTGGAATGTTGAGATTTGCCTTTAATAACCCCGTTAACTTGACGAATACGTGGTATCTTTGTGCGTTCCAAGTTAATTTTGTAAGTATGTTTAGGACTCGAATTGCTCCCATTGACTAGCTTGTAGCCATTTTTGTGAATATTTTTTTCCATATTTGAATGTATACTTTAAAATGGTTCATCTCAGACTGATCCAATCGATTAACAAGCCCAGGCTCTCCATAATAGAACAGTGAGACTTTAAAATCACAATTAGAAAATCAACGGAATGTCAAAATCTGAAAGTCACAAAAAAGAAACAATTTAACAACCCATTTTTGAAGATTCACTAATAACTTACTGTTAGATGCATTATCCCAACATATTTCATTTGGTTCGAATCGGTGCAAGAAAAAAAGATGGCTCGGGCAAACATGAAAACCAGGATTTGTCTGGTTAGACAGGCAAAATTCAGATGTAAACAATGAATGAACTGGAATTACACAAAATTGTAGATAATTGTAAGTTGATTAGACGGATGATGTAGATAGGTAAATAACTGGATAAATAATTCTTTAGTTGACATTTATATGAATCAGCAGGGTTTGACAGAGAATAGGAAAACCATTAAACATATTGTTATGATTGAAAGAAATGGATTAACAATGAGAGAGTCCCATTCGAAATGGTTGTCTGGTAAGAAGTAAAATTGGATCCGATGAAGCATATTTTGAATCATTTTCATGATTCCATTGGTTACTGGCAATTGAAATGGGCAACGCAGGAGAAAAGTAATTAATTGAATTCAATAATTAAAAACGATAAATTATGCAAAAAACAAAGGAAAACAGGAAGGATAACAAAAAGAGAAAGCATAACCGGTGAAGTAACTGTTATGTGCTCCCTTCAACTCTGAGTGTTCGGAAGTGAGATGAGACAAAAACATAACATAATTTTGTTGGGTAAAACGGTTTCAACCAAAGAATAAAGAGCAAGATTAATTGATTAACTGTCAGAATATTGAATGTTTAGCACACAATGAAAATATAAATTCTAGTTACTAGAATCTATGAAAGTCCAATCATATGATAAATTTTATAGATGGAGAAGGACAATTCAACTTATGTGTAGCAAAAATGATCAACAATAACCACGAGTTATTAACCAAGAGTACATCTCTGCTTGGAAATGTATAGCTGATAAATCAAATAAAAATCAATAAACTAATCGACTGGTTAAAATGACTCCATGTCGGATAATAATAATTTAAATTGCAAATTGATTCCTAACCAAGTTGAGTTAATTAAACTTCTATAATAACATGAAGGTTCATTTTTGGGCTATTTTTGACTTATTTCTTGGTGAGGAATAATTTCCTCCATTAACTTGTTGTTGACAAAATTTTTAAAAACAGTTGAAAGACAAATCATGCAAAATAAACTGTCTATGATGATCATTATATTAATTATGATGATCATCTCAGTTAAGAGCTATTGATCAGAATCTGTCCAACCCAGGGAGACACTTTTCCGTTGCCATAATAATAATTGGCTGGATAAATTTAATCAATGAAATGATCAACACTTTAGTTAATAATTATTTTAGTTTGTTTCTTTTTGTTTGCACTACTTATACTCCATGTTTTTCAACAGTTTTACTTTTAATAATTAGCATTTGCTATTCCAATCACATTTTCATCTCTAACATTTTTAAATAACTAGGTTTTGAATTGAAGTTAATTGAATTTGAAACATTTGTTCAAATACTAGTGTCGACAATCTCGTTTCAAGTAACCTTTATCAGCCAATTGATGTTCATTAAACTGGTAAAGGATGAAGACCAAAAGAATAGGGTAAACGGCCTAGAGAGAAATCTTTTTGTTTTAATCTTATTGTAAAATTTCATGCTAAATTCATTACTTGAATCCATTTTTCGAAATAACTTTTCGTTTTCGAGATATCACGAAAGCATGAGGACGAGTATCACAGTAACCAAAGGTGAGTGCACGTTCTAGATTGATTTTTTAGATGTAAAATTCAATTGCGATAATGGTGAACTATCAGTTTGCTGCTTTTCATGGATTTCATTAAATTATTTCAAAATCTCGATTCGAAGTGTAAATGATGGGTTTATAAAACTGGTTTCAACTGGTTGATAAAATTGAAAATTATTGATAACTGATTAAAAAGGAACAGTTTTATTCAAGAAATCTTGTTTAACATTATCTAAATCATTGAAACTTTATTAATAATCAAGTTAAATCAATGAGGTGGAATGAAAAATTAGCCTCGAGTTCGTGAATAGAGAGGATACATTGTAAATACGGAGTGAACCTGTGGATGGGTGCTGCACCATGGATGGCTCTTCCATTGTTGTGGGCAAAACCAATCGTTACATAATTTATCATAAAAAAATCTACAATTGCTCAAAATTATTTGAGTTGCAAAAAGGTCAATACAAAACCTGAAGCATAATTATTACAAAGTACATTGCAATGATTAGAACTTTAAGATTGCGAGATATTAAATTGATGTTAATAAACTTACTTTTGTCTGGAGTATTATTATTGTCAATATTTCTTACTGAATAGTTTTACAAGCTTCGAAATAGGTCACTCGAAAGTTGAATATGAAAATGTCTAACAATCGAACACTTTTTGCAATTTATTGACAGTTCTCTTGATTTGGGGGTCACTGACTTGAAAACTTTGAGCCTCAATATTTCGAGAACATGCAAGATTTCTTCTTCTTTCTTATCCAGTGCCAGAAAGATCGAAGCCCAATTTTCAAAAATTTCACATTTCGCAGATCAAGAATTATTTGTTGTTAATTGTATTAATTGTTTGAATCTTTACATTTAATATGTTTGAATAGTTACACAATAATGATGACTATTAAATCAATATTATACAATTACGCATTCGTAGATTTTGACTAATATACCTTTATTATAAGTTATAACACAATTGAACAAATCATTACAAACGAATCGGAAGGTTATTGAATGATTCGAAATCACAAACCAGAATATTGGAATGTTCATTTAATTACATAATAGGAGAAAGACTTGAAAAATATTCAAACAATTGAATTTAAACCATGTAATATCACTTAAAATTATGAGATTTGATTGAGATTATTTTGGATCAACAAACTTTTTCCACCTAAAATTTCATTGTCATCGCTTAATTTAAGATTTATTTCATTTTACGGCGCATATTCCTATTCAGAGGATAACCTATTAGTCTAACGGTTCTATAATATTTCAATTTCATAGTTGATAACCAATTGGATTTAGACCTTCCATTGGTGTTTATTATTGCTGGTAAATTAAGCTAAACTTTTGAGTTTTTAAGTTGGGCATGAATAAATTATTGCAAGTATTTTATAACTCTTACTAAATCTGAAGTCTGTTGCAGTTAAAATAGGCGAGAAAGGGCAATCCAATACATGTATGTGCAAAATAAATAGATTAAATCCAATCAAAAAACAACAAAATTGGAAGCTTAAATTCCATGTATTGGTCGATCGATGCAGAATTTATCCAGTTTCTCCAAGAACTTTTGAGTCCGAAGTGCTGGCTCAAACTGTAAAACAAAAGTTGCAAAGGAAAAAATATTAAATCAATGATCTATTCGCCATTTTGCTCAATTTATACTTACAAGTTTTGCCACATCGTATATCTTTATAAGTTTCTTGATACCGATGCTGAAAGATGTTTGTCTCAATTGTCGTGCAAGATAATCAACGTCTTGTCTCGTGAAAACATGAGTACCATCGGTAGTGGAAAGTTTTTCGGTGATTTGTAAGACATGATCAGCTTCAGACACGTCTGGAACATGGATAATTTCATCGAAAGATTCTGTCATGTCAAAAGTTCTTAAGACTTCGATATGGCTTGTTGTGCAGATAATTAGAAGGAATCGGTCTTTGGGAGGTTCTTCGCGGATGAATACTTTAAGAGCTTTGAGAACCAAATTTGAAAAACGAGGACCGATTGGAGTATAGTCCATGAGTTCTTCGATGTCATCAATTATAATGCAACTCAAAGCTGATCGGTAAGCATCGTCGAAGACTTTGCGAATTATGCTACACTTGGCTGTTTCTGAGTAACCAACCATTTGTTCAGGAGAAAGCAATTTGATAAAAGGAAATTCAGACATTTTTGCGATTTGAGCAGCTAAAGCTGATTTTCCTGCATTAGATGATCCATGTAACAGGATAGGAACAACGCGACAAGATTTAAAATCATTAGCTTTTTGGATCAACAAATTTCCTTCAGCTAAGATATTTTGAATCTGTTGACACCAAATAATGATACCTCGCTTAACGAATTTTTCAATCTTTTCTGAGCTCGTACCGAAAGCTGGTTTTATGTCATTTTCCAGTGCATGTAGAAAATCATTTCTGCAAACAATCATTTTGTTGCATGCCTCTGGATCAAATTCAACTTTATTTGTTGGTTTAATTAGTCTAGTCATTGCAAATGATTGAGCTGCACGAACCAACCCCGCCAGTTCAGCTCCAGAGAAATTTTTCGTTTTGGAAGCAAGTTCTTGAAGATCTACATCATCAGCGAGCCTTCCACATTCTCGCATTCGCTTCGTGTGAATCTTCAAAATTTGCTCACGTCCTTTTGAATCAGGTAATCCTATTTCTATTTGCACCTCAAATCTTCCAGGTCGCAGTAAAGCGTCATCAATCATATCTTTACGATTTGTCATACCGATAACTAGAATGTTGTTCAACCCATCAACACCATCCATTTTTGATAACAGCTGGTTAACTACACTGTCGTGTACCCCGGAAGCACCGGCCTAGGATGAAAAAGAAGGAAAAATTAATGAAAGGATATAAAATTTATACGAAATAAATTTCGATGCTCGATAATTACTTACCACAGATCCTCTTTGTTTACATATAGCATCAATTTCATCAAAAATAATTATATGAAGACCAGAACGATTGCCGACTTTCTTGAATTCAGCTTCAGCATCAGCAAATAATTTTCTTATATTGGATTCAGATTCACCAACATATTTGTCTAAAATTGACGGCCCATTGACGATTTGTGGTGGCCGAGCGTTGAGCATTTGACCAATTTGTCGCGCAATAAGAGTTTTACCTGTACCAGGAGGACCATATAACAGGATACCTTTCACGTGTGTCAATCCGAGCTGTTCAACCAACTCTAAAGGAATTACTTTAGACGCGAAAGCCCGTCTGAAAATATCGTTGAATTCCTTATCGAGTCCACCAACTCCCAGTGATTCAAAATCCCAGTTTGGATTGATGATGGATTGTTGTACACCCCCGGGCTTTGATTTTCCTTTAAGTTTGATTGAGGACTCTGCAGCCTCGACAAAAACAGTGACAGAATTGGAGGAAAGTAAGCCTGTTTTGACCTGCGGAAAATAAATGAATTTGAAGTTTTAAAATTTACAAAAAGGCTTATATGGTAATTAAATAATGTACCTTTTTCACAGACTCCTTGGAATCTCCTCTCATTGAAGAAACATCTAACACCTGTATTTCTGAAACAACAACTTGGAGCAGTTTTTTATCACCGTACTTGAAAGCCAACGGTTGTCCAATAGTAAAGGCTTGTTCTGCAAATTGCTGGGTGAAATGAATGGCCATGTCATCAGTATCAAAAATATCTGCAGAAATGTTATTTTTCATCATAAAGTCAACTTCCAATGTGATGTGGGCAATACACTGAGTCCTCAAATCGAAATTGAATGGTCTCACTTCAATGTATGAATCTCGCATCAATTCCGCCCATTTTCTCTGTTGAGATAACAGAAATATAAAATAATTAATAATGATTTTTTCGCAATCAATATGTCGAAAAAAACTTATTTACCATCGGTACATTAAATCCAATCTCTTCTGGATTAAACGAATCTAGTGGTTCAATTGTGAAGATGAATTTTCGAGAATTTTGGTTTGTTATTTCCAAATGCCTGAAATGCAAGAAATCACAATTAATCATCAAAAAATCAAAACAGTACAGATAACTCTTACCTTGCATTTGGAAACACTTTTGGATTGATGATGACTCTGTTTAGGTGTGAATGTTTGTCCGTGGGACATGTTGATACCCGCAATCGTCTTACATCCATGTTGATACGTTTAATTTTCTGTAGAAACCTGGAAACTGATTGTTATTTAATGAATAGAAATTATTTTGTTTATGTTTCTTGTCGTTTGCTTGGCGGAACCGATGTTTGTTTATAATGTAATGAATACGACCCCTAGCGGTAGTTTATTAAACACGAATTTCAAAATAAAACTTTTGATTGCTCTGAATTGAATTGTAATTTAATTATGATAAACTTACTATTTTATGGGTTTTATTAATGAAATAAGTCAAGTATCAAGAATATACCCCTTTGAGTGGACTTGATTCATGTACTTGGTTTTTCTATCAAAGATTCGCTCAATAAATCCTTAAGAAGATGATAATTTAAAAGCAGAATAAAGTTAAGGAAATGGTTTCTGATCATAAATAATCGATTGGAAATCAAATAGAAAAAAATCCAAAAATATTCTCAGGAGAGTGACTATCTGGATCTACCTGATCATTTAACCTCAAGTTAGAAGCAGACATCTCTATTTTGTAAACAAATTTCGTGCAAATTTATTCAACTTCTTTACGTTATTATTCACGAATTGACTTTGGTTAGTTTAAAGAGTGACAACACGAAGAAGAAGATGGCTAATTGATATTGTCTCATCCTTTTAGATGAAATTTGAGTGAGTTTCCATGATGTCCATCAATGAATAAATAAAAATCAAATATAGACAGGCATAGACATATACTTGAAATGTATTTCATTTTGGTGATATGAATAGACCAAATACGTGAATTTATTTTCTGAATTAAGATTAGTCTGTTTAATGTTTGTAAAAACTTATTAAAAATATCAAGTCAACGAAAAGATAACAACAAAAATCGATTAATTTAGCGATCCCAAACATATATATTTAACATTTGTAAACTCATCTATGCCGAGATGAGAACCTTCTCGTCCAAGACCACTCTCTTTAACACCTCCAAATGGCGCTTCACAACAAGAGATTATACCAGCATTTACACCAACCATACCTACTTGGAGAGCTTTAGAAACACGCCAGATTTGATCGATAGAAGAAGAGTAAAAGTAGCCGGCTAAACCCGCCCGACACGAATTAGCAGCGGCTATAACTTGTGATTCGGTTTCGAAAGGATGTATAGCAGCTAGAGGTCCAAAAGTTTCTTCGGAGCAAAGTTTCATGTTCTCTGAAATATTGGAAATGAGTGTGGGCTCAAAAAAGTTACCATGCAAGTGTTTGCCACCAACAATTAATTTACCACCTTTGGAAAGAGCATCTTCGACATGAACTTTAACCTTTTCCAGTCCTTTGGAGTTGACCAAAGGTCCAACAGTAGTGGACATATCAAGTGGATCACCAACTTTCAAAGATTTTGCCATTTCTGTAGCAAGAGCATTTACAAATTTATCATGAACACCAGATTGGACAAAGATGCGATTCGCAGAGACACAAGTTTGTCCCGTATTTCGAAATTTGGAAGCAATGCAACCTTGAACAGCGGCATCTATATCAGCCGAGTCGAATACAATGAATGGAGCATTACCACCAAGCTCCAGGCAAACACGTTTAACAGTCGAAGCTGATGATGATAACAATATTTTACCGACATTAGTTGATCCAGTGAATGATATAGCAGCAATTTCAGGGGATGTTGATAATATCGATCCAATAGCTGACGCTTGATCTCGCGACGAGGGGATAACGTTGACAACTCCTGGTGGAAAGCCGGCTTCTTCAACTAGTTTTGCCAAAGCCAGAGCAGAGAACGGGGTATCTTCAGCAGGACGTATTACCGCTGTACATCCACAAGCAAGTACAGCAGCCAATTTTCTTGTTATCATGGCATTCGGGAAGTTCCACTGCAAGAAAGAGGAATAAAATAAACAAGCTGATAAAAAATGAGACTCTCAAAAACGACAAATTACTTGTGAAGTATATTTGGATGACTATCAACAAATTACCTTAATAAACTTACAGGAGTTATAATACCAACGGGTCCGATTGGTTCTCGAACATATAATGTCATTGAATTTGGGAAAGGACTAGGAAACACTTGACCAGTAATTCGTTTAGTTTCTTCTGAAAACCATTCAAAAAAAGATGCACCATAATTTATTTCTCCTTTAGATTCTCTTAAAGGTTTCCCCATTTCAAGACTAATCAACTCAGCCAGTGAGTTGAGATTTTTCAGTTGCAGCTCATAAAGTTTTCGTATAAGAGAAGATCTCAATTTGGCTGAAGTGTTTTTCCAATCTTGAAAAGCATTATTTGCTGCGGCTATTGCAGAAAGTGCATCTTTCTCTGTACATTCCGGTGCGAACCCAAGAACATCGCCAGTTGCTGGATTTGTAACTGGAAATTTACCCCCAGCTGATGGTTCAACCCATTTTCCATTTATAAATGCTTTATCTAGTAAAAATGAAGACGTTGGCGAAACTGTTGCAAAGCATCGACAATTAAATGTGCTTAAATTTCCTTGTGGTAATTTTCTTGCAATTGATGACCCGAAGTAAGACAATTCATATAATTTGCTAACTAACTTGGTGCTGTTAAAACTAAGCATCATGTTTGAACCAAAATGCATCAACACGACCAAAAATAGTTGAACTGAAATGAATTGTAAGAAAACACGGAAAGGATTGATTTCATGTTTCATTAATCATCGGTAATTTACTGCTAAAGAATTCAGGATTCTAATATATCATTTTGAGGTAACAGTCTAGTTATACGGACACAAAACAATAACAAAGGCTTTAATTGAGGCCCCAGGCCATCCAAGCCCACCCGAACCTAACCAAACCTAACCTAACCTAACCTAACCTAACCTAATCTAACCTAACCTAACCTAGTCCGACCTAGAGCGCGATAATAAACGATTATTTATTTGAATCTATAGCACTGTTTATTATATGTGTCCGTATAACTAGACTCTCACCCATTTTGATAATCTTTTTTTCAATACAAAGGTGTTTTAAACATTTAAGAAGTCAATGCTTAATACTACAGTTGGTAGCTAAAAAATGGTGTAATACGGATACATTACAAGGAACAATACACACAATCCTAGCTAATCTAGTTATTGACTCTAACTAGATGCAAACTAAAGCTTTAAACATCGCAAGGAATTATAAAAACATAAATTTATTGTCACAGATACGTATATAGATGTAACATTAACAAACCTTTTGAAGTCTTTCAATGTTTACAATCCTTCGCTTATTGAGTTAAAACATGTGATTTGTTGTTGACGCTATTGTCATTTAATTTCAAGTCTTTAATAAGCGGAAGCTTAACTAGAGCACTTTTAAAGATTGGTTTTTAAGATGTTGATATTAAAATTAATGAAACTTACTTAAATGATAGAGGACAATTGCAATTTATAAATCAGAATTTATATATTCAGATGCGATTAGTTTCTACAGAAGCTGAAAATAAGATTGCTGTGCGTTCCCTAGCGGTGAGCATGTGTAAATAATAATGATTTCGAATGAATGATTTTGAGTTTAGGTCTTGACAGTCTTGTCAGTACGTTTGAAGATTACTTTTAATCAGAGCAAAATGACACTTTTTCCTTATAAGATTCACTATCTAGTAATCTATCATCTAATTAATTTAACATCAAAGTGGATTGGATAAATTGTTACCAACATCTTCACTATCTTCATCATTATCATCATCATGTCAGTTTCTTTAAAAGCTAAACCTCAGCTAATGCAAAAAATTGAAAAGTAAGTTCGATTTTTAATTATTATCCTTTGAAAAAATTGAAAATTTAATCATTCCTGTAATCTTATATCAATGATAGTTATTTTTGAGACAATCCTTCTTTTTTATTGATCATTTTGACTATTATTTAATGTAAAACTGATCATTTTTTTGAAGCTCATTTTTAAACAGAATAATTGATTTATCTTTCTCTACTTTACTTCTTTGGTTTTATTAATTGATTCTAGAGCTTTCAATGACACACTATACAAGGATGCAATCGAAACATCATCAAATTATAACAATAGGCTAATAGCTGAAAGAGCAAGCCGGCTGCCATTCATTGATTTACAAACTGGTGTTGCTCAAAATAATTGCACTCTATGGATGAATCGATGGGAACGGATGCCTGGTCACAATCAAGGTCAAATATACAGTTATCCAACTCGTCGATGGCGTAAAATTAGGCGAAGTTACCTGCTCAATGATATCTTTTCAAACAAAATCAACCTTGAATGTAATGTTAGTGATAAAAATGAAGTAATTGGAGCATCAAGTGGGAACAGTAATGACAATTGTGCAATAGACTATCCAACTGAGTTGGAAAATGCTGATTCTTGTGAAAAATATGACCCTAGCAAGGATAATTCAGGAGAACCAGAAGAATCACTACCTGATATTAGTGAACTCGCTGATATTGATGATCCCGATACTGAAGAAGATGATGATAATACTCCAGGAACTAAGAAGAAAACGAGAAAAAAATATGCCAAAAGGAAAAAAGCCAGTGAATATACAGATGCTGAGAAACCATATATCTGTGATTTATGTGGAATCAAATATAAAACTAGGCCTGGGCTCTCCTACCATTACGCTCATTCTCATGCTAATTCCAATGGAGAATCCTCTAGTGGGTCGTCGAATGGACAAACTGCCCAGAATGATTATACCTCATCTAGAGGAAAAAGTGGTATGGATGACATGAAAACCAGATCTTTAGTAATTATTCCTAGCCAATCTCGTCCAGGAATATCCGATCCTCAATCGTTACCTAGTTATCAGGGGCACATAGGTAACTCGCATTTTCGTGAAAAAATTAATCCGACAGCATCGAGCTTAAACGATCAAAGATCTTTACCCATCAACTATCAACTAAATCAACAACCAAATTTTGTTTTATCACCAAAATACTCCACTACAGGAAAGTCATCGACTAACATTAACCATGACTCTGATGAGGGTGCGTTGGAGATATCAAATTTATCATCAAATTGTAGAAATATTCTGTGGCCTTTATATGATCCACTTTTCTCGTCTGCATGAAATATTTTTTTGACCATTGACCAAAATAAATAATTGCCTGATTTTATAATCGCTTGTTGGATTACTGATTTCCTTCAACATATATTTAGTTTCATATATTCCTTTTTAATATGCTAAAAAATCCCTGGATGATGAAAATGAGTATCATTTTATTAATAGTTATATGATTGATATGTTGATAAAAAGAAAATTCCAAAGCACAAAGGATTTATTGAGAAAGATTGAACATAAACTATATCTCTCTTAACCGTTAAACTAGAATCCTCTAAAATGAGAAAGATAGGAAAATATAGAGAAACATTGTTTTTAAGTTCAATTTCCCTCTTTCCGATCAATGAACTAAAGAAAGGAAAGAAAGAGAAAGATGCTGAAAGTGATGTTAAATTAGTAAGCCATGTCTTCTAGAAGAAAACAGTTGAATGATAAAATGAAAAAAAGGGAAAGATGCAGGAAAACAGAATGAGAGACTCAACTTTCAATCGATTTTTTCACCATCATCAATATAATCTCTCCCTTTTTCCTTTCAAATTATTCTCTGGTTTACTGATCATTTTTGCTTCGCGCAGGAAATGGATTTTTTAATGATGAAGAGCCGATCAATGTGGTTGGCGGTGTAACAGTTAATGAACTGCTAGAACATGATGCACTCATAGATATTCTTTGCTGTGATTGCTTAGAAAGTTGATAAGATGATAAACGTCTGGGATGTCCATGAGAGATTGTACATCACATTGTAGATCTCTGAGGCTAAGGGAAGTACCGGACATGGAACGATTTTTCATTTTCATTTTTTAAATCAAATCACAGTCACGAGACTAATCTAAATGAAAGATAAAAAGGACAAAAATATGCAAAAGCAACTAGGTATACCTCCAAATCCTGTGAATTAGTATCACTCGCAACTCGCTTTTTATTTACCAAGAACAATCCATTTCAAATGTGATTATCCTTGCCTTTATTAGAGGTCTGGATGTGATGGCTCTATCAACAAACCTTGGGTGTCAAGATTTTATTGATTTGATAATCTACAATACATACAATGCCAAAAGATCTCCCCATCACCCTTTCACCACATCACCTTCTCGTCTTCTCTCACTTCTCATCCATCTCTCAAATTTCACATACTCATTTAGATTACAAATTATTATGGTTATATGAAAATAGAAAATGCAGCTCATCTCGCAATATTTTTCTTAGTTCTCATCGATATCAACTCTAAATTAATTGAAACAACTTTTTTATAATTTTAATGAATACAAATATGTTGTCTCAATCGACGGTATTAACAAGAAAAATTAAACAATCAATGCTCTCTCCCTCTTTTCCTGTAATTCAAAATTGAGGTGAAATTGCTAATGATGCATATTTTGAGCACTTATATTAATCACTAGGTATAACTTAAACTGAATTATCCTCAAAGTCGAACCTTTTCTCATTTATTTGAAGGAAGCAGGAGGCCTTGCCTCGCCTGGTTTCAAATTTTCAAACGATTCATCCACGATTCCCATTTTTTCGAATCTGTCAACTCTTCTTTGATGATAAATATAGCTTTTGTAATCATCTATGTATTCAACTGACGCCTCTCGCCACTTTTGCTCAGTGTTCTGAATTTTTTTCATCCTTTTTATATAAGGGGCATCATAAAGGCTACGTGCTTTATCGCTTAGCTCAGCATATGTACTATCTGTTGCCCAGAGAAGACCCTTGAATAAACCTGCAACAGGGATTCCCGCTAAACCTGTTAACGTTGCTCCAGCAAGCATAGCTTTAGGTCCACGATGAAAAGTATAAACTCCACCGGTAATAGCAAATGAAAAAACCATGTCAGTAAATCTTATGTCATTATGGTAAACTGCTAAATTAATAGTTGTGGTAGAAAATAGCAACGCTAATAAACCAGCTCTCCACCCGAATTTGAATCCATTTCGAATACATGTAGACAGGGTACAGTCGGCAAGTTTCCGAGCATATGCAGTTTTAGACTGGAATTGATATTCGTTGAACCTTGTTTTGAAGTCTATAAAAATAAAAGCATGATATTTATAAATGGGAAAGTATTTAGCATGACCATAGATTAAAAAATTGCGCAAATTGATAATCACCATTATAAACAGGCCTCATACCAATAGTTGCACCAATAATCCCACCGGCTATCATTGAATGGTACCAGGTTTTCCAGATGAAACCAGCTTCTCCACTTTCTTCACCATTTAAAATTTCTCTGTATAATCTTTTAACACGATAAACACCATCTTCATCTAGAAAGGGCAAAGTCTTAGTAGGCTTGTCGCTAAGAGTTGAATTTGAAGGCTCACTCATTGGAGAAGATGAGAATCGATATAATTCGCACCAAAATGAATTAAAAGCTGTTATGAATTAAATAATTAGAATCTACATTTTATATTATATTCACATGTTTTGAATTTATTGCTATTAATCTTTGGTAACAACCCTCTTCTGGAGTTTAACGATAATAACAACAGTATCGATAACTATCGATGTTTATCGACAATATATCGATAATTAATTGTTCATTAATTGTATTAATATTACGTGGTATGACAATATTAAAGCAATTTGAAGCATCTTATATTAATACATTATCTATTATGTAGTAAGCATCAAAGTTGGTCAGTCATTCGCTCTTTTTTTTCTTAGCCCAATAAATTTTTCACCATAGACTAAAAAATACTCACTTACAGGGGAATCGGACATTGTAACATTGTTGCCAACACCAATTTTAATGACACACATTGCACTCAAGTTGGCTCAATTCTTATTCGGATAATAGTCGAGCAGTTATCAAAATTTTTTTAGTCAGTAAGTCGAAACCTTCATCGACTAACGTCTAAAACTAGCTTTCTCCGAAACACTGTTTAAAACAACCTGTTTCGATTCATGTTTGTTAGCGTATATCCTGGTAAAAAGATATATTTATATTCTAGGTCCGATTCTGTTTACTAATGATTTACTAATTTACTAATTTATTCAACATGTTAACATGAAAGTTCAGAGGAGTCGGATTTAGATGATAGATCAACAGTTTCAAGGGGCTATACAGGTGGTGAAAGAACTGTTCGGGATAAGAGTACATCTGAAAGGCTTTGAAGAAGTGAATTCATTTCAACGACAAGAGCAAGAGTGAAAATTTAAGATTAAGCTCATGACCTTTTAAGATATTGTTGTACTTCCGAGTTTTGAAGTTCAACAATCAAGTTCAGGTCAAGGCATATTATGAATAAATTAGAATTAAAAAAGGTGAATACAAGTACATTATTAACAGTAAAAAACAAGTAACAGCAAAACAATTTAATTTAAGAAACATTGTAATAATATTACATTGCATGATAATATGGTGAATTGAGAAGAGAAAATTGCAAATACAAATTGAAAAATGTAACAATTAGATAAAACCTAAAACCATGAATTTTGGTAATGAGTTTCTCCATTAAAATTATATTTTTTCGGATCTAAATTTGAACATCATCCATGGCATCCCAAAGATGGATAGGCATAATTTGATAAGGATTCAAATGTTTCATCTGCAGTTGATAGACCAATCAGAGCTGGAGACGAGACTTGATTAGATGGACACGAAGAAATAGCACGATTGTTGATTAATACCAACAATAGAGAAAGATTGATTATAGTTAACAATAATAGAAAAACAATGAATGGTTTCAAGTTTTTCATTACATCATTTACATGAGAGTCATCACAAGATTTACAGTTTGAACAACTGACAGAGCTGGATGCTTTATAAGTAGATTTTTCTGGCATCGCCGATGATAATGATGAAAGACTATTAGAATCACATTGATTAGATGCCGTCGAGCTTACATTGGATTGCTGAGCAGCATTAGTTTGGAGACTTAGTTGAGCAACGGGCTGCGTAGCGTGTATTAAGGGTTGACTATTTAAATTTTGATTAGAGTCGATGAAGGAATCGTCTTGGCAAAACATTTTTAATTGCGAGGATAAACCAATTTTACTAACAGATTCAGGATAATCAGTTGACCATTTTTTCATCATTTTAATCCAAGCATCACAATAATCTTGACAACCTTTTCTGGATCCATCTTCAATCAAAGACTTGAATCCCCAGGCTCTTGATTTAAAAACTAATTTATAATGGAAATGGAAATGTGTCTCAGCTGGATTAGCAGTTCTATGTAGACAAAAGTAATTAACTACATAAAACAATGAGCATAAAGGAACTCCTGCAGATTCAGAAACCAATCTGATTCCATAATAATTTGATGAATCTAAATGTTCAAGATACATTGTTTCTTCGCTTGACATGTTTTTGGCAAATGTATAGTCCAGTACCATTTGTCGACTGAATTGCCTTACTCCAATGATTGGCTTGTCAGATTCCTTTAAATCGCTTTCACTAGGAGTACACCATTCTCTGGTTATATTGATCTCGTGTTTTAAGCTCTCAGCGAAAGTAGAGGCGAAATGTGAATTAGTAAAAAGCATATCGAATAATCGATCCAAATTAATAGGTAAAACAACATCAGCTAGGCATTTTGATTCTTGATAGGGACATGATGATGGATCTCGTAAAGGTTTGCAAAATTTAGGAGATTCATCTGCAATTATTTCTTCTACTTTTGAACATGGTTTCCTAGTATCATTGATGTCAGCTAAATCTCCAGTTGAAAAGTATTTTCTGTTTGACTTGGTAGAGCATTTCATCTCTTTTGAGTTATCATTTATACGCTTTGATCCTGATTCTAGATTTGAGTAACATTTCCGAATAGAGGGGTCCACTGATGTCTTGTTGTTATTTGTATCACAATTAGTCAAACGTCTTGATAAATTAGCAGTCCAAGCTGAGACCAGAGTCGAGTAAACTTTCTGACGAGAGACTAGAGAAGTAAATAAATATTTATCTCCAGTTCTTGTGACAACTTGAATTGCATTAGGAATCACTTTTATTGTTTTAGCTTTAACGATTGATGATATTTCCTTCAGTGGAATCACAATTTTAGTTTCCCATTTCAAAAGTGATCCATAAAAACACAAGTGACTTGAAGATATGTACAAACGTCCAGAGATGATCATATCCCGTAATATGGCTCCAGAAAAATCTGCTATCAATCCAGCGTTTGGACCGATTTCAGCACCAAACAAGGTTTCATAATTTTTAGTTGTTGAGGATTTTGTTTTGATCTTGTTTTCATAATTAGCTCCTCTTTTATCTATAGTTTGAATTCCACGGGAAACCAATTCACATTGAGTAGGTGGTTTAATCATCTCGTCAATAACTTGGTAATCAGATGATCCAGAATATGTTGAGGCTTCTGTCGTTAGTGAAGTAACTTCATCGTTATAGTAATGAGGACTAAGAGTAGAGCGATTCTTAACCAGCCACATTTAAAGTGAAAACGTAAAATTTAAACTTAAAATTAGTATTCACTGGAAAGGGTTGCAGTAAATGTCCTTTTTATCAAAGTTGAGCTTGATGCAGATGATGGTGAAACCAAAAATTTACGTGGTTAATATTGATTTGATGAAATGAATTTTTTGACAAACGTCTTTTGGTAAGTAACACGATATGCTTCACTGGTTCTTTCCTGAATCAATCTTGGTTTTCTTTTAAAATGAACCAGATAGATACAAAAGTAAAAAGAAAAGTAAAAAGAACCGGTTTGGTGAATTAATGTAAAACTGAAATAAGTTTACGTGGTTTAATAACCGTTGATTGCAGTTCAAATTTTCTCTGAACAAAGTGAAATAGAAAGAAGAGAGAAAAGAAAAGGGAAAGAAGCAAAACAAGAATCTGAAGTCAGAAGATACTTAAAGGTGATACAGCGTGTGTTAGCGGTTAAAGAAGAGGTCAGTAAATCTTGAGATGGCAAGTAAAATAAATAGTTACCTGGATAAGATGGCTATCGAATGAATCAAAAGAACCGGTTTATATGGTAAAAAGTTGATAAAAACTAGCTACTTAATAAGAAAATTGTCATTCAATTTACAATAAACATACGAAAAAAAGTTAAAAATGGACAAGAATATTTGATAAAAGTGTTTTCCAATTCAAGGTTGTTTTGCAAAACATCAGATTTCCAACTGAACAGATCTTCAGGTAAGTTTGGAAAGTGTTTTCATAACTAAATCAGATTTATTTATGTAGATTCCACAATGATAATAAGATGGGAGTGAAGAGCTATGACGGTCAAATTAATTTTGATGAAACCACAAATTGACGTTGCTGACGCACTTACACAGGACAATTTTAACAAAAAGCCTGTTAAATACTTGGAAATAACAATAAACCAAAGGCACAAGATTACTGTAACAGTAAATCGCTTTTAAGCACAAATCGCATTATTAGTTGATAAGTTGCGACTTAAACATGATTAAAATCAAATGTAACAATGAATGAATTGTTAAAATAAAATTAAAGGGATAGAAAATGAAAAAACAAACTTTACATTGATACAAGCCTTTATTTGAAAACTTACAAGTAAAGGGAGTAAAGGTTGCTTAGGTAACCAAATTCAAATGCAATGGAACTGTCTATCCTGGTTAAGTGATGACGGTTAAGTTGAATGCGATATAATCAATAAAACAGAAGCAAAACTTAAACATCAATTGATTATTGGCAGTAAATAATTATATAAAATGGGAAAAAAGGCTTTTTTTAAAATCTAATGATCACGCTAATACAATAATCATTATTGGCATTATGAGTATCATTGATAAATTAACCGTTAAAATGTGAAAGTATATTAAAAGGCTATTTATTACATTGCTGTTAATGTTGGTTAAAACAAAGAAATGGGTAAAAAGGTTAACCAGAAAACTGAACAAGTAAAAGTGAATGAATGCGATGAAAAGCAAATAACTTTCTCAACAATCAACCAAATCAAGTCCTAATTAGAGCAGAATTTAAATCTTTAAAATCTTCGTTCACGACTCATGAACAGTTGAATTCATCCATTTGATGAACCATTTAATTAAACAATTTGAATCATCTGAACAATCAAACCTTTGGTTTCAAGAAAACCTTTGAACAAAACAGCTTTCATATTAACCAGTTTTTAGGTTAACTTATGCTGAATCACAAATCAATTTGGGTTAAACCTTAATCATTAGCTTTTTAAAGAAACCATATTGTTCATTATTAATGTTTCAATGGCTTCTTAATTATCTGATTGTTGACCAGATTTCAATGTGAATATTGCCTTTGAAGTCACAGAAAATTACAATTGCGAATGAAAAGGTTAACACAATTGAACTTGGTATTTTTAATTCAATAGATTTATGCATTGAATGTTTATCATTAAGGTTGACACGCAATTCATGATAAACAATGGTTAGAGTGGAACTGAAATCAATGATTGGACAACCTTAAAGTCAATAATGAATTTAAAATTAAATATTGTAACGTACAGAGGTTATGATAGAGTTGTTGTTCAATCTTAACAATTGACTTGTTCAGTTTCAACAATCTGATTACTTGAATCATCTTTGAACAATTTGAGACTTTGTTACGTTGATTATGTCAACAAAAAATAGCAAATTAAGTCAATCAATGCGAAAGGAAACAATTTGTTCAATTTGTCTTATTCAAGGTATCCAATTATTCAACTTTCACGTTAATAGATGTAAATAACATGTATTATATTTTCACTTAAATTGCTTGGATTACTTTAATCACTTCAATTATATTGAGTACCGAGTTGACTATTGAATCCTGAGGGTTTCCCTGAATCATTGACGTGTTTTCAATGATAAACAATACATAATCTATTGATTTTTGTGTTGTTAACCAGGAAGTTTGTCATGTTTTGTTTTTCATGCTTACCAAAAATGTCTTACCCCTCAAGTCTTGATGACTTCAATCATTTTAAATCTTTCTTGTACTACCAGTTAAATTACACAGAATCAAATGATATTTAATGATCGACATCAACAATACGTTGAACCTTCACATAATTATGATACACTGTAATATCCAATGTAATAATAATGGTAATTGTAGACTGTAATTTACAGAGGAAATTTTGCGATGAATTGGTGTAAAGGTTATTGAACACTGTTCAAAAAACAATGATTTGAGCTATAAAATTGTGTATTGCGACCTTTTCTGCTATTCAAGGGACATTACTGGACTAAATGATGATGGACACTGATGAATTGATAGGGAATTGAAGTTATTGGGTCAATAGATTAGGTTTTAAGACTGGTTAAAAGGTTGAGACTTTGGCTTGAGCTTGAAATCTCATTTTTGGTTTTTACTAAGAAAACACAATTAGGACAACTGACCCGAATGGACAAAAGACTCTATTAGTCTGTAGAGACATCGAAACTGGATCGATTTAAGGGATGAAATGTTTCTCTGATGAATAGTTTTCTCGAAAATCGAGCTCCAAGTTGAGAATTCAAATGTTTTTTGTTCAATTATCAAAGGAGATTTTTTCATAAATCACTAGTTTACTGATGTAATTTTTAATAAAGAACCAGAAAATTCAATTATTTTGAAAAGTAAACTTTTCTGTTTTCTGCAAAACATATAAGTTCGATTCGCGTTTAAATCGACTTTTTTCAGTGACTATAAGAGTTAGAGGAACCAAACTTATAATTAGTGCAAGAGAATTGTTTGTGAACATAATGTATTAAATACTTTTGTCGAGCTATTAACAGTTCTGCAGATTTAGGCCATTGACCTGAGAACTTTGGTCCTCAATATTTCGAGAAAGATAGCATTTACGAGCACTATTCTTTCACCAAATTAATCCTTTACTGATTACTAATTCAATGCATTTAAATAACTTTCCATTTATGCGTTTGTATCATGATTTTTGGCCTTTAAATGTGCTAGAAACAGCTTATTTAACAAAACAAACTCATCTTAACCCATTTCTTGTTAAATAAAACAATTTTCTGGTTAAACTGTCAAACATATTGCAAAGAATGCTGCTAAAGGCTCGAACATTTTAGTAATGAGTTGAGACTTATTGGGTTTGTAGGGGCGTAAAAACTAAATCCACTGGTGCTATTCAATAATTTATCAGATGGCCAGTTTTTGAGAAAATCGAAGTCAAAGTTGAAACTTCGGTCGACTTTTGTACAGTTATGGAAGCCCATTTTTTCATGAAACTATATTTAAATGATGTAGATTTTGATGATGAACCAGAAAATGCATTTATTTGTCCAAATAAAATCTTCGTTCTCCAGTAAAACACATAAGTTCGATTTGCATTTAAACCGAATTTTTTCTGTGACCAAAAAAGTTAGAGATCTGATACTTCCTACTAGTACATAAAAATTGATTGCTAACACCATGGTTTATGTCCTTTTTTCATTTTATCAATAATTCTTTTGATTTCGGCCATTAGGCTAAAAAACTTGAAGCTTCAATATTTCGAGAATGGCTTAATCTACAGTGATCATTCTTCGGCTAATTATTAGATTTCACTATGGGCTATTATATACTGCAGCATTATATCATTCAAGATTGTACAAAAATAGTTATAGCATTTTATGAATGATGTTGTCAGATTTGAAACTTTATTTAAAAGATAATAGGTTTCTTAAACACAAAGCTTATGTATTATAAGATTATTCATAGTTAAATGAATTTATACAGCATTGAGTCATATCAGCTTATAGCCTATGACAGAATCTAGCGTCAAGTCAAAGAATGGTGATCGTAGGCGCTATCATGCTCGAAATATTAAGGACCAAAGTTCTCAGGTCAATGGCCAAAATCTAAGGAACTGTTGGTATCTTGAAAGAAATATTCAACACATTGTGTTAACAATCAATTTTTATGTACTAGTAGGAAGTATCAGATCTCTAACTTTTTTGGCCACAGAAAAAATTCGTTTTAAATGCAAATCGAATTTATGTGTTATACTGGCGAACGAAGATTTTATTTGGACAAATAAATGCATTTTCTGGTTCATCATCAAAATCTACATCATTTAAATATAGTTTCATGAAAAAATGGGCTTCCATAACTGTACAAAAGTCGACCGAAGTTTCAACTTTGACTTTGATTTTTTCGAAAACTGGTCATCTGAACAATTATTCAATAGCACCAATGGATTCAGTTCTTACGCCTCTACAAACCCCACCAAGTCTCAACTCATTACTCAAATTATCGAGCCTTTGGCAGCATTCTTTGCATTATGTTTGACAGTTTAACCAGAAAATTGTTTTATTTAACAAGAAATGGGTTAAGATGAGTTTGTTTTGTTAAATAAGCTGTTTCTAGAACATTTAAAGGCCAAAAATCATGATAAAAGCGCGCAAATGGAAAGTTTTTGAATTGCATTGAATTAGTTATTAGTAAAGGATTAATTTGGTGAAAGAATAGTGCTCGTAAATGTTATCATTCTCGAAATATTGAGGACCAAAGTTTTCAGGCCAATGGTCTATATCTTTAGAACTGTTAATAGCTCGACAAAAGTATTCAATACATTATGTTCACAAACAATTCTTATGCACTAATTATAAGTTTGAGTCCTTTAACTCTTATAGTCACTGAAAAAAGTCGGTTTAAACGCAAATCGAACTCATGTGCTTTACTGGAGAACGAAGATTTTATTTGTCTAAATAAATGCATTTTCTGATTCTTCATTGAAAATTACATTAGTAAACTAGTGTTTTATGCCAAAATCTGCTTCCATAGCTGTACAAACAGCGATCGCTGTTTCAAAATTCACGATTTCCTCAAAAACTATTGATCAGAGGAACTTATAAGTCGTACAAATGGATTCAGTTCTTATTTTCTTACAAACTATCATGAACTTGATCTGAAAGAAATCAATTTTCGACCATTTTTCTTTCAGCATTTGTGTATAAACGTGACAATTGTGTTTATTGTGTCTTTTTATTTTAATAGCAACAACACTCACTTTTTCATTCCAACTTTACAATATGAAAACAAAAATTATTAGATTATATTTAATTATTGTAGCTAATTTATGTTTATTATAAATAAAACATTACAGAAGGACAATTTATCAGTAAAATTGAAATTCTGGTCTATTGTATGCAAAACCAATGAGCCGTTGTAACTCAAAACAACCTAAAGATCATTATTTCCTTGACAAGTAAGAAATGATAGTTTGCTGTTGTCTATTCATTTTTCAACTCGAAGTAATTTCGCCTTTTTATCCTTCAAATTGAAACATAATTTACTAATTTCTCTAATTTAGTTAATTAAACATGTTTGCATAGCTTTAGATTCAATTATAATAAACTAAAATGGTTTTGACAGCTTTACAAACGACATTTAAGTTTTACATCTTCTTTGGACAGCAAAGACTCAACAGTTATACCATAGAGAGTCCTACTTGAAATTAAACCATACACCAGCCCACACGAAACGCTGAAAATATTGAACAATCAAACAGCGAGGAAGAAGGGACGAGTTAACTATCAATCGGGAAATAATGATCGCTTTGATCAGTTTGAAGTTCAATCGTTAGCAATTACATGCTGGTTTGTAACACTTCCTATGGGAGATAAAAAGTCCTGTGTTTGGTGCCAATTATGATCCCACAGAGTTTGTTTGGTAAAATCTGAGTCGATACCATCTGAACGTTTTGAAATCTTTCATTAAACCTTTAATCTAATCTTGGTAAATCAGAGAATCAACAGGCAAGATTTACGATAATGTTTTGGTTACGCCTTTCTTGGTGATCGTAATAACAAGCGCATTTTATCATTATTAATTAAGACTTCCCATTCAATGATAATCATTTCCAATACAACTTGAACCTTTTTATAATTTTAACCCAAACAGTTTAAACACATCAAATTATTTTGTTTTGTTGATTTTTGTTGAAAATCTTGAAATACTTGGAGGCCAATCAAGATGGACAAAAGGGAACATTGGAGAGGAATTATGGTAATTTATTCAAGTAATTTTGTACCTTTTCATTAACGCTATTTCATCCAATACAATAGGAATGGAGCTACGAAGGTTTACCTTTGTCATCACCTTCAAATCAGGCCTGTAAGATGTATGACGCAGCTTTAACACAGGTTAGTAAAGCTTTTTAAACTTGAAAAAGTCCGACGTCAAAATGATATTATGTTTGTCAGATTGACAAAAATCATTATAATGAGCCAATCTAATCACATTTGCATTTGAGAATATCTGATTCCAGTAAATAATCCTGAATCCTTCATAGCTACTTACATTGGATTATATGAATTGCTTGCAAGAAATTGAACAAATATAATGTTAAATTGTGGATCTTTTTAAAGGCGATTGTACCTTTGTTTTCAAAGCTAAAAAGCTAATGAACTGTGTTTTTTGCTTTCTACATTTTGATGGATTATTCAATGGAATCAGAAATTTTCCTGAAGCGAATGTCAAAGCAAAATTGATAATTAATTGATAATTGAATGCTATTAAATGTTTACAAATGCATGTATCGAATGATTTGTTTGAATCCGACAAAGATAATTTCATTTCGCTATACAAGGCTCATTACAATCTGTTTTAATTCATCCACTTTTTGTTTTCATAGTTCAGAGATAATAGTACTTATGAATTAAAATTTTCCGAGCCACCATAAGACTTTGGTCTCAAGATTATTCAAGTTCATTTGTTTACATGTTGTTTGTATTTGAGTTATTTTCAGTAATTTGCTATTTTCCACAAAACGAGCTAAACTTCGTTATCCATATGATAGCTTTCAGGAGGTGTATGAACTTGCCAAAACCTCTGCGTTGATGTTTCTTGAGCTATGACAACAAACAGTTACATATTGAAATGAGAACGCCCTGTATCAAATTACCTAATGATACCAGATGTCTACCAGATAGTATTAGTACCGGAAAATTTTTTAAGGTTTATAAGGTGGGATTTGGTAGTTTAATTTCATTGCAAGTTAATTATATTTTGGTAATTTTGGTAAATTATTATTGAGTTGATACTCTTTATTTTTAGTTTTTAATGTTTAAAAAGTTAAATAGTCAAGTGATCTGACAAACAAATAATGATGAAAATACGTTTAAAAGTAGCTTAATTTTAAGGTGATTGGCTGTAAATCAGTTTAATACACCAGAATTGTAACGATTCAAATCAAAATGTTAATTTATAGTGATTTCTGTTCTAGATTGTCGGTTTCTATGATGATCCACTTCTCAATGGATTGGAAGGAACATTCAATTCAATGTTTGATTCTGATCCCGATTTTGGTAATTTATTTGTTGGATTGTTTTCAGCTTGATCAATATTACAAATTGTGATTCCACTCTTGTTTGTTAACAGTTTTGGGTCGCTGTCTCCAAATCAATTTAATGATATTGTCAACTTTTCACTCACCCCGTGATAGTGCAATTTTGAAAGCTAATATTGATATTTTATCCTCATTAAATGCGTCAAGTAAGCACTTGACTCCTCGAGAGAAAGATCATGTTGAAGCAACACTTCTCCTTGCAAGTGGTGATTTTATCGCAGCTACTGATAAATGGGAGAAAATATTGCTTACATTTCCAACCGATCTACATGCTTTGAAAACTCTGTACGACATTTATTTGGACGGTGGATCATTTACTGGTAGACATTTAAGAGATACAGTGGCTCGAGTTTTGCCTTTTTGGCAGTCTTCGGATATTCCATTGAAAGGGTAAACCTTTTGTCCATTTGTTCAACCTTTTGCATCATTAAAATTCTGTTTTTTCTGCATTTCTTTAGCTATTTACATGGACTACTCGGTTTTGGGTTCTGTGAAACAAATATCTTCGGAAAAGCAGAGCATCATGCTTTAAAGGTGATTGCCATTTTCATTGATCAAGTCAAATGAATTGTTTAAAATTCATTTCATTTTTTCCTTAGGCTTTAGAGTTGAATCCATCTGATGGCTGGGCAACTCATGCTTTGACTCATGTCTATGAAATGACGGTTCAAACCGATAAAGGAATTGAGTTTTTGGAGAAAACAGAAAAAGATTGGAAAATTTGTAATACAATTGTTGGTCATAATTATTGGCATAAAGCTCTGTTACACATTGAAAATAATAACTATGAGCAGGCAGTTGACATTCTAGACAATGTTTTGATTCATAGGATTGAAAATTCACCGCATAGCCTTGATTTAGCAGACATTTGCTCGTTATTGACTCGATTGAATCTTACGGCTCCTTGTGGTAGCACTTATAATAAGCAATGGACTTCGGCTTATCAGTCTGTTTCTCCTCATTTAAATAAGCGAATAAGTGCCTTCCAAGATGCTCATTATTTACTAGCATGTTGTAATAGTGGAAACGAATCAATGGCTCAAACGATCCTGGAATCCCTTGAAGAGATGGACTATTTTGCACCAATCAACAAGAATATGGTTAAATCTCTAGCTTCAGCTATCATCAGTTATCATAGAGATAAGTTTGGTGATGCAGTTGAATTATTGTTGCCAATCAGATATGATCTTGTGAATCTTGGTGGCAGTGAAGCTCAACGGGATCTGTTTAATCAAATCCTTATAGTTGCCGCTATTAAATCGGGATCAGAAGAGCACCGAAAATTAGCTGAACATTTATTACTTGAGCGAGAAAGTCTTCGACCAAACAGTAAATTAACTGCAAGTCTTTTACAAAAATTGAATAAAAGCAATTGAAATAATCAAGTCTTTGGATTAACATGGCTCTATCTGATTCCCAGTCAACGATGTCATGTGAAAGACACTAAGGTCAAGTTGTTTCAAGTAAATTGTTTTCAAATTCACAAATGGCCGGTTAAAAATAGATTGACTATTTTTAGTTGTGTTATTTTCAGTTTATTCACGAGTGTTGTACACAATTTATCAATTTGATAACATTTATATCAACAATAACATTTGATACTCCATAATTAATAAATTTCACATAATTCATACTATTGGGTTTGATCACAAAACAATTTATTGATAATCAATTCATGCAGTCTGAATAAATAAATTATTAAATTTTCTTAAACTAATCATTCCAACTTGTAAACATTTGTTATCGTCAACTGGAATAGAACCGACAGTTTCATTTATAAGTGTGTTTGAATTTTTGATAAATATTAATTTTACACCTTTTTATCTTAATCGTTGAAACCGTAGATAGATTAATCAGGTGCTACACCTCAACTGACAGTTTTGCTAATTGATAACTGCCAATTTACATGATTATTTATTGGTTAACAGATGATTTTGGTCTGATTGTTAACACACATTTGTTTTCTTCCATGTTAATTGTGAAATCTGGCCAGAAATTTGCCATAAAATTGATTGTTGGGTTATTCCTACCTTAATCAACTCAGTGTTTTCAATATGAAACACTCTTCCAGGAAAACCTTTGCAAAAAAGGCTGATGATTGATCAATAATCAATATGATTAGATTGTTTCCCGTGATGGCTTAAATTATTTAAGTCTGTTTATCTGAAAAGCAGAACAGATTAAAGCTATGAGCTTTACCTTTGTCTAAATACCATAACTTATAATGAATTTGTTCAGTTCTATTAATATTAATATATCAGCCTTTTCTTCAACATAACACCTAAAAATGCAAATAATCAAGCAAACAATAACGCCAAAAGTCAGTCAATAAATATCCAGGTTATAAAAGGATTGAGTCAAAATTGTTGATCAATTAAAGATATTAAGAGTTTACTTTCTTGATTGTAATGTGAATTTCAGTTCGCGAATTATTATCTTGGCACAAAACCTTGAAATATTGAAGTTACTCAAATTAAGTATCGTATTATCAGTGAATAGATCATGTAAGAATGAAAAATTGAATTGTTTCATTTTTAATATAATTTACTCTAAATTTTATTCTCGCATTTCCTTTAATACTTGATATTGATACAGGTATAACAATCTTATTTCAACATGTTGAATTGGTCCAAGTGTTTTCACCTTGTAACGAGTTTCTTTTCACTCTTTTATATCGATGTATTTAAAATTGTTTGCTAATATAAGTGGTAAATGTCAATTACATCATGAACAAAACTCAACTTTGATTAAGTTTTCTGCAACCCTGTTCAATTACTATGAGTCAAATTAGATCCGTGTTTAATGGTTAAGTGTTTTTGCTTTTTTGTACTTGCCTCGATTGGATAGCAAACAAATATGGCTGACTACAGTCAACGGTTTTACTCAAAGGTTGAGTCTCAAACCTCTCAAAATGAGACTTCGTTTGACTATTTTCAAAGCATAAACTCTAAAAATAGCTTTTAAATCACAATGATTGGTGAAAGTTAACACTATTAACCATATGACTTGAATTGATCAACATTTAGTGTTTAATATTTCAATTTGATTGCTATTGCTCGAAAGTTGTGATTTGAAACATTGATTTAAATTCCGCAAACAGACTGTGTGTGTCATTATTCATGCTATTTTCATGATAGATACTTGTGATAATTAGTAATATATGTTTGATCAATAATCAGGATTATTCTATTATCAGTCTGATTCAAAGATTAGAGTTTAACAGTTCAGTTTTAACGCAAAATATTAACCACTGAAGAGTAATTGAACTTACAATTGTAAGACTTTCAAAAAGGTTTGCTTTCTGTTCATTTTGATCATCTCTCGTTAAATATGGTTCTAGCTGTTCAAGTATTAAATCTGAAATTTAGTCATTTACAGGAGGTCTATCAGTTCATTTACTGATTATAGATGCTTTCGCTTTTCCTCTCTCATCATCAATTAGTTTCAATTATTTTATCCTCTCTCGTTTTTCTAACAATGTAATCAAACTGATGCCATCTTTAAACATGGTTTATTTATATATTTACAGCTACCAACAGCAGAGAGCAAAATGATTAAAAATGGTTTCGCTTTTTCTCTCCCAGGATCATTTAGGGTTCAATTGTATTCCATCTGATCAAATGTAATCTAAACTGATGTCATCTTTAAACATGGAGATATTTTCCATTAAAAAGCAAAGCTAATCTATTGCTCAACTAATTATAACCTATCAACCTTTGACTTTAATACTTTACTTGCTCAACAGCAAAGTGTTATATTAAAGGCTGGTAGTAAATTGGTCTTGAAGCGAGTTTTTGTTCCATGTATTCATCAATTAATGGTGATAATGACGGAATTAACGAAAATATGTTTATATATAAATGTATATTATATGACTAGTTTGTCAGCATAATTTCTTTGAGGTTTGGCTGGATGAATCAATGGATATAAATTTATGAGGTAAAAGTTGAATTGGATTAAAAGGCATCTATGATACTGGTTACTTAGAAAACAGGTTACAAAGTCGTTTGAATGGTTTGTTTGATAATGTCGTCTTATTTCGGGCAATCTTATAAATCTCGTGAATCTCTGGTCTTTTAGCAGGATCAGGATTAAGACAAGCAGCGATTAAGCATCTTAAATCTTTAGAGTAAAGGTTACTGGGTAAAGGAGGGTAATCACAGTTTTCAATTTTTTTGCACAAAGAAACAAGGTTCCGTTTTTCCCCGTAAAATGGTGATTGAAGTGCAGCCATTTCGTATAGAAGACATCCTAATGACCAGATATCAGATTTAAAATTATAACCTGCCTCGTGAATTCGTTCAGGAGACATATAATAAGGTGTTCCAACTAGAGAATGGACATCATTTGTGCGTGTTGAAAAAAATCTACTCAAACCGAGATCCCCCAATTTGATTACTCCTTGAGATGTAATGAAAACGTTGGCTGGTTTAATGTCTCGATGCATCACTCTTTTAGAGTGCATATGATCCAAAGCTCCACAAATTTGAACGAAATAATTCCATATTGTTTTCTCGGGTATGTATTTACCTTCTCGTTTGAAATATTTTATCAATCTGGAAAGATCACCAGCATCAGCTAACTCAAGGACAATGTAAAGCTCATTGTTTTCAACGAATGATGCCAAATATTTGATTATGTTGGGATGATCAAGATGCTGTAGAAGGTTGATTTCTTTAATACAATCGAGTCGTGATTTAGAGTCCATCATATCAAAAATGGAAATCTTTTTAAGAGCAACCAGTTGATTTGTTTGTTTACAGACTCCTTTCATGACAATGGAAAATTGTCCCCTTCCAATCTTCTCAATTATTTCAAAATTGTCCAATTTACCAATGATTGGACTTTTATCCCGATTCTGTTGGTGTTGGCCTCCACTTCCACTGGCACTGATAGCTTCAAAATTTTGGAACATAATTGAATAAAGATTAATTAAAGCACAAAAACATTAAAAAAGTATCAGGTGCACTGAAAATGATTAGATATTAGAATGAGAGTAGAATGTAATCAATCTATTTAATTTGAAAGGATGAGCTAGAGCTCGATTGATGAGATGATAAGTAAGAGGGAGAGGCTATGTGCATGAGAGCCTAAAATTATTAGTCAGGGAAAATACATACCATGATGATCTGTGGTCGTTACTTGGCCTAAACGATTCTGAGCTGGCTCATTTTTCAATTCACTGGACGTAACCTAGAGAAAATATTTGAGTCAAAGGAAATGAAATCAGGAAAAACATTAACGAAACTCTCTGATGTTTGCGCCAACTATAAGGATGGTCGAATTTTACAAGAGTTATCATTAAAATACTATCAAGATAAATCACAAATTGAAAGGATTGAGGTAAAAGGTAGAGATCTAAGAAAAGCAAAAAATAACCTCCACAATTGACCAAGGATCGACAGCACTGGGGACAGCTAAATGATTGGGACTTCTTGCACCATGACCAATTTTATTTGCATTCCAGTGATCAAGATCAGAAGGCCCATCAGCCCTTTGATGCTGAATCTTGTCCTATGAAATGAAGAGAAATCCCAACTATTAGACTAAGACGTAATATAATTTAGTGATAAAGAATAGGTAGTAATTGCATTTCTTAATTTAAACGTTAAAGGGAAGAAAAGAATAGTAAATCAAATTGAAACTTACCACTAAGGAACCGGTACTCATTATATGATCACTTACGTTGATTTAAGAGTTTAAATACAATAAATATAAATTAAACAATCAATAATCTATAACTGCAATTTCACAATTCCAAAAATTTAAAGGGCTAGTTAATTTCCAATGACTTTCTTCTTACTCAAAGTAACGATGTATTAACGATTTAATATTAAATCTTATTTAATTAATCAATCAATGTACAAGTTTAGGGTATTTTTAAAGCACCACCTAGGAATACTAAAGAGAACAAATATCTTGATATTATGCCATCTAGTGGCAAGTATATTGTTCAATTAACCAGTTTTTTTGCTGGTTTGGGTTAACTTTTGGGTTCAGATTCTGACTTAAAGTTCAGTACTTTAGAGTTTTATCAAAGTTTTATTATTTAGTCTGAATTTACTGAAATAAGACTTTAAATTATTAAATTTGATTCAAGTTTTTAATAAATTTAACGATAAAAATACATTATCAATACATTGTTAACGATGGTTATTGATCACAAGGAAGTAAAGCGAAAAAGAGATAGATATAAACATTTGTACAGTTCACGATTTCATCGATACTGGGTAAGATGCTGTTTAATTATAGATTTGGCAGAGTCAACATATCCTTGGGCCAACTGAATATATATGGCTAAAACGATAAATTGAATAGGTAACACTTGTTTGTTTGACTGAGGCTGGATATTTCTAAGTAATCGAAGTGTTTCAGATGCTTTACTGAATTCACCTCTTAATGTGTATGCGACAGCAAGGTTATAACAAAGTACAGCTTTGTATACCGTTCCTTCTTCAGGTGGATTTGATGTTGATTCAGAAAAATGAGTAATAGCTTCCGTTATACTGTCCAACCAGACTAAAGCTTCACCTGCATAAAGATGAGCAAGGCATTTTTGATTGGATTCAGGGGACAAGTCTAAAGCTTCAACAGCATACTTGTGAGCATAAGAAAAATTATGAAGACATAGATTTACATATGATAGTTCAAGCAGTATGGATATCGTCAATCTTTTTAGCTCCACTTCTGATGGGTAATTGGATGGATAAAAATCTCTTTCTGTGTCGCTTTGAATTAAAGTAAGGCTGTGGAGAAGGCATTTTCTAATGAAAAGCAATTTCTCTTTGTCTATAATTTTATCATTACATCCCTGGAAAATCATCTTACGATGTAAACCATCATCAGCGTAACCCAATATCATATCTTGTTTCCTTTTTACAATATCAAAATCTTCGATTTTGTTTCTTGATAGTTCTTCTAATTTACATTCCGCTATCCTTAACCAAAGTCTTGGGTTCTTCTTAAAATAAAGTAAACATTTCTTGAAAGCTTCGAAGGCATTTTTAAGATTACCGGTAAATAAATTCATCAGTCCATAGTTGTATACAGTTTCTGGTGGCAGGTTGTTTATCTGTTTACTAAGCAAATGCACTGCTGTGTTCTTTTTTCCCATGCAGAAGTTTATGACGGCTTCGTTGTTGGTGTAATATGGGTTTTCTTTTGAACATGACGCAAAAGTCTTTAAGGTCTTCTTGCAGTTACTCCTTTGCAGTTCTAAATAAGATCGGAGTAGTGGCTCGCCGTTGATCGACTTGAGTTCCTTCTTGGCTGCTTTGGTTGATCGCATCTGGAGGTAACATAGTGCTTTCAGCTGTTGCAACCTACAGTGGAGAAAATATAAACAAATTGATATAGATACAACATAAAATTTCTAAAAAATAAATGAAAAACATACCTATGAGGCGGATTATCAAATTTATCTCCTAAAAATTGGAGCAACGCCAGTGCTTTAGATGGATCCTTCTTTCTCTCTACATAAATAACAGCTAGTAGATGGCAGAGTCTAATTGTTGTCCTTTCATCAACAATGCCCATTGGATCTGTTATCAGTGATACTCTTTTTTCCAATATTTTTATCGCTTCTTTAAAGTTGCCTTTATACTTAGCCAGTAGCAAGGCTCGATTAAAATCAACACATACCTGCTGGGCTAAATCAAGCTCATCATCGGAAGTTAAATTTTCTAATAATCTGTCAACATCACCGTCAATAGAAAATTGTACAATACTACTATTAAACTGAACAGATTTATCATCACCATTAAGAGTCTCCAAGCGTTTCAAACTCTCCTTATATCGACCGGCTTCGTAGTCACAGAATGCTTGATGAGCAGTATCACGCTCCTTGTCCGAAACATTTTCATTATTTGGTATACCAGATAAATCATCACAATCCATGACAAATAAATATTGAATCTTTTATTCATTCACTAATTTATAAAAACATAAAGGTAAGTTGGTTAAGGATTTATTTTTAGGAAACCAGATCTCAAGATACTCAAACAGCTTCAAACCTAAACCCAAAACTATCTTCATGAAATAAACTGGTTTGTAGAAGCACTTACTGTTACTAGATGGCGTAACCCCTGAATCTCTCTCTTTGCTTGTTCTCTTTCTTGCTGCTCTAAGTACAAAGAAAGCCAGTACAGAAGATTAACTAACATTCAAAATTATTTGAATTGTTGAATTACAATTAAAAATTAGTGATTGTTTAATTTATATTGATTATACTTAAAACTGTTCGTTCAATCAAAGTGACCATATAATGAGTACCGGTTCCTTAGTGGTAAGTTTATTAATTTGATTTGCTATTCATTTGTTCTCTTTTCTCCCTCTTTTCTATCTCTTTCCTTCTCTCTCTTTTAAAATGGGGAAAAAGCAAGCAAAGTGATGATGTTGGTGATGTGCGAGGAAGAGAGAGATAGAAAGAGAGAGACAAAGACTTTTCTTTCTCGATATTTCTCTCTCTCTCTTTTCTCTCTTCTCCTACTTTCTCTTTACCTTTCTTTTCTCTCTCTTTTTTCCCTCTATCAGTTATATTGCGCCTTTACCTAATCGTTTCTGATTCCCCCCTTTTTTTCATAGGACAAGGCCCAGCATCAGCGGGTAAATGCGGTAAGTTTATTAGATGAATTCAATAATCTTTTTGTTCTCTTTTCTCAATCTTCTATCGCTCTCCTGCTCTCCCTCTCTTTTAAAATGGGGAAAAAGAAAGCAAAGTGATGTTTCTTGATGATGTGCGAGGAAGAGAGAGAGAAAAGAGAAAATTAAGACTCCTGGATATTACTCTCCCTCCCTCTCTTTACTCTCTTCTACCTCTACCTTTCTTTTCTCTCTCTTTTTTCCCTCTATCACTTAATTGCGCCTTTAGCTAATCGTTTCTGATTTTCCCCTTTTTTCGTAGGATAAGAACCAGCATCAGCGGGTAAATGCCGATGAGACTTTTTTGCCTGGTCACTGGAATTTAAATAAGATTGGTCATATTGCAAGAAATCCAGGTCACTTAGTTGTTCCCGGAGGTGCTGATGCCTGGTCAATGGTTGAGGTCATGTCCGGTGGCTTGAACAATAATCCAGGTCAGCATCATTTAGGCCAAGTAACGACTACAGGTCATCATGTTATGTACCAAAATGTTCAGGCTGTCAACGCCAGTGGAAGTGGCCAGCACCATCAACAAAATCAAGGGATGATGGTCCACCATCACGGTAAATCAAATAAAAAGAAGCCAAAAGTCAACAAGGACGGAGTTCCAGCGCCCAAAAGAGCTACAACTGCTTACATAAATTTTACTCAATGGTACAGAGAAGAATTGAAAAAATCGGGTCGCCCTATTCCCAAGATTGGCGAATTTGGCAAAGAGTGTGCCGGTAAATGGAATCAAATGTGCGAAGAAGAGAAACAACCCTTCCTCGAAGTAGCTGCCAAAGACAGGGAACGGTACAAGAAGGAAATGGCCGTCTATAAACCTGCCCGAGATGCAAACAAGCCTAAACGACCTGGTACAGCATTTATGTTATTCATGGGCGATTTTCGTAAAGAAATGGCCGGTAAAGAACCTGAAGGGGGTGTAGCTGCTCTGGCCAAGTTGGGTGGTGAAAGGTGGCGAGGTATGACGGATGAAGAAAAAAGGCCATACGTTGAAAAACAAAACGAAGAAAAAGTTCGTTATGAAGCCAATATGGAAGATTATCGTAGAAAGAGCGCAGAATCTCTAACCAGTGGGCCACAAGTTAAGCAAGCAAGGCTATCCACTGAAGGATCAGAAGGAGGAGAAGACTCGGCATCAACAACTAATGACAATAATCAAGATCATTCAAATCAATCACAATCTCAGGATCAGCAACAGCAACAAGCTCAAAACATGGTCATCAGGCAACAGGAAACTCCATCACCAGCATCTTCATCGCCAAGTCCTGCAAATCAGCAACAACAGCAAGAACAACAAGAGCAGCAGCAGGAACAAAATATCAACAATTCAAGCATGTCTTCAATGAACATAAATCAAGCAATTACTAACCATGCATTAGCTTCTATGGGTTACGGTCAACACTCATTTGGGAACTTTATACATCCTGGTAGCCCTGGAGTTATGGCTGCAAATTATAATCAAGCTCATCAAGGTGGATTATCTGTTAGTAATGTAGGCTCTTCATACTTACAATCGGGAGCTGGAGGAACATACACACAAGGACCTCATTATAATTGGAATCAACTGAATTAGCAAGATAAGGAACAGCAGAGCTACTCAGGAATTCGAACTCATTAGAGCGCTTTTCATTTGTTTCATCTTTCTCTTCTCTCTACTTCCATCTTTCTTTAACTCTAAAAAACGTTCAATACACCTTTAAAAAAAGTGGTATCATCAATTTTAACTTTTGCTTATAATTTTTTCTACTATAAGCAAAAATACCATTTATTATCAATGCTTCTTAATTAAAAATCAACATTACCGTTGGTTCTTTGAAGTTATACCACTTTTTTATAGGAAAGTCTTTGTTTTTGAAAAAATTATTATGCACTAATAACAGTGCTGCATCTTAATACAGTTAATACTGCATTTTGCGCAATCGGTTTTATCTTATTTAAAATTGGTATGAGCTAGTTAGACCACTACATTGAGGAAATTCATTGATAAAACTCGAGGCGGAGCCGAGAGTTTTAACCAAAACAAAGACTTCTTTTCTTCATCTTCTTACTCTTCTTCCTAGGAATCTCATTTACTTAATTAATGTATTAACATTTTTTTCATTTCATTTCGCTTTCAAATTCATGAATCTGTTTTAAATCATCTGTCAAAATTTTGCATCACAATAACAAAGTGGAATCTTCATCGACACCAATTTCATCAACCCTCAGTTTTTTTTGTTTGTCTCTTACGATTGAGAGATGAAAAATGTAAATGCAAATCGATCTGCTAAATCCACCAACTACACAAGTCATAACACCCACAACGCACCGATTTCGCTGTCGCGCAGCCAACAACAACTTTAATTATCTTAAATTTACTTTGATTCACATTGGTGGGATATAATTTTAACCTAGGATATCTATAAAATTGAAATCATACAAAAGAACTTGAAAGCAAAATTAAAAATCTTCTCTTTATATCAACATTGTTTCTATCAATTAGTAAATCAATTTCTTGCTATAGAATCAGTGTCGTTCGCGGTAAACTAAACCTAATCATAATTAATCTAAATAGTAATAAGCTTTTTAGTTGGGCTCATGGGTAGAGTATTAGTAGTCTAGTTTTGATACTGATATTTGTATTAAAATACGAACGCGACAATAAAATAAAAAACAAAATTGATTTAGGTTCAAGACTTATGGACTAGTATTTATTCAATTGTTAAAAACGGTTAGCGTTGATGACATCAATGTGCACGATAAAAATTATCGTAATTCCATTTTAACTGGCGTTTTGTGTCTTTTGTGACTCCTTCTTTTGAGTATCTTGTTTAACCGCGTTACACTTTTTTGTCTTGAATTTATCCTTTGTGTGTTCTGTGAATATATAATATAATACTGACGAGATTGAGACTTATTTCGATAATGATTAATATAAGATTATGCAAATGTTATTTTGAAAATTTGTTAAATGCAAGGAATAGCTTTGGTTTCTGGTATTCGTATCCATAGTTTATATCTTAATATTGGCTGAGTTTCCTCTTTGGCTTTTGGGCTTGTTTCACTCTAAAAACCATTGATTGTAGGCAGATACAAAATAATGAATAATTAAAACCAGTCTATCAATTGGAATGATAGTTAGAATGGTTATGATATATCTTCCGAGTACAATAAATGCAACCAAAGTAGCATATAGATAAATAAAAAACTAAATAGTCCAAGATGAATCCAAAATAAAATGAAATTTTCTTTGACCGATAACTGCTTTTGTCAAGCGCCTTTGATAATGGTATGGTCCTATTATCCTCAGGATGATCAACTGGAATGTACATAGGAATTATGTGACGGTATATTACGAATATGACCAATTAACTTGTTCACAGAATGGACACTGATTCTAATTGTGTCGTGCTCAGTTTAGCAGTAAATGAAAAAGGAAGATTATGAAGAAAAGGAAAGGTGAGAAAATAAAAGAAACGCGATGATATATGGATGAATGAACAGCAACATTATTTAACACTTTCCCTGTTCACTCTGATCTCAAATGATTTGATGATCTTCTGGATTGCTTTGGTAGGAGATTTGGATGATGACGTTGTACTCTTTTCTTGTAATTTATCAACATTTGCAATGGAATTTAGTTGTTTAACACTTTGCTTCACAGTCTTTGGTGCTGAATTAGCTTGATGCTTTGGAGTTGAACTTTCAGTTACTTTTAAAGCAGGTTTGCGGAAGAAGACATCTAAACCATCGTCAATTTTGTCGAATGAAATTGTAGGTTCGGTAGGTTTTAAATGTCCATTCGAACAGGATGATTTTTTTGCATCAACATGAATTGTGGACGATGATAGACTAGTTGAAATGATTGAAGCTCTTGTGGGTGCTCGTGTTTTAGGTTTACGAGGTCTCGATTTAACAAGATGTTCCAACCTTTCACCACTGGTTGAGCCTGAAAGACTAGATGATGGATCAAATGGAGCCCAAGCACTATTTACACAACATGCTGATGCAGGGCGAGGATAGAGATCAGCTATATCATTATTTCCATAACCATCCATAATAAATGCAAAAAGAGATGAGTAATAAAAAATAGATTACTGTTTCCAATTTACGAATGAATATTTGTTTGACCTGAGAAAATTTTGTTTTTCAAAGTCACTTTGATTCCTATGACTGTGAGTTCAAGAAAGAAGCTTGCTGCACAGTACTGCACATAAAAAGAGATGGTCAAGATTTCCTATGAAATATTATTGATCTAAACAAAATAAGATATAGACATTATTTTAAATCGGAAAAATAAACGAAAATTCACAAATTGATATTAACAATTTTATAAATCACCTTACCTTTACATAATCTTTAAACTAAATGACTGGGAAATGGTAAAAAATGTCAACTCAAATGTTTTTGTTGCTGCACAATGACTGACAACAGCTGATCTACAGTTCAATAGAGGAAAAGATTTAATGTCAATTGAAAATTGGGTTAAAATAAGGCTTAACTTTTTGAATCACCCGGTAGTTGCTTACTCTTTTCACAACATTAATTGCAATATACGTGTCATTTACAACATAAACACAATTAAATAGTAACTAAACCGATAATTTTACATTCATTAAATTTCTTTTCATCTATATTTCTATCGTTCGCAAATTTTGGGTTTTTGCTCAATCTATTAGTTGTGTATCATTAATTAAATTGATTGATCATTGTGTGGATTTTCCATTCCTTTTTGCAAGTGTCTTAATCAAAAAGTCATCAGTATGGCTGAACAAGAAGTTCCAATTGATATTCATGCAAGTAAATTACTCGGTAAGCCTACTTAATTATTTCTTTTTTTCATCAATTATAATACTGTTTATTTTATTGTGGTCTCTTTTTCACGCTTTTCCTGTTTGTTAATTAACTGACTTTGCTTTTATTCCTCCATTCTAGATTGGTTGATTACTCGACGTCATATTGCCAAGGATTACCAGCTTCATTTGAATAAGATTAGAGAAAAGATTCTTGAAGCTATTCAAGATATGCCAGCTCATCCCAAGATCACGCAACTTCTTGCAGGAACACGTTAGTGTTTGTCGTTCTCTCACAATTTTAAATTATATCTAAATTTCGTATCTATTGTTTTTCTTGCATAGAATTGAATTACTTTAACTGCAAGCAAATCGTTGAAATATTGAAAGAAACTGAAGCTGATTCCAAGAACATATTTGGTTATTATTCCTCTAAACGTGTCAAGGATTGGCAAGAGATTGTTAAGTTGTATGAAAAAGATGATGTCTATTTAGGTTTGTTTAACCAACTGGTCACTATGAATCTGGTTAACTAATTGTTTCTTTTTTCTAACAGCTGAAGCAGCCTCTCAGCTCCACAGGAATGTTAATTTTGAAGTGCCAACAATTCGCAAGCAGTTGAACAAATTTCAATCCAATGGAGAAGACTATATGAGAAAAGCAGCTGACTGTGCAAACCAGGCAAACAAGCTTAAAGCAGAGTATCATACTTTTGCTGATAAATTGGGAATAAAGGTGAGTTTCTAGATATATAGATGCAGTTAAATTATAAATTTTCAGCTCACATTATTTCATTAATTCTTTAGGGAGATGACATTCACATAGAATTTCAGAATTTGATTCAAAATCTTCCTAAATATATGGATGAAGTCATTCAAGAACTACCAAAGTTATCTGAAGCTCGGGAATACTATTTAGAGTTTTTGAAGTTCATTGATAAAAGGTAATTAGTGTACTAATATCATTTTTTGTGCTATATTTATCATATTGTATCTGTTTTTTATTTAAATCTTAGAGAAAACGTCGAATGTTTGCCTTGCTTGAAATACCTAATAACGAAAGGAAACACAACTGTATACGAATATAAAAATGGTGTTGCACCGACTACTATCGAAGAAAATGTAACGCATTACAATGAACCTTCAGAAGTTCAATATGACGATCAGGTAATAACCAAATATACTATGAGCTAATGAATTCTGGATATGCATTTACTGGATATATTCATAGAACTATAATAACTTGGCTTGTTATTCGGTATAGGAAATTGATTTCGGTGATGATGCCATTGATATTGGACATGACACTGATAGTTCGAGTCCATCTAATGGAAATGGGGATTTCGTACATGTTGAAAAGGTATTTCAAGATACATTTATGATGTTTGTCAGTCAAGAAAATTATTACATTTTTTATATTAATAGGAGGAATGTCTTGATGAGGGCGAAATAAATTGGGACATTGAAGCTGTTGAAATATCTCCTGGTGATTCACTTCAAGATAAATCTGAAACATGTCATATTGCCAGAGGAACCGACGCACTCACTTTGTTAGAATACCCAATGACAAGAAATAATTTAATCAACGAGCTTCATGAGGTTAGCATCTAATATAGTAAAACGTCTTACGTTTTTAATGATTTAAACTTCTCTATCTAGCTCGAAGGGTTTTTTGATCAACGCATCTTTGAAATGAAAATGGACGAGCACATATTATCGGCAAATCAATTTCAAGGAGCACCAACCATTCTTCAAATGACCTCTATTGATAAATTATCTGCACAGATGAAGCAAGTGCAAAAAATATTGCAGATGATGACAAATGAAAAAATAAATTTAATTTTCATGATGAGAGACGATCGAAAGTATATTGACAATGCAGTAAATAAAATGAAAAGCAAACTGGAACTGGTCGATAAAGCTTTGGTTAAATCTAAATTGATGGAAGAAAAAGCAAAAGAAGAAACTCGTCAGGGTGAAAAAATTGCTCCAGAAATACCCAAAATTATCAAAAGAACCAAAGAGCTGCAAAAACAGGTAAGTTTTTTTAGTATTTATAATAATTTAATTGATTTAATCGCATTTTTTCATTCTTGTTAATTTTACAGATTGAAGTTGAAATTTCCAAAAGATATAAAGGAAGACCTGTGAATATCATGGGTGGATATCAAATTTTGTAAAGAGCTGTAGATACTTTTATAATGGGCTTTGTTTATATTTTTTAATATATCACTTTCTAAGTTTGAATCTCTTGATTTTCATGCTTTTGTCGGATAATCGTCTAAAGACTGTCAGTTAAAACAAGCTTCAAATATTCAAAATTAAAGTTGAGCAACGTTGAACCTTGAACCATGATAGTTCATCATGTATTACTAATGTATCTCATAACAACTGGATTTGAAAACGAGTTTACTGGAGATTGACTATTCGGGACTGATTCTGAGCAAGTGGATACGGTTAACGACCTAATATGAGCTTCAGATTAATTGCAAGTCAAGTTAGGGAACTTCACATTTTTCTAATGAAATAGGAAGCTGTCCCGAATTCATTGAACATGATTCTTCATCGAATATACACAAATCGGAATGGAAAGGTTTAGACTTTGATAAATTCCATAGAAAATTGAAATTAAAAGATTCTAATCATCGTTCATGCATTTTTCATCAATAAACGTCAATAAGTTTTAGCGTGAATATTTCGTTATTGAATAGTTATCCGACCGGATGATTATTTCCATGCTCCATTGAATTGAAAAAGGTAGGCTTTCAATCTAGTGATAATTTCAAAACTGATTACATTATATTGCAATGTTATCCATCTTAACACGAGTATTAAATATGAAATATATAAAAATCGCTCTGAGACTAGAGAAGTCAGCTTCCCTTAACAATGTTTAATGATATGTAGTCGTTTGATAAGATTGGCCACGAAATTACAAAATGTTTTTGTTAGTTTTTTTGACTAGAGAATGGAAGAGATCTATTTAGTTCAAGGTAAGCGGTCAGTTTTTGCAAACTATCAAACAAAAGAAACATGATAATTGTTCGAAACAGAATTCAATCTTTCGATTTGATTCAGGAATGATTGACTTCTCAAACAATAGCTGAAGAAGAAGCAGTGGATGAGCAGGGGGTCGGCGAGGATAGCTTCTTAGATGAATAATAATCCTTATGAGCCATTCGGATATGATTTTCAAGATGGTTCTCCTCAAGAAATGGAACACCGCAAATCACGCATAAGATCGCTGTTGAGAAGCAAAAGAAAGGACAAGACATAGAAGACAAGAAAAAAGAGAGATGAAAGCAAAGCGGTCAAGAAGGTCGGCAGGTTAAGGGAAAGTTCAAAAATAAACGATAAATTCCGTGCGAAAATAAAGAAGGTTTAAAGCGCACAAAAATAAAAGCAACAAAAATGAATAACATGATTTAAAATTATAAGGATTTAGTTTGATTTGGTCAGTGTAAAATGATGTAGAAAAAAATGGATTGAAAAAAGAGTTTGTATTTCAAAATTTCAATAAACTGGCAAACCTTGGCTTCGATATACTGGACATGAAACAGCGTGTTTCCGTAACGCTTTTAGAGCTGTACATTCTTGAGAGTAATTTTTAAAGCCCCTACCACAAAGACATACATATTTATGCTTGTATTTCTCCAGCAGATCGACACAGTCTGGATGCTTGCTTCGAATATGAACTTTGAGACAAGGAATCGAGTAGAAAACGTCCTGGCAAACATCACACATAATGGCTGTGAATTGAATAAACAAAAAATAGAAGACATTATGAAGAGATGGCCCATGTAAATAAAGCACAACTCAAATTTCTTTCGGTACCATGATTTTATTCATGAATACTATTATAAACCACTCCTTACCATCTTTCAAATAAACTGGACATTGAGAAAAATGATTTCGGTAAATACTATAAGCTGTTGTAGCACTGATTCCGGTGTAATTTTTGTCCATTTTTCTCATTCTTTTATCTACCTTAACGAACTTTTGGCCACATTTACAAACATAAAATTTTTCAGGAACCTTTGCGTCACCATTAGTGCTTACAGATGGCGATGATTCATCACTTGATTGAATATTCAATGGAATGGTATCTGGATGATTTGAATTATTTGATTTTTTCCAATTAAGCTCTACTTCTGCTTTCCTAGTCAGATCTTGATGTTCCTTGATCGTAACCAACATTTTACTTGGTTCCGTTGAGACCAAATTTTTCTTTAAATCTGCTAAATTTTGCCTCAATTGTCGGTTGAGGCTGTAAAGCGAGACTATGAGGTCATCTTTAGCTTTGATTTGGCCAGTTTCAATGAGATCAAAAATGTGTGTTTGAATATTTTTATCTTCAGAGCTGAGATTCACCTCCGTGTCAAGAGTCTTTTCTATTTCTATGGAAGATATTTGTTGGAAATTTTGATAGATTGAACTTTGAACATTTTGTAATTGTCTTTGAAGATCCTGGTCATAGTTATTTGAAATTTGCTGGAAACATAATCCTTTAAGAATTAAATTTTGTTTCAGGTATTGTTCCAGTTTACACTTAATCTGTAACACTTCTCTTTCCAGAATTTCTTTACGCCGAAAGATTGAACTCATTTTGACATTCCTGATGGCTTCTTCCAGATTTAACAACCTTTCTTTAGTATCAGCTGATTCCTTTTGAAGTATACGAATCGTTTCTTCCATATCTTCTTTCGTAACAACTTCATCACCTGTGTCTTCGTCATCTTCATCTTCATCAAAGCGATCATGGTCAACCTCCATCAAATCATTTTCACTGATCTTATAGTCATCTTCGTCATCATCAAGGCCGACATCAAATGTACATTTAAATGCAGATTCCTCTTCTCGATACACATCGTACAATGTACCAGCACGAAAAACTTTGTTAAGATTCATTATATCCTGATAAAATAAAAAAATGTATTAGCAAGAGTGATCCTAAAAATTCACCATCATAAAGATGTTGGGACAGACGTTGCTGAGAATCATGGTTATACAAAAATAGCACCAATAAACATAGTCAGTCAAGTTTAAAATAAAGTATCAAGGTTATTGATGGAGAGTAATAACAATAATGGGAGAAAATTTGAAATAAAGATAGCATTTGATAGAAATGAGGTAACAAAACCGCGAAGAAGACAATTCAATGAGTACAAAGCAATAGAGAATCATATCTCAAATGAGTGATGGATATTTCTTACCTGCATAAAATTGACAGTAACAGGTTAAAAAGAAAAGGCAGGCATCACAATTGAAATCAATAAATCACAATTAATGAAATTGTTAAAAAAGTGACAAATGCAAGATTGAAAGACAATTTACAAGATGTTGAATAAAGGCTAGAAATAACTGTTTACTCTCAGGATCAAAAAATCCATAGAGTTACCCTCTTTAGGTAATAGCCATTACCATGGTGATTCTCATCTTCTTCACTTTTTAGTTCCATCTTACTTTCACCTAAATTAAGCACCTTTTCATATGGTCTTTAGCCCTTTTTAATTATAATTAAACTAGCTACATAAATCAACATGTTAAACTGATCAGTTGAAGGATCAATTAGGTTGTCAATGCTATTAAATTTTATTCAGTGCTTATGCTTGCATTTCTTAAGCTTTTTCCAATCATTGAAGCACTTGAGTATTTCATACTTGTTTCACCACCGTCCATCATTACTAGCGATTGGACGGTTAAATGAGCAATTGGCACTGGTCAAAAATTGACTTATGATTGCATAGAGCTTAATTTTCTTTATCTTTATTATTGGTCAATTGTTCAATATTTCATTTTCTATGTTTTTACTGTTCGCTGTGGATTGGTGTGGAAACAAGTAAGACCCAATGCACAGCGTTTCAATGAAAGGATTTTTCATTAGTAATTAACTTATAACTGAATTAAGGATCAAAGATTAGCGATGACGGTAATGCGTTGCTCGAAAGGATAACTTTCGAACAGCTGCAAATAATTTCCCGTTAGCCTATGTAAATAATGTAATTGTACAACTGGTTGTTACTATTTTGTTAGCTTCATACATGTTTGTTGGGTTAGAAGCTAAACTCAAAGCATAATTTAAGAAAGCTTCGAAAAATCTCAATTACATATTGAATTGATTTAGCCTAATTTGAAATTGGACTGTGATATAGGATAATGAAAGCAAAAAATAAGCGCAGTTAATCCAATTATGAGAATTGATTACATTGTAGTTAAGGCACCAATAAAAGCCTCGAAACTATAATTGAAAGCAATTTTGAGAAAATAATAGAATGAAATAAGCTAATGTAAATAAAGTCTCGTCATGTATTTCAACAATTTTGATCTTGTTTGATTATGAAATAATAAGGAAATATTTATCAGGAATTTGTTGGATTTCATTGAAAAAATTATTCAAATTGTTTGGAATAGGAAAAGGCAACAATCGAAAACAGATTTAAAAACAATTAGCTGTTCCGCAGTCCTAATCATTTTTCATTGTAGCTTCTAGAAACATTTCATCAACTATCATTTGATACATTGTCAATAAATAAACAGAGTAATATGACGAAAAGCAACCGACAGATACTTGAATAGCCTTACCCAATTGATTGCAGTTTAAAAATATCTTGTTTCAAATTTTAATAGCAGTGAAACTGACCTTTGATCGAGTCCATGTTGCTATTTTTTCTTCAGAGAATCTGCTGTAATTATGGAATTTGTAATTGCTAGAATGCAATTTTTGTTACGCAAATGTGATACTTTCAGGCTATCAACATGTTGCTAGTTTAGTTATTCATATTCTGCTAGCTTAATTTTGATAAACAAAGTTCGATGAGCCTGATCAGGAGATAAGTTTAATGACTTCAATATTTGCCCATCAATTTAACAGCAATTAAATTTACCCAGAGAAGCCCATTGATGCCTCGAGGCACAAACAAGAGATCAACAACTCAACCAGAGTTTACTCCTTTACTTTCTCCATTTGTCATCGGGTATAAAAGCATCTTGCTGTAGTTCCTTCATCATCATTTCTCAAGTATTTTATTTCGGTTAAGAGTTCCAATACAACATTATAACCATGAACTGTGTATCTTCAGCCGCTATTTTCACCCTTCTACTCATCAGCTTCGTACAGTGTCGACCAGCTTATGATGGAGCAATTGCTTATTTAGTGCCAGTGGGTCCAGTTGGTCCATTAGGGCCAGTCGGTCCAGGACATTTCCCTGGTGCACCATCAGGTGGATCTGGTTTTGGCGGCGGTGGTGGAGCCTCATTCAACACTGGTCCATACAGGTAAAACTTATTTTATTAGCTTTTTTCTCGCTTCTTACTAAACCATCTCTTAACTGTATTATAACAGAGTATCATACGGACAAGGTATGGGCGGAGGATTTGGTTTTGGTCCAAATGGAGCTGGATCAGGATTTGGTGCTGGATCGGGATATTCGTAAGTCATCTCAATTCGTTTATAGATGTTGTTATGTCATGTGAATATTGAAATTGAATTCTTATCATGTTCTCAGAATCAATGGACCTGGAATAAACGTTGCTCAAGGACAAGGCTTTGGAGGTGGATCAGGCCAATCATTCGGTTAAAATAAAGATCCTTTGAATCCATTAATTAAGTAAAGACAAACCGACTTCATGCATTTCCATGTTAATTTCATCGTCATAAAGCAAATTGTGATACACTTGATAAGAAAACGATTGATGATAATAAAAACTGCTTTAATCTAAACATTAAATCCGTTCACAAAAAACATTTTACGTTCACTAAATAGAAAAAAGTACATAAATTGTTAATCAAAACAAAGCCTCTGATATAAAAATGACCATTAATGTTTGCTTGCGACAATTTTTCAAAATAGTCAAACTAATAGGAAGTTGAAAGAGAGGGGAAATCAGAATGAAATGGAGGGAAAAGAAGAGATGATTAAGATGATTAACCCAATATAATGCAATGATGATTAGCTATTATTTGTGATTAGAAAGTTGATGTTAGTAAAAACGGCAAAAGAAATGAGAAAAAGGAAGAAAAATTGAAAATTGTATCTTCCATATTCTGTATCTGATTCCCATGAGCCCTTCTCTGGCTTTAAAACAATCAGCTTTAATCTCCCTCTTACTACAGTCGAAGCTAAAAGTTTTTGAGTGAGCGAGGGGGAAAAATTGCGCCAAATTAACTAAAGCTCCATGTAAATTAATTTAAATTGGCTACTACGCATTAAGAAGGGGGTTGTCACCCTGCAAAAATCTCTACTAGATGCTGTACTTTTCTTCCTATGTCTCCCCTTTGCTCTCCATTTTTCGGTTTCTCTTTCTCTTTCTCATTCTCACATTTTCTTCCTCTGTTTTCCTCTGTTCTTCATTTTCACCAAACGGGCTTTCGCTCTCTCTTTCATTTTTCTCTGTTTTACTCATCATTCGTCTACATCTCAACCGTTACAACAGATCTCTAGGTTTCAGGTACGTGCTTTATGTGTTCAGGTTGCCTGTTTTGTGAATAATAACTACCTCAACTCAAAATAATCCTTTATTCAAATCAAAAGTTTAAATTAGTGACAATGTATACCGGACATCAAAGGAGTTTAGGAATTAATCGTCAAGGAAATGGTGCTGGTAATCACAATCATCATCCATCAGGAAACGGGAAGAATAGATCAATTGGAAATAATGGAAGCTGTGGAGGTAACAATTCGAGGTTCACTGGCAATACCAAAATGAATACCAGCAGTAATCCCTCTGGAAGTAGTAGTGGCAATAGCAGCATTAGCAGCAATACAAGTAGTAACAATGGCACTAATCAATCGCCGACCTCATCGGTATCAGGCCCAAATATAAAGAATAAAGGACATTCAGACTCTAATTGGAATCAATATTGTCAAGAATGGAATCAATATGTCGTTAAAGGTCGCCAACACGGAAGAGAATCTAATAGCCATAATGCTACTCCTCATATTCACAACAATAATAGCAACACTGGTCTTCCTGGTAATAATGGAATGCCTCCTGGCGCGGATAAACGAAATAGCTCAATAAATTCCTCTGTCCAAGGTCCTGTAAAGCCAGAAGTTACTGGCGTAACTCATAAAGATAATTATCAGACGATTGACGGAGAGAAAAAAATAAATTCAGGTAGCTGGAACCTAAATCTTATTCAATTCACCATTGATATTCACCATGCGGTTTTCTACCTTCTCCGTGTTCTTTTGATTCCCCAAATCGTTTTCTCTTTGTTGTCATACCAATACTCATGTTGCTTCGTCAACCTTGTTATCCGTTCTTCCCTCAATCATTTTTCTGTTCTCTCTTCCTATTCTCCCTCTTATTTATATTTTAGCTAGTGACTGTGATCCGAACGCTATGGTCAAACCATTCATTCCCTATTCAAACTTGAATCGATATAATTCACGTGGAAATTGGAACAACCGTGGAGGTCGAGGGGGAGGAAAAGGTCGAGGTTTTAATAATTCAAATAATCGTGGTGGTGGTGGCAATCGTAGTATAATACAATACCCTCCTCATAGTGGGTATTACACAGCTCCTATACCTGGTGGAGGTTTAGGTTTACCTGTCGATTCTTACGGTGGTTATAATTTCATCTCAGTTGCTGCAACGCCCTTCCAACTGGCTCCGTATGCATGCTGTGAACCCGAATGTCAATCGTGTCCCCCACCACAAACTTTTTATTCCACTCCTAATGGTTTAATACCTCAGTATTATTCTCTACCCGCTGCCTTCCAATACGTTCCTGTTTCTATTGGTGCCCCTGGTGCACTTCCAACAGGACCTCCATTGCCTCCAAATTTAGGCGGACCTGGTACTCATGGTAAGTCACATGGTGCTCATCATATTCTTAACCCATTTAAATTAAATTCTGAATGTATTTGTAGGGAGCTTTGACCTATCATTAAACTCTACTGGAAAGTATCTCACATCTATTGGAGAGTCTGAAGTAATCTCTGGAACAGGATTACCTCCAATGGCTACCACTGCCTCTGGTTTATACTCAGCTTTACCCTTACAGCAAACCCAAGTCCATTTAAGTAGCCAACAGCCACCCCAGCAGCAAAATTCGATTCAAGAAGAAGCTTGCCGCCCAACTGCCGTGAACGATAGCGATCAGATGAATCAAGCATTAAAAGACGCCAATAACAACCAATTGGTTTCTATTAATCGTGATATATTATCTAACCCTTGCAATCGCTCATATCCAATTCATCACCAAGAAGTGCCTTACAATAGTGGTGTGCCTGTTAATAACAATTATTGGATTCCTGTAGCCGGTGGTTATCAAGTGCCAAGACCTATTCCTGGCCCTCCTCAAGCTCAAGCAGCAGCCAATTTCATGCTGGACCATAATCAGCCTCCTCAACCTCAAGAGGCTGATCAGAGTCTCATTAACTCATCATTGATGCTCATCAATCCCAATCCTCAGAGTTTGAGTCTTCCACAGCAGCAGCAACAAGCTTCCTCAATGTAAAGTAATTGTTTACTTGTTAACCTGTTTAAGAAAATTGTAAAATCTGGTCCCATCGTTTTAGTCACAATGTGATAACAAGATGAGCTTACTTCAAAACTAAAATTATGTTAATTCACTGAAAGCCTCAAATTTCACAGCTTTTTTTCCACACATGTTACTAATTTTTGCACCAATAAAAGTTAAACAAACACACCTTGCTCCCTTCTACTTGGTCTAGCTGTTTAATCAACTTGCGGATCTAATTTTTTTAAATTTATTAAAATATTTGTAAGTCATGTTAATTTCTTATGATGACTCTTTTTATCAACCTTGAAATTTAGAGTCATAAGTCTTTTCTCATAAACTCATAACTTCATTGAGCAAATTTGTTAAACCCTTAATAATTTATTTGTAAAAATAATGCCTTTGTTTTTAGCAATCATTAAAGTTTAATGCAAGTGATTAACAGGTGACAAGAGTTAACATTTTCTCGACAAACAAACGGACAATCCTTGAATTTCTGTAATGAATGGCTTCTATTTGTTTAGCTACATTTCATGAAATTTCCTGGAGATGATTGTGGGTTAAATTATAATTTTGGATAATAGTCTATTTGTGTATTTATAATGAATTAAGTACTGTCATGTTGGCTTAAAATCTGATTAAATTGTGACATACTTGTGCTTCAACAGTTAGCTTATTCATCTTTCTTGACGAATTGTAAGAGAAGAATCAGGGCAAATTGAATAGATGGCTGGAATTAAAAGAGTTACTGTTTTCACATTGGAATATTTACTTACTTCAATTATAGAAGAACTAATTAAAATTTATTTAAAGCTTATTTACCAAACAATCAAATGTACTCTTTAATCAATATTAATTACTGTGGCGCCGCCTTGCTGTTCGCACTTTGCTCCACCCGCTTTCATCAGCTGATAATAGCAAGAATGGCTGTCAATTTTTTGTAATTGTAATTTTATTGTATCATCAATTTAACTTTTATTCCGAATTGACTTTAAATTAATGTGATCATTATGTGCGTTCAAAGTTGAACATTATTCATCAATTTGCCTATCAGACATGGATTCAGTTACGACTGAGGGCCTGAGAACCATTGTGAATCCTGTGGTTACAACTGCTCCAGAGACACCGCCGATAACAGTTGAAGAATGGCAACATCGATTCAAAGTTGTAAAGATTGCTTCCAAAGAGCCTATGAAGCGTGGAAGATGGTCTTGCATGGATTTCAACGATCCACCACCTAATATTTCCGGGTCCACCCTGTCTGGTAACACATCAACCACAGGTGGAACTTCAACTAATAACACCCAAACCAGTGGAACTGTTTGTCCATCTGCGATTACTGGAACCTCAACTATAGGAGCTGGTGGAGTTGGAATCGGAGGGGGAGGTGGCGGAGCCTGTACAACAACCACTACTACATGTGTAACAGCTAGTTGTGGTATAAACTGTTCTGATACTAATAATGAGGCTAATCAAGTAAACAGTGAGATGGTTGGACAAACCATCAATAACCAATCTGTTTGTGTTGGTGGTGGCGGGGCTGGTGTGCCTAATGTTGATCCTAACACTAATTCTGTTAATAATCAAAATGCCGAAGGTATATTGGTTGATGAAAAGACTTTTGATCATCTGATGTCCGCTGTTAGAGAGGAAGTAGTTGTCCTCAAGGAAAGAATCAACGAACTTATGTCAAAGATATCACAATTAGAGTATGAAAATGGCATATTAAAGGCCCACGCGACGCCAGAGGTGCTATCAAATTTATATGGGTCAAACAACCAAAATGTTTCAAATTGAAATCAATTTAAATTTCTCCTACGATTAAACAGTAGGCTACTCTTTTTCTCAATCTGTCATCATTGTTCCTCTCTGTACTATGCATTTAAAATCAGACTAAACTAATCACGACTCAGTAAACTTTCCAAATGTCAATGAAATTAACAATTTAATCGAACGACCATGATGAAACGAGTATCTAATTATATTTGTTGATCCCATACTCAAATTGATGTATTCATTCAAGATAATGCTTATTGTTTTGATGTAAATTTTGTTTGAGAAATCTTTGTGATGTTGATCCTTTGGATAAAAACCTTGTAAGTTAAAATGTATCAGAAATGAAAATCGTTCTGACAGGTTGAAGTTTCATCTCAAATGATATGATGAGCTAAGTTAACGTGGTGTACGTGCTTACCGTCATGTTCAACGTAAAATATAAGTAAACCTGAGGTATTCTCATGAATTCTTGAACTAATCAGTGGTGTTATTTTTTGAACAGAATTGCTTGCAGCTATTTTTGTATTTTTCTTAAGTCTCCACCTGGTATGAACAAACCCTTCTACTGAAGCCTTGGCTTCAGTTCAAAAATTTAGCTCAAGCTTTCAATTACAGTGTAAGAATCCATTCCAACATTGGATATTCATTAAAAGGTCGTCAAAAAACGAATATGACTAAAAAATAATTTTAATTGTAAATTTATGCATAGAAAATACAGAAAAAAATATTTTACGAAATTAAATTGTATATTTGACCCATTTTTCATTTGGTTTTGATGGATAAAACCATTTTTGAGGAATAGATGACCCATCATCATTGATATACAAGTCCCACTGTGATCTTACTCGATGAAAATCATTGATTGAAGAATTGCCTTGGTTGATATATTTAAAGTATTGATCATCTGAGTTAGCTTCAGTTTCACCAAACAGTATATTCGATAAATTTGTGTTTGATGAGTATAATTCCTGTCTTCCTGGTTGTTTAAGTACCATATCAGTATGATCAATAAGAACACGTATTTTTTCAATTTCATCGTTTTTTGTGTTTATCATGGTTAGCAGTTTTTCACGAAGGTCACAAACAGTAGCATTAAAATTTAAACTATCTGATTCTGGACAAGATGAGCTACTGCTCAAAATTACACGCATTTTCTCCATGAGCTTCAATTTATCAAGGTAGCCTTTGATTGAGACAATATCTTTCTTAATCAAACGACGAGCTAATTTTAACTCGCGCTTAAAACTATCTGCTTCTCTATTTCTTTCGTCCTCTGCCCATTTGAATTGAAGCCATTGATCAATTTCCAAATTCTTTTGTAGCAATGCTGATTGAAGCTGTTCCTTTTGTAGCCTGAGTTTGATACGATTTCTCTTGCAAGAAGCTCTCCTTCTTTTTATCTTTTTTATTTTTTGCTCAACGAGTCGTCGATTATTCGGGTTATTGACATATCCATCTAACAAAGCAATCTCCTCTTCCAAAGCTGATATTTTTCTTTCATCTTTAGTCCAGGGTAGGTCGGCTAGTTTGGTAAGTTCTTCTTTTAATTGGCCCAATCGTGCTTCACAGCTTCCAAATGAACTCAAGTTTATACACAGTTTTTTCTTTGAGCTATCAGAATGTTTTACGGGAGATGAAAGATGGGACAATACTTGATCAGTTTGATTATCGTAAAACTTATGAAGATTAGTCGTAGATGATGTTGAATGAAGTTCCATTTGTTGTAAATATTTTTAAAACCGATTAGAAGGTAAATAACTGCTCTGGTGGTTGTCATTTATACGATTCAAAGCCAAGTCGGTCCATTTATTTTCTTGGTCTTTAATCGTTTTGAAACAGTTTTCATTATCTGATTCACTATCAGGCAATTCTCTTATTGGCACTGTGATATCTTCAAAAGGCAATTTTTTAACCGATCGACGCCACTTTTTGTCAATTAGCAAGTTGGACCTACCAGGTCTATAATATTGAGAATCCATTCAATGCTATAAGTATGTGATGAGATTGTTTAAAAGTTCACTTTAACCTGATTTGGTGAATAAAGAATCGAGGTTGAGATAGTGGTTACAGAAGATTTCAAAATAAATAACAAACAAATAAAGAGTAAATTATCACGGACTCAGAATGAAACAAATGCTTTCACTCATCATATGGTAATAGATGAAGCCCTTTGCGAGATTTTATCAGCTCACTTTTCAGATCAGCTTGCTAAGTCGATCCTTCAGTTGGCGAAGATAATTTATTTTAATTACATTAATTATGACTGCATTTGATCAGGATATTCTAGGTTGAACTGAATTAAATCAGTTTGAGTTGGTTAGATTAGAAAAGGTTCCAGTAGATTATGCCAGCCGTGCGAACTGGTAATTTCTTTTTAGCTAGCTGAGATTTCAGAAGAGAAGTGAGCTGCACAAATTTTTGTTTACTCTATTCATTTTAATTGAAATAAATTTGAACCTCTGTTTTTTATGTAATTTAGTTTTTAAATGTTATTTTAATTCTTTTATACACAATATTGCCATCAAGTACTTCAACTTTTAACTATTTTTGTGTCGCAAAAAATTCGCAATCAATTCAGAAGCCTCTATTATTTGTTATACATGTTTTCGTCTTCTGTGTAACTGTTATTTGTTATGATCATGATAAGTGTGCTTTGTTTCAACTTGTCAACCTTTTTTATTTTTATTTTTAATGATTCTTAACAATCTGTTGTTAACTGATTGATGTGACCTAAAAGTGAGAGTGAAAATTAGCTTTTGCTGGACTTTGAAATCAAACCACCTCTCTGCACGGGACTGTTGATTCACTGATAATTTTCCAACGATGACTACTATGAAAATTTCAGCATTCATTTATGAAAATGGAGAAATCGTTGAAAAAACGATTGAAAGATACATTGGTACATCACTGGAGTATGCTGAAGATCTAATCATTGACATCTGCCGTGAGCGCAAAATTGGTCCGATTGCTCAGTATCTGTTTTCATTATTCTGTCCTAAACTAAATATCTGGATCTCATCAAATCAAAAGTTAAGTGAACTTGACTATAATTTCAAATCTTTAGAGTTAAGGATAAGATTTAAACCTCGTGATCTCCGTAAATTGACCGTAAGTTCTTCTTCATTGTTAATTAATAACTTTATTACAACTCCATAATTTCATTTTCGTCTTTTTTTCAATGCAGAAACTCGACGAAAATGCATTCGATTATTACTACTGCCAGATAAGAGATGCTTTCAGAAATTCACGAATTGAGGACACTGGTCAGTTATTTGGACTAGTCATTACAGATCTACTCATCTATTTGCTGGAACGAAAGATTCCAGTTGAAAATGCTCTAAGCCATATTAAATCGCTACGTGATTTTGTTCCAATTCCTTATAAAGCCGAGTCTAAATTTCTCAAAGATTTAAAAGGGCCACAAATTTTACAAAACCTCGCTATGGCCAGTCATGCTGCGTCAAATAATGATGGTTTAGGTAAAAGTAAATTCGTTAAAAAAGAGTTTATCACTGAAATTGTTAACTACGACAAGACAATAATAAAAGACCTCGGATATGAAACCTTCACTATTTATAAGTCAAGGTAAGTTATATTGCAAATATAAAACTGAACAGTTAACATATAGCGAAAATAAACTAACAAAAAATGTATTCTAATTTAGTAGGTTTGAAAAAATCAATGGATTGCAAGGGACTAACGAATTTCTTCTACAAATACGACCTTTTCAATCGATTGATATTTTTACTGCTCAAAAATCAAATACACCTGATTGGGTTTTCTTTTGTTCTATTGAAGATATCTGTTTTATAATCGTCCAAAATCTTGGCGTGGAAATATCTCGAAAGAATGGAACGCCGGTCTTTCTCACAGTTGCAAATCAAATGGTTATGAAATCTTTACTATCTCTACTGGAAGGTTATCATAGATTGACGACTGGAGATTCAATTTGTATCTGTGAATATGTTATGCCACCATCAATACAACAATTTAAGGAAATCAGATGTCATGGACCAATTAGTAGCAATGATTCTTTATCCATCTTCATAGATAAAGATCAATGTACTATCGGTAACTATTTAATTCGTCATGATCAGAAAAGATACGAATATGTAATTGATGTTTGGATTGGAAATTCTGGCATTAAAAGTTTCCAAATCGTTAAAAAAATGAGCAAATTGTTGGTACTTGATCAGGATCAACTAATTGCAACATTTTCATCATTCGATGCACTTAAAAAGGAGCTCAAAGTATCATCTGACACTAACAAAAGCATTGATTTAAAATTATGTATTCCACCATTGGGAACAAATATTTTTGCATGGGGAATATTGTGTGGAAACCAAGTAAAACAAGAAAAATTGGAATCACCAGAAATTATTACTGTGCAGTTGAAATTCTCCAATTATTTAACGAAAGAGACTCGGATGGAATCGTTCAAAGACAAATCATTTCGTTACTATTTAATTGATTTTAAAGATGATAAATTACTTTGTAAAGTGCCGTCAACAGACCAGACATTAAGCAAATTCTTGAGACAACTGAATTCGTGGTCTAGCCTAACATCTGATTTAGTTACAAGGACAAAATTTATCAGCATTTGTCCGCCCGCCTTCATCAGAAATTATTATCCACTTGGACCTCTGGATGAATATCTTCGTCGAAATCATTCCGAAATAAAAACATATGAATTGATAGAATGTGCCATGTACTTAACTCGAGCCTTATGTTATCTACATGAAAATGCGATTACTCACGGAATGATTAGATGTCGAGCTTTACTACTGGTCGAACGATCTAATTCTCGATTTCAAATTATACTTGGGGATCCATTTATTCATCTTGATGAGAATGAAGATAGACTTTGGATTCCGAAAGAATACTCAGCCAATTCTGAGTCAATTCCATTATCTGTTGACATTTTTGCTTGTGCCACTACTTTATGGGAGATTTTCAGCCTTGGTCAAAGGCCGCCAGGAACTGATGTTTATAATTTATCTCGTCCTTTATCATGTCCATCTCCTATTTGGCAACTGATACATAAATGTTGGCAACCTGATCCTGAACAAAGGAAACATCCAATGGAGATGCACAGAGATATTCGTGAACTGTTTTTACGAGAATATCAAATCAGAAATTATAGTTCAACGTCAGAATATGCATACATTGAAGAAAATAAACACAAAAAACGTTCAAGTTTAGCAAAGCTTTTCAATAAACTAACAACCAACTACAGAGTATCATCAGAATATGATTATAGATTAGAAGACGACGAAAACAGTGTAGATTATGATTATGATTCTGATTTACCTTGGGTCATTCCTGTAAGTCATCTTCAAATATCAACATTTAATGGCCGAGAAGCTATTTTAGGAAGTGGTGCCTATGGAGAAGTTTTAAAAGCTCGTTATCCAGCGGACTCAGATAATTTTGTAGCGGTTAAAAGGATAACCCGTCGTGCCAAACAGCGAAATGGTGAAAGAATTATTACTGATGTAGAGAGAGAATTTCAAATAATGACTCGCGTTTTTCATCCGAATATCGTAAGCATTATCGGAATTGTCAAAGGTAATTGATTAAAACTACTTATTTATCTTTGAGTTATATTCGACTGTATTATATTTTTAAAGCAATCATCTTAATTATCGTCTTTTAATTTTTGCTCCATTTAGATCCAGAAATAATGTTAGTGATGGAATTTATGGAGCTTGGTTCTTTGTCGAAGTTCTTACGTAAACTTGAGCCTGCTGAGATTAAATCGATTCCATTTAAAAAATATGCTCTCGACATTGTCTCTGGAATGGAGTATCTTGAGAAGGTACGAATTGTCCATCGTGATCTTGCTGCTCGTAATATCCTCATGGCTTCGACTAATAAAGTTAAAATATCTGATTTTGGTTTGGCACAATCTCTTGGACCTGGTGAAGATATCTATTTTGTCAAAACACCACGTTATCTTCCTTTTAAATGGTATTTTGATTTAAATTATTCTAAATTTTCTTGAATTTTATTGAATGTTGTAGATTTATTTATAATTTTCCGTTTTCTAAACATTAATGCAGGTATGCTCCAGAATCTATCAAACAAGATCCCATCTTCACTCATAAATCGGATGTTTGGAGTTTTGGAATCACATTGTGGGAACTTTTCAGCGTTGGAGAAGTTCCTGATTATCCTGTTGCGAATAAAAATTCTATTGTTGATTTAATTAAATTTTTAGAGGGAGGTGGAACTTTACCCAAACCCGATAAAGAAGTGCCTGATACAGACAAATTTTGGCAAATTATGCTTAACTGCTGGAAAATAGACGAAACTGATAGGCCTAACTTTAGTCAGTTACGAAATGAAATCGATGAAATTTGTAAAGATATTTGACTTATTTATATTTTTGTTTTATATTTTCAATGAATAATATGCATAAAAGAAGTAATAATTTTACACTTTAAAACTTCAGCATCATTTAAGAAAATTAATGAAGACAACTTAAGATAAATTATACAACACATGTTTATTGTTCACAACTGAGATTTAAAATTTGAAGATTTTGAAAATTTCATTTTTGTAATCTGATGAGTTTGCTTTAAGTTGATGGCTATTATCACGGACGAGCAACGAAAAGAAATCATGAACATGGACGATGATTTTTGAATGGTTTATCCAAACAAACCAATTTCTTCTCCAAAAATAGAAATCACTTTTAATCTTGAAATTGATAAATCAATCAAAGGCAGGTTTTGGCATATCAAGAAAAATGGAAATCACGGAAAATAGTTATTCGTGCAGTCTTGAAAATGGATGATCGTGAAAATTATTATGTTACAAATGTTAACCTGTATTGATGATTATAATGCAATTTTTCCTCGATACACGATTGTAGATGCGAAATTTATTCAAAATTGTAATTGAATACTTTCATTATCAATACTAATCTGTTTGAAAGCAAATGAGCTGCTTGCTGGATTGGCTCCAGTTTTTACAAGACCAGCGATCTCTTTTAAAATACGTTTACCTTCATCTCGAGTTTCTGCATATTGTTGACATTGTTGAGCAGCGTTGTGAGCCATTTTGAAATCTTTTTTTGAAAGATAATAATTTGCTAAAAATTTATAAGCATTTGGCAAATCTGGGTTACCTTCTAGATTTGACATGTTTCCGGTTTGAGCTACAAAATCACTATAAGCAGCGGCAGCTTTATCTTTCTCTCCTAATTTCTCGTAGAGTGCGGCTAATTTTACTAAAGCAATGCCACCTGCTTTCCAATAACATTTGATAGCTTCGGAATGTCGCTCTAATTTTTCCAGTGTTTCACCCATAGCTATAATCATTCGCGAGTCATCTGGTCGCAAAGATCTAGCAATTGAATAGTAGTATAGGGAATAGGCGGGCATTTTAAGAATTTCGTAAGTTTGTCCAAGACCATACCAAGCTCTATAGTCTTTTTTATTACATTCGATTGCTGATCGATATGACATGATAGCTCCACCAGTATTCTTGATTTCCATATACTCGTGACCCATCAGGGTCCAAGCGGAAATGTGACGAGGGTTCAGCTGCAATACACGTGAAAAGTAATCAGCTGCTTTCTTATGTTGACCACGGAGACTGTAGAAATTTGCTATGCAGAAACATGATTCAACTCTAAAAGGGTCAATATTTTTCGCAGCATGAGCTAACGAGCTTAACTTTGAACGCATATCTTTAACATAAAGTAAATTACTGTAGATGTCCCATGCATCAAGACGGAACGGGTCAGATTCCCTGATAGTATCGAAGAGGTCTATCGCTTGATCAACATGCCTCAAATTATGTTTGACATTCGCCATTTGGCTCTTTAGATAGTTGGAATCTTTGAAAGTATCTAAAAGAGAAGTATACAATGCCATTGCTTCTTCGTTCAACTGTAGTTCCAGATAGACAGCACCTAGAAAAATCTTTTTAAACCAATGCGTAGGCAGATCGAGTTGTTCTAATTGAGTTCTATCGGCGATTATCACAGCTAACTGTTGCCAAGATGCCCAATTCAATGGTTCAAAGTGAACAGAATGAGCTAGAGCTGAAATGGCATCTTCGATCAGATCAAGTTTAAGTAAAGTTATTCCATAAACGTAGAGCAAGTATCCGTCAGTTAGTTGTCCATTGATGAGGCTGTTATTCAATTCCGATCTTATCTCAGTATACAACTATAAAATAAAAATAAAAAGCAATAACAGTCATAATAGAAAGATTTCAAAACAATTTCCTATTGAAAAACTTACAGATGTTATATTATCATGAGGAGCGCTTGATGTGAAGGGATTAGTGTCGACCATCATGTCCAAACTTTTTTTCTCAGCTGCCATGTATCTTGCATAGTAATGTAAAAATCTTCCTTCGCGCGATGTCGAGTTCCGACAGAAGTAAGCACACCTATCATATTCTGCACAATCGAAGCAATCCTTACCCATAGCATAGTCGGGTTCACATATTGCATCATGATTCAAGCAAATATCAGATGCTGTCACCGGTGTGGAAGATCTAGGAAGAGAAAACAGCAACTCAGAAGCCCATTTGGCACTTTGATTTAGTCCTCTGATTTTACTTTGTAAACGGCATTGAATCAAATCAGAACGATAACTAGCTTCATCCATCATACTGATTTAAGAGACTTTGATACTATTTTGATGAATTTGAAAACAAAACAGAATTTTGAAGAGTTGTGTTGACTTTATCGGTAAAGCTACCATCTAGCGGAATTTTACTTTAGCTGTTATCAAAATGTCTTTGTTCTGTAGGACCTAAGGCTAATTGATTGTCTTTAATTTTAATAAGTTGTATAGTGCTTCATATTTTTTCAATTAATTAATTGTTTATGAAGTGTACTTTTCATTAATTATCCAAAATAAAAGATCTAAAGTTTGGCGGTGAAGGCATTTATATGTATCACATGTTTTGACCAACTGAAAACCAAAGGATTTGTGTGTCAACATTTAAAAGACTGGAAAAGGTATGTAAACACAAACATGTTTATAGTGGCAGTGATTTAGCAGAAATTACTAGCTAATTGACTGGAAAATTTATGAGTCTTATTTCGTCATCTATTTACATTCCATAGGTATAGTATGAAATAACTTGGACAAGGAAATGATAACCTTACCTTCAGTTTTGTTTTCCTAGCATAATTTTCCTTCTTTCACTGCCATTTTATCAACCTTCTTAGCATTGAATGTTTTGCCCTTGTACTCACTTACTTTAATCAATCTTATTAGGCCAAATCTCATTTATTTACTTGAACATTTCTGTATCGATGATTGGGCCTTTTCATTTTTGAGCTTCTTCTTATCTAATTAGGTGAATCTTGGCCATTTTATAAAGATAATTTGAGAGTCTATGTAAAGGAAGCTCTAGCTGTTTTTTATCTTGTCAAACTGCATAATACTCTCTTTCTATTTCTCTCTTTCACTTTTTCAACTGGCAAATTTTTAATAGAATAGCTACGATCAGGTAAAGACCATTGACGTTATCCAATAAACATTCTAAGCCGATCAATAATGATCAATCAAAGTGTTTTCCATATTCGAGAAACCTGCTTCTTTGAAAGTTATTGCTGATTTGGAAAATTGTTATAGAAATAATTACAATGTTTTCTTGACCCATTCCTTGCTTTTTTGAATATGTGAAAATTCAAGTAATGAAATTTTCAGTGCAATTCGACATTCTTTTCCATTTCTTTCATGCTAGTCATCTTTATCTTCTGGTTTACCTACATCTTATACTCAAACTTATCTCACCCTCGATTCTCCATTGCCTTCAGCAACATTTTTTAATAAAGTTTCCACTTTTTAATCTAATCTTATCAGGTAAAACAATTTGGCCAACGATACTGAATAGTTTAAAAATGGAGGAACCTAGCCCAAGTGAATCTGATCAGGATATCAATCATGTTACAAGTTCTGCATCATCTTATGAAAAGCCTTTAACACGGAAACCTAGCATAAGCCGTTCTATGCCTGATATAACAAGGGACACTCCAGATGATATGCGTCTTGAAACCCTTAGAGATTCTAAACGAAAACCTTTGGTTTTTGAGCGGCTCAACGTTGCTTCACCTGCATTTAACGGAATAATCGCCAAAGGTCAACCTATGATTAAACAACAATTACCTGAGTTCAATTTTTGTAATTCACCTGGAACAAGTGATGGTTTCAGCAAACCATTCAATCGCTGGTTTGGTGGTTTTTTCGGCTGTATCATGAATGCCATTGGCAAAGGTACCAGCAAAGACAAGAAAATTGATGATTGGGAAATTCCTATCCAAAGAATGCAAGATCTTCAACTGATAGGCAGTGGTGCGCAAGGAGCAGTGTTTTTTGGTAGACTCGAGGGCCAACCAGTTGCTGTTAAAAAGGTCCGTGAAAAAGTAGATACTGATATCAAACATCTTCGAAAACTTGACCATCCCAATATAGTTGCCTTCAAGGGAGTTTGCACACAACCAGGATGTTATTGTATCATAATGGAATATTGCCCAAACGGTCAACTTTACGATATACTTAAGATTCGCAAAATTCCTCCCAATACTGTGGTTGATTGGAGTCGACAAATAGCTTCTGGGATGAATTATTTGCATCAGCGTAAAATCATCCATAGAGACTTGAAATCACCAAACGTTTTAATGAGCAGCAACAATGTTTTAAAAATATCAGATTTTGGTAATAGTCGTCTTTGGGATGATAAAAGCATGAAAATGTCTTTCGCTGGGACGGTCTCTTGGATGGCTCCAGAAGTGATTAGGAACGAAAGATGTTCTGAAAAAGTAGATGTCTGGTCTTATGGAGTTGTTATTTGGGAAATTTTGACTAGAGAAATTCCTTACAAAGATGTTGATTCATCAGCAATTATGTGGGGAGTTGGAAATACAAGTCTACATTTACCAGTGCCAACAACTTGTCCTGATGGGTTAAAACTTTTATTAAATCAATGTTGGAAACAGAAACCAGCTAATCGGCCAACTTTCGCACAAATTTTAGATCATTTAGACATTGCTGCTAATGAAATAATCAGCATTGGAAACGAAAAATTCTATCAGATGCAAGCTACTTGGAAAGAGGAAATTGATCTTTATGTTTCACACATTAAAAGGGTCTCAGGACAAATAAGTCCATTCTCTAGTGATGACGAATTGGATCTAACCCGTAAAAGAGAAGAGGAAACACAGGCAGCTTTAGAAGAGAAACGATTATATGAGAAAAAATTGGAAAATGTCAACAATCTTTATCTTGAACTTCAAGCAGTTTACCTTCAACTAGAGCAGCGAGAAAAACAAATAAGACAAAAGGAGACGTTGATAAAAAAATGTAAAGCTCATTATGATCAATGTATCTCAGAAAAAGTTGATCGAATCTTGCACGTCTTGGATAATGAGCCTCCTGAAAATCCAGATGACTTAAAGAAAATTATAAAAATGGAAATTATAAGTTTAAAGACGAGTTTAGAAAGGTTCAAAGAATCAAACGATTCACCTGACACTTTTAAATCAAATCACAGTCACGAGACTAATCCAAATGACTGATACAAAGGACAAAAAATATGCAAATCAACTAGGTATACCTCTAAATCCTGTGAATTAATATCACTCTCAACTCGCTTTTTATTTACCAAGAGCAATCTAATTCAAATGTGATCTTTTTAAATGTGATTATCCTTGCCTTTATTAGAGGTCTGGATGTGATGGCTCTATCAACAAACCTTGGGTGTCAAGATTTTATTGATTTGATAATCTACAATACATACAATGCCAAAAGATCTCCCCATCACCCTTTCACCACATCACCTTCTCGTCTTCTCTCACTTCTCATCCATCTCTCAAATTTCACATACTCATTTAGATTACAAATTATTATGGTTATATGAAAATAGAAAATGCAGCTCATCTCGCAATATTTTTCTTAGTTCTCATCGATATCAACTCTAAATTAATTGAAACAACTTTTTTATAATTTTAATGAATACAAATATGTTGTCTCAATCGACAGTATTAACAAGAAAAGTGAAACAATCAATGCTCTCTCCCTCTTTTCCTGTAATTCAAAATTTGAGGTAAAAGATGAATATTTTCAGCACTTATATCAATTACTAGGTATAACTTAAACTGTAATTCCCCTCAAAGTCGAACCCTTTCTCATTTATCTTATCTCATTTGATGCATTCATTCCATCAATCTTTATACTCAATGAAATTTACATTTACATTTATTCCCTCCCAAAGAAATATTATTTCTGATATGTTTACTTTGATTATGCTTCAAATTGTGATTTAACAGCATTCTTCAACCAAATTGACACAAAACAACTCATTTTTCGCCTTTCGCTCTCACCAACATTACTTTAAATGCTTTTCAACTTCACCATTACAAAATCTCGCTGACACTTTTTGTCACAGATTAGTTAAATATTCACCTGTTGACTTACAATAAACAGTAATTTAACTTTGCTGAAAAGGAAATGCGAATGTGTTTGTGTACATATTGTAATTTAAATAAATAAATTTTAATTTTGATTAACGAGATTTTAAATCATTAAATTAATTTGATTCCGATGAGGCGGTGAGTTACCGCTCTACACCGGGAAAAATGAGTCGACGGACACTTGTTTATTACCTGATAATATCGATACCAAATCAGATGTTGCTCATCTCACCATTCGAAAACAATGCGGTTTTATTTTTGTTTATGTTTTTATTTTGAATTACATTGAATAAATTACCGTGATGTTAATCTAGTTGGACTGACGATCAAAAAATGATTAATGAAAACGATTATGATGATGTACCTCAATTATCAGCTGAATCTCTAGCAGCTCTCAATGAATTTTACTCTGAGCAAAGGGAAAAAATTGAAGCGGAAACTTTCAATGAAGACTGGGTAATTTGTTTTCATCATATTTAAATTAATTGCTCATCTTTATAATTCGATCAAAAACTTAATCTATTTTTTCCATTTATCCAGGAATTGAGTCAGTTTTGGTACGATGAAGAAACTACTACATTTTTGGCCGAAACTGTCATCAAGTCTATTAATGGAAAAGGAGTTGTTGGTTGTATTTCATGCCCTACTCTTTACATCAAATTACTCAAGTTGTTAAAAGATGACCCAACAAAATACGATTTTCAAGTTTATCTCCTTGAATATGACCAACGTTTTGCTAGTTTAGGACCCAATTTTGTTTACTATGACTATCGTACCCCTTTAGCAGTAAGAGATGCTCTCCCGGAATCTATTTTTGATATTATTGTTTGTGACCCTCCATTTTTGTCCGAAGAGTGTTTAACTAAAGTTGCTCAAACCTTGAAATATCTTGCTAAAGACAAAATTATATTGAATACCGGTGCTGTTCTCAGTGAATTAGTTGATAATTTAATCGGTTTGAAAGCAAGCTCAACTTTCTTTCCTCGACACAAGAATAATCTTGCAAATCAATTCAATTGTTTCTCGAACTTTTCATTGTAATTAATCTTGTTGCAATATTAAACAATGTAACTTTTCACCTTGATTATCAAAGGCTACTTGTGTTCGAAATCAATTCAAATTGGGAGGGGAGTTAATTTATAATTGATGCTCTTTTCCATCGCAATTATTAATTTAATTAACCATAATGACATAAGATTTACTGACATGGTTTTGCGGATTTGCTATTACCGGTGGAGTTTATACTTTTCATCGTTGCAGGTTTAATCAAGTGTTTTTTCTGGGCAAACGGTATAGTTTTAATATAAAATAAATTTGAAACTTTTCATTAACTCAGAATACAATTTTATTTTTTACTCATTTATGAAGTTTCCATGAAACGATCAGGATCTAATTCCCGCACAATGGTTTCTTCGACTTCGTAAGTTATACGACTGTCAAGAATTGGAGTAGTACCCAAAGGAAATTTGTAAATTCCTTGTTTAGAAAGAGGTGTACAAGCAACAGGTATTTCGTAATCAACCAGATGCTCCATTCCACTCGGCGTGATGATACATAAATCGATTCCGTTACCAGATGCAAGATCATTCTCCACACCTGCTAAAATTGCATTTCTAATCAAAAGTTTAGCCTCATCCAAATTCATATTTTGCTTGTAGTTTAGCTCAAGGTGTGAAATGGCGGCCAATGATCCTGATCCCATCGCTTCAAACAGCACCTCGGATGAAGAGCCATGAGGATAAACATGATGAAGGTGATACCCAAATTTGTCAACACCACCGACGATTAATGCACACTGGATGTGTCCCTGATATCTGTTCATGTAAAAAAGAAAACACTAGTTGATTGCTCAATCACATCAAATATTATCAATTATCAAAATACCTGAAAAGATGTTGAGTTATCTTTGTCAAGGCTACACAAACCGGCACTTGTTTACCAGAATTCAACCTGTGTAATTCGACATGAGCCCTGACCATCTTTTCCATCTGATCACAATCAGCTGCAGTTCCCGCACCACCAAAGGCAATATTATTACTGATTTTATGGATCTTATTGGTGTTTTTATTAGCCACTATAGTGCCAGCAGAAGCTCGTTTATCAGTTCCTATAATTATGCCACCATCAAAGATTGCTGCAGCAACAGTTGTACCAGTGGATGTAAATTTAGGAGGCTTGAAACCCTTCTTCACGAGTGAAACATTCCTGCAGGATGAAAAGAAGATGAAAATTAAAATGTGATGTAGGAAAGGAAGGTAAATTGAAAGAATGCCGCACTTACCTTTCAACATTTTCGAATGAAAACCCAGGCTCGGGGAACGGAGGTAACAAAGCAGAACTCATGATGACAAGAAATCGAAAGAAAAAACAACAATTTAGAAAAAGACAACAAATTTGCGATGAATCAGCAACTTTAAATTCAACTGCAACCTGTGAAATCAAAATTGGATGTAGTCTTTGTCAGGTTTTATCCTCTTATTTCGACAAAACAGAGCCATCTATTGGTGTCGAGTACGGTTAACAATATAGCAACAATATTTGGGTGAAAATCTAAATAAAAATAAGAGGAAAAATAAAATTCATTGTTGTTAATCGCAAAACACCTGTTTGATCGTCAAAAATTGCCTTTATTTTGTTTTACTGTCAACTCAGTCAATAAGTTATGCCTAAAATTGTGTCCAGGAGCATTGCCTGTACAGACTCCAAAAATGAAGAGGAATACAACGAAGAGAAGTCTCTTAATGTTTATTATTGTCTATGTGGTCAGATGTCGTTAATTTTGGATTACAATTTGGATCGATTGCCATTGAGGACAACTGACAATGCCCGTGTAATCGATGGAAATAAACGTGTTTACAAATTACATATCGCTGAAAAACAGACTGATGATATTGTCTATATTGAAAGAGACAAAGGTGTTGAGAAACAATATCGATATTATTGTAAAAATTGTAGTTTGTTGATATTTTATAAACATAATCCGAATTCAAAAATTCTATTCGTAGTTCAAGGAGCTTTAAGGTATCGCCCTCGAGACATTCTAACCCACATTCCAGCCGCTCAAGATAAACAAAAAGTTACACGAAGGACTCGTGATATGGGTAAATTTGGCTGTGTTACTGTATCAACTGTTGACGAAGAGGAAGAAGAAATCGAGGCTCGCGAAGTGGCCGACAGTTATGCTCAAAATGCTAAGATTATAGAAAAACAACTGGAACGTACTGGAAAAATAAAACGAAAACAAGAGACCGAAGAGGAACCAAGTCTGAGTAGAAAAAGTAAACCAAAAGGAACTTTAATCGATTGGAATTGATTACCTTAATTGATCTGTAAATTTCAACAATAATGTAAAACGATGACATTTTCATTCTGTCGATTGTGCAGTCATTTTATTAAAGGTTATGTACATTGAAAAAAATATTTATAGTTGTGAATCAGTGAATGTTGGCGATTGATATGAGCTTGATGATTTTTTACCTAATGATTGTTTACGGCTCAAGGCTTGTTGAAGTATTTTACTGGCTCCTCCACTATTACTATTAGACGATGTAATATCACCTCCAGTGGGATTGTTGAACACTTCATTTGACAATTCTTTTTCATAGAAAAGTAGTTTATTGAGCAAGAATTTTCTTTCGGCTTTAGCTATTCCAATATTCACCTTAGTCTCTTCAATTTGACTTTGTAAAGCAGCATTTAAAAAGATCAATTCCTTAGTTTGTTTTTCAACAGAATCACATTTATGAGTGATGGTCATTTTAAAAACACTTTCTCTATTATTAACAAAGTTATAATTCACTTATTCCATAGTCAATTCAGGTCACTTTTTCTTTATTAATATTGTTGACTTTTGAAAACAGATGGGCTAAATTCATTTCCAGTTGTAAACAAAATGAATGCAAGGACATCTACAGTGTATGTTTCAATTCATTCGTGTAGCAATGAAGAGAAGTCGCAAAGTTTCAAGCTCCTGCTTTTTTGATTATTTTCTACAATTAAGTTAGTTAATTTCTTTATTTTTTGTTTTTTATATGTTTAGGACCATCGCTAGGGGTGTTGGAATACTCTTTTTCATCGAAATATGGCGTCTACAAACTCTACAACGGACTACTTTGGATCAAAAGATATCGTCTGATGATGGCATTTTGGCTTCAGCGTCACTGTTTGTACCCACTGGTAAGTATTGTAATTTAAAACAATGTAATTTAAAAAACAATGTAACTCAAGAACATCCGTTCAACATGTAATTCCACAAAACTGTAGAAGAAAACCTTGTGTTTTCAATGACCTTTTGAAAAATTTTTCTTATTCCTACCAAACACTCATTAATATCACTCATATTTTATGTAAACCTTAAAACTCAAATTGTATTATCATGTGAGTCATTAAGACACTTTCAGAAGCTGCCTAACTGGGCTCTGTGCTCAGACCTCTGTCCTCGTTTATGTTACCGACCTGACAGGGGATTACAATCCCAAAATTGTAATGGCTACATGCGTAAAAGCATGGCTTTTTCTTTGTAAGAATAAGTTCAATAAAATAGCAATATTATACATTTACTATGTTGTAAGTTTTCTGATCCAGTGAATTTTGTAAATCAAACGATGTTTGATATTGATAGAGATGTATTATATAATATACTTGTAAACTTAACTGGCGGAAATCACCAATTTACTCAGCCTTGCTATCGCTAGAAAAATGGCATTTGACTCTGGCCTTTATCTCGAAGGCCACCAGTTGAATCAATTCGCTTTATAAATGCTTTTTCAAAAATCTGAAACTTAATGAGGGCTTGTATGAATTTCATTATTGCGATGTAAACAAATATACAGAAACAAAGTGATTATAATCTGAAAGATAATTATTCTTTATTTTTGTCTATGATTAGCATTGAGCTAATATATTTGGTTCGAACATGTTTGATTAAAATTACAAAAAAAACAATGAAGGATTTAAAAAAGCGAAAAATCAACCGTGCGTTAGATCATTATCGTATTGGTGATTCGAATGCTTCCAAGATCAACTGACAATTAGGATTAGAGCATTTACATTTCTTTTAAAATAATTTAAGCCGATTCGTTGGTTCCTGGATTTCTAGTCATCTAATCTAGATGTGAGTAAAGCCAAAGAAAATTGGGAAAGGGATTAAGTCTTGGTTTTCAGATCAATTGATTGTACAAATATTATTTATATAAAGTTGCACGTAACATAAGTTTTCAATTAAACAAACACTCCAATTTATCAATTGTATGTGCAACTAACATTTGGTTTCTCATGAAGTTGACATTTAGAACAGCAAAAACTACTAGTTCATCTGAAACGTTCTTGGAGAAAGAGACCAACGCCAAACATTGGAATCTGCATACTCTGTATTTACAATGTATTTAAAATGTGGTTTCCTTTTTACAAATCAATGTGAATGAGATGATTGATGAGAAGATTGAATACTTATATCAACTAGAACTTGATTTTTCGCCCCGTCCTTATCAGAAATCAGCTGTGAGAATGGTTGAATGTAGCAAAACAAGATAAAAAGAGGAATCGATTTTGAGACGATTGGGATTATTATGGTGAAACAATTCTCAAATAGATTAGAAAAGAGTCGGAGTGAGATCAATCAATTGTCATCCACATCTTCGGCTTGATGACTTTTTTCATAGTGATTTTTGTACAACATGAAGTTTTATAATATAAATTCTTTGTCCTTTGCAGTGTCATACTTCAAGGTTTTTAGGCAAATTTACAGTTCTAAATGGTTCACTCCACATTCGGCGTAAGTCTCCCTGAAAAAGAAGAAAAGAGAAATAAATAAAAATGAAATAACTCAGTGATAACTCAATTAATTATCAAACAATATCAGGTATAAGCCATGAAAAGATATTTTTTCAAGTTTAGACAATAAGAAATTTGCATTTTGTATTGCAAATGAATTTTTTGTTGTAATTAACTCTTAATTTAAAAGTTGTTTTTAACTTTGTCTGGAATAGCAGCTTTCATTGTCTTCAGATGACTTCAAACATTAAAATGTTTAGTTTTTCAAGAAAATCATTTTTGAAACAGTTCTGACTATTTCATTTATCCCTTTTCATTTTCATTGGTAAATGAGTAACACAGGGTTGATATTGATATGATAATTGAATTGCAGGTTAACGTACTTTAATATAAGCCATGGTAAGCAAAGGTAATAATGTGAATGGAACCAAATAAAGTAAGGCGGGCTGAGCAGCTTTTGATAGTTCAGAGGATACTGTTGCTGTCAAAAGACCTAATGAAAGAAAGAAAAAAAAGAAGAAAAAAAAATTGGAAGTTAATTGCAAGTATGATGATTGATGAGGAAAATAGTAGATATTTCTTTATTTCTTTATCATTGTTGTAGATCGGTCAATAAAATTATTTTCTTACCAAAAAAATAGCCAATGAGAGAGCAATGGAAATAGGTTATTTTACTGAGATGATTTGGAGGAGGTAAACCAGCTTCAGCGGAGGTCAATAAAGATCGTTTGTAAGCATCGTAGCGCAATACAAAACACAATAGGAGACCAGGCATAACCTGACAATAAGATACAGTCAATTGGTTAACATTATTCTTTTAAAAAAAGGTAATAAAGAAAGAAGAAGGTGATGATAATCAAGGAAGAGAGTTTGAGTCATCAGAGCATCAAGAGTTGGGTTTCAATGAAATCAGCAGGACATTCAATAAAGAAAGCATCAAGTTGAAGTAAATTGAAATGAAAGCAATATAATGAGTGATATATGATGAAAACCGACCACCAATTAGCATTTTTATCACGTAAAACATATTTATCAACATCTATAATCATTGATCTCAATTGAAACTAATCGACTCCAATATAAAGCATACAAATATGCAAATCAATTAAAGTTTAAGATTTTAATGTTTTTCAATGTACGAGTTCAATGTATAGTAACTTGTAGATGTGATCAATGATCAAGCTTGTTGCTAATTGCATTTTACAATCACAATTTTCAAATGTCTTTCCAAGAGGCTAATTCAGGCTGAGAATCAATTTGACCAATTTCATCAAAAAAGAGTATTGTTGTACATTTATCATGTTTTATGTCAGTATTACAAACTATTAATAGTAATGTGATAAATAGTAGATTCAATTTAAAAATCAATTGAGCTGAATGTCAAGCTAATAAATGTACAACTCTAAATACCTGATCATTATTCATCAACATTTTCATCGCTGCAATTTTCACTCAAACAGTTTAGTTGCAATATTTTCCTGATTCATCATTTCTGCCAAATATAATGGCCAGGTATTACAGCATGACGGTCAAAAAACTTACTAATTGAAGTCTAAAATACAAAATGACACCAAGGAAAAGGTTAGAAACAGGAAAAAATCATCAACTCCACTTTTATTTGGATGAAGCTCACAAGCTGTCTGTATCTTATTTGAATGTAGATTAAAAGTAACATAAAAGCAGTAATTATCAGACTATTACTGCAGCTTAAAATGTAATTTCATCGAGGTCATTTCATGGGTCAATATTTGAATTTAATAAATGGTTTCATCGGATTGAAACTTGAAACTTTGACTTGAGCATATTTTTTCATTATGAGAAATCACTGTAAATCGATTGAGATTTAATGGAAGGTTGCGAGCAGAAATTAAGCTAACAAAGTCAAAGGATTAACATTGATCTAATTCAGTGATTAATCTGCAGTAGAAGGAAGTAAAATATTGATTAAATGCAGACAGTGGATTCAAATAATTAATATTGAAGATATGGATCAAAGAAGGGAAATTCATAATAAGAGGAATCTTCGAGGAAAAAATTGAGCTTACAAAATCAAAAGCCTCTGGAAAACTGAAATTTCAAGCTCTTTCAATTAGTAAATCATAGATGACAACAAATTAGTAAAGTTGAACAAGTGGTGAAGGAAATAAATCACTGATCACGCAATTCTAGATTTCAATATAGTTTCCTTGGTTCATTAAAACCTTAATCATTTTGCGTTATCAGGTCTTGCATTTGATCAAAATTTTGCCACAACAAAACTAAATTTAGTTGATGAGGTCAAATGGATTCCCACACAATATAACAAAGCTTTGAAACATCCGATTGGTGAGTTACGGGAAAGGAAAAAAGAAATCATGAAGATGCTGGAACTTTTTTTTCTCAAACTTGTTCAGAGTGAAAAAACACAACAAAACAACAAAAAGTATTCATAAAAGTCAAGTTTTTTTGTCTTTTTTCCTTCCATCCTTAAAATCCATTTTACATTTTCAGCACTGAATAGGAAATTCAATAGAGGAGGAAAACAGGTCAAAGCTGAGATCAACAGATGATGAAAGTTTTCTCAACTCTCTTGAACAGATAATTATCATCTTTATGAATTATTGAGTTGAGAGATGTTTGTAATATTAGACTTACAATATCACCAAGGCCTAACATTGAAAAATGGCCATTGTTATTCATGCTTGGAAAAATAAGTTTGCCAGGTAAGGAGAGTTTAGGGGGATCATGGCTAACCATGCCACTTAGATGCAATTTTTTTGCCATCACTCCAACTGGATTATCAGCAGGCCGAGTAGCTACCTTGACCATTACGTTAGAGTTAAAGATGTAAGAGGAAAAGAAAACCCAGAACACATCGTAAATTAAAAGACCAGTAAGTAGAAGTGTAGAAACTTTGAGACTTGGAAGTCGAACAAGGGCAATAAATGCGACACACAAGCCCATTCCCATTGCTAGTTGATGGTTTAGTCAACATCAGAGTCCATTTGAAGCGATCAACAGTTATACATTCACAAAATATCCAGTTAGTTATCATTTGCCAAGTACAACAATGAATATAAAATAAATAAAAGTTTGAGTTAATAAGTGTTTGAATTTACAGTCAGTAAGAGTCAAAATGACAAGGTAATCATACCATCCATAAGTAACCAATGTCCAGTGAGAACCCAGATGCAAACAATTGTAACAGATAATGAGAAGGAAAGGATTTCGGCCACAGTAAAACGTCCACAAAATCCAAACGAGATCCTGTAAACAATGAAATTCATATTAATATTAAGATTAAATATTTTCAGAAAAACGATTCGAGTTTCGAGATGGGAGAAAATTACTTTTTCTTATCTGTACACGGCCTGACCATATATTGACACATTGGAAGCAGGAGAAATGCTAATGCTATGGCTGCAATGACTATATTATTGAAGGAGAATGAGAAAATATAATTAATAATTTAAATTTAAGATTTTATTATGTATTTACTTAATCATAATATGTTACTTAATTACTTACTTGCAGTACAAATGGCAAAAAGCATTTGCATTGAATCAAAGAAGAAAAACATGATTAAAAGTGAAATAGATGCACCCAACGGGAGACATAAAGCTTGCATTGTATCAAGTGTTTGCACATCTGAAATTAGAAGGTAAGATGCGATAAGTCGAGAGCAATAGAGCGCTTTTTTGGTTATTCATTGAATCAAGATATTTACTATTTTCGGCTGATTGACCATTGGAATCCTTTTCTTTTTCTTTTGCTTCCTGTTCCATGTTAAGTGATCTAGAAAAAGAAATCGAGAAGAAAAAAGTCCATAATTAGCATAATATGATTAATAAGTGAAAATATCCATTAAAACGCATAACTTGCCAAAATCAAAGGTTACAACTTACCTGAAACTGCCATAGACAATCAACAGCATTGAGATTAAGAAAGTAGAGACTCGAGATGAGTCGACTAATGAATACACCCTAAGAACAAAAAATAAAAGAATACATTAGAAATTTTAGTGCAAAGTTAGATTTTTAAATCTCTTTCAATCATTATTTTGATTTGTCCCAATTTAAAAGACGATTCAATGGAAATAAAGGCAAGTTTTGTCTGCAACTCTATTTTACCACTTGACAAGCAAAAATTGGCCCGAATGAAGTTCAGATAGAAAAATACAGACTCATAATCCATTCTCAAGAATAAAGCATTGTTTATACTATCAACAGTCTCGAGTTCGATACAATAGATTGAGTTTCAAATTTACAGATCAATGAGCAATGAAGATACAGGCTATTCAGCAGCTTGTTTATCAAGTAAAAAAACTGGCTCTCAAAAAACTTATTTAAAACTGCAATAAAGGATTAGATTTCTTCTGTATACTCATGCTAAGTTCATTAGATGGTCTTAGTAATAATTAAGCATAGATAGATATATCTGTACTCTGGTTTTCAATGAATGTAGATAAATTATCATTAAAGGCCTCATCTGTCTAATATCAAGAGTTGGTAAACTTATAAACAGAAATTATGATAACTAAAATGCTATTACCATTGATAGTTGCTTGTTTTTGACATCCTATTTGTTTAGAAAGGAATGGTTGTGACGAATTAAGATGATTTAAGCACAATAGTATAAAACCTCTGATTGAAGGAAATATCCTAAGCGGTCAACCAGATGAACAAATGAAGGTTAATATTAAGTCCAGCATAGAATGATGATTTTACAAGTGGAGGTGAAATGAATAATCCAAGATTGGTGGTGAGAGTCATTAAGAAGTAATAGACGATTCTCTTCGACAGCGATCCATTGTCATATGTATTACTTGAGGGACCTGAAAAGAAAAGACAATGTGAAAAGATGGAGGGTTAATTATACTAGGTTGAAACAAAGGATATTTATGTTATACTAACCATATTATTTATGATATAACAAAAATCAGATTTAAGAGGTAGAAATATTACACACTATTATCAAATGAAGGTTAAGTAGATCATTATCAGGTCAACATTTTGATTATATTCAAGTAGTTAGCTAGATCATTTCACAGTAAACAAAGTAAACAAGCGGAACAGGCGATCAGATGTTGAGAGCTTCACTTTGCACCACAAAAAGAAATAGGAATTCAGTAAGCAGATATGGCCATGGAAAAAACATTAACCATCATTTAATCATGTTCAAATGGTCAAATCAAACTAATTGTCAATAAAAGTACAAATATCAACGTTTACAGTCACAAATCTGATGATAAACTGAATAAAAGAAAAAGGAAAAGATGATGAAGAGAGAAGAAGAAAAGAAGTAACAGAAGGGAAAACCAGAAGGGGAATCAGGTTAGCTCTTTCTCAGTCAGCCTTTTCTCATCAGCCTTTGAAGTTGTATTTTGCTGAGCCAGCCAAGATTGCTTGACTTAAATGATTTAAATTCAGAATAATTAATGAAGATATAAAAATGCTCTACAAAAATCCATCGCTTTGATTAAAACATTTATTCTCATCAAGATAACAATCCATTTGTTTTTATTATTATCGATTTTATTTTCATAATGATCAAGTTCAATGCTGCATGTTATCTCATGCAAACTAACTTGAACTTGGAGCTGAAATTTTGATTCCTAGATGGAAATGGCTGTAATTGTAATAATGTTAACTTGTCAACATTATGAAATTGGTATATTATATTCAGGTTACAGCGCTCAGAGAGCTGTTCATTCAAGATCAAGATTAATTGAGGTTTCATTGAAAAACAATGTTCTGCCAGTAAAATTGCTATTAATTGATTACCTTTTAACCGGAAAGTTAGGCTCGATAAAGATCCTGACACTTTTAGGCTCATTAATTTTTATCAAATCATTGATCATTAACGCACATTCAAATTATTTTGTGACATCTCGATCTTTCATTTATTTTAAGTATAAATAGCGAGAAACAATTCCAATGAAAATCATTCTCTTTCCAACAATAAACAACAATCAGTAATTTGTCTTCTCTTTTTGACTAAAGTTTCATACCAATTGTACATCAATATGCGACTTTCAATCATTTTTGTTTTAGTGTTTGTGTTTTTATCTTTGATCAGTACTGATCTTGTTTCTTGTGATGATAAAAAGCCAGAACCAAAACACAAGGAACCACCGAAACATAAGGAACCACCAAAGCACAAGGAACCACCTAAACACAAGGAGCCTCCAAAACATAAAGAACCACCGAAACATAAGGAACACCCAAAACACAAGGAACACCCAAAACACAAACATGGTTAATGCTTCTCAGTTTAATAGTGAATATTCAGTGATAACTTGGTTTTTATTTCAATTTACATAAGTCTATGTAAAAATCCTTCGACTTGAAGATTTTATCGTCCATTTTAAATAAAAAATTTATGTTCTAAATTTGGTGTAAATTATTTAAATCTTTTACTTTATCGCATATCGTGCAAATTCATGTTTTAAAATTATATGAACTTGAACCCACGACGCCGTTGAGAATGTTTTCGTTAAGTAAAATCCTGGTTGATAGATATTGATAATTATTGAAACCAGGACATAATTAAACTAGCCTCCAATAGTTATTAATGATTCGTCTTAAGTGTTGTACACTTTTTATTCATAAGTATGAGATTCTCGATAATCGTCGTTTTGATCTTTGCTCTTCTCGCCTTGATCTGGTTTAAGGTAAGAAACATCATGAAGATGGACATCATGATCACCACAAACACCGCGACCATCACGGACATAAGGAAGACCATAAACACAAAGATTAAAACAAAATTTATTAAGATTCCTAGACGGTTAATTTGATCTGGTAATGTGATAATGTAATTGTTTAATGAATGTTATCATGCTTCAATATTATGTCCCACCATACGTCTGGATGTAAATAAATATTGATTGAATGAGAAAAATTTGGTAAATTTGAACAGGAATTAAGTCGAAGAAAAATCATAAGAAATTGAATTTAAGTCTGACTATAGCGGATTGGTGCGTCCATTTTCACTTACGGCTGATTTGTTAAACAATAATTTTTAAAATTTGATAAGAGAAAAATATCTTTTTAATTTCAAATTTTAATTATTTTATTTATATTCAAATTCATACACTAATAATTTAGTTGGCGAGGCTTGATTTGATTTACAAAACTATGGGTAGCTATTTTTAAAAATTACAAAGAGATCGATTGTGATAAATTGAAATAACCATTATCCAAAAATAAAATTAATAAATACAACGTTAAAACTGAGTGACGATTGAAACAAACAAAAACCAGAAAATTATCAAATATTTCTTTTTACATGGAATGCAATGGAAGATAGGACTTTAGCTTTGAACCGTAAAGTCAGGATGTAATATTGATTTCAAGAGTTGAGCTGAATCTTCTAATCTTAATAGTCTAATATAAAGGAAGAAATTTAGAGTTGATAGTAGAATAAGTAAAACAAAAACAGTTCTTATCAACAAAGTATCTATTTGATTGGTACTTGATTCCTCACCTAATGAAGTTTGTATTTTATTAATAAATAAATGATCACGGCGTTTCTTTATACCAGACTCACTAGACAATTTCTGATCAATGATATTAGGTGAAAGTGATGAAGATGATGTAGACGATGATCTTTTCCTTAAACTTAAAGATTTTTTCCCAGCAATTATCGGATCACGAGTTACAATAATAGATTCAGTCATTGGGGCAATAGATTCCTTGGATAAAAAACTTGATCCATTGGATAACTTTATATTTTTAAGATCAGGTTCAGTAAGTTCTAGTAATGATCTGGTCAGATCTTCGACATAAGTACTTAATCCTTGGATTGTAGAATCTTCAATCAATGATTTCATTCCCCAAGCACTTTTTTTGAACACAACTTTGCCATAAATTTGCAAATTACATTCGTTTTCGGTTTCTCCTCTGCTTAAATAATAAACAGTATCAACTCGAAAGCTGCTTGATAACGGAAATCCCATATTGGATACTTCTGATTTTATCACATATGCTTGACCAGGAGTAGAACTGGCATATAAATATTGAACCTCGGTTGTTGATACAGTTTTAGCCATTGACTGGTTCACATCCATTGTATACGATAGATTCCGATATTGCTTGTATTCCTTAAGATCATCTGAAACATTATTTGGATCTATATCAGTCCATTCACCAACTGTAATATTATACGTGTTTCTTTTGGCCAAGAGCGATTGGAAAAATGGACTATCAAAGAAAATCATATTGAAAACATCATCAACATTTAATGAAAAAGTTCTGTCCAGCATTTGAGCTCCATCAAGGTTCATCATGGCAAGCAAAATGGAAGGAAGGTGAAATCACAAAACAACAAGAAATATTACTGATGGAAGGGATTATAATATTTACTTTAAGTGTAATATAAACTGAGTAAAAAGTAACATATCAATACTATAATGATAAAATTTATTATTCAATAATTGGCATAGTTGAGTGATTTGAAGGAAAGATTTTTCAATGTTTACCAGAGTTAATTATACAATAAAAATATCATCAGCTGATTGGTTGGCATCAGCTTTCAAGAAATAAAAATAGCGGCAAATACAATTTTATTTTCTTGTTATTATCTGCGTTTTCAACAGCCACTTGATTAATGTAAATACAGACATGCAGATGAACCTACAAGCCCACATCTCTCAGATTCAATCATTAAGATATGAGATTGATTTTTCACATGACTCGAAGTGTTATCGCGACAAATATGTTCAGTAGATCAAAAAATTTCTGCACTGAATTTACATTTTAAAAGATCAAATTATCAAATAAAACTATTTAATGAAACGACCACAATTAGCATCAATTGCTTTTACGAAATAATATATCATAGTAACCCAAAAGCTTCTTTTGTACAGAACTTTGAGGCCGAATCGGGTTTCCACTTTCTACCCAAAATGAGGTGTTTTATTGGTCTTAGCAAATAATAAAAAGATGAAGTCAAATCAGGATAATATGGTGGCTTAATTTTTCATCTAATACAATTCGTATAAATATGTAAGCGAGGTAAACTTCTCAGTCCGACTTTCCGACTCGTAATTCAATATTTGCTTTGATTGTTGGTATACAATTGTCACATATATGCACAAAGTTGACACAAACGAGTGAAAATGAATTTCTGTCACTCAGACTCTGTTGGTTTTTAAGGACATAAAAACTAATTCTATTTGTGCGATTAAAAGATTTCTCTGATCGATGGTTTTCAAGAAAATCGAAGTCAAAGATGAAACTTCGCTCACCTTTTGTACAACTGTGCGACCAGATTTATTAATGAAACTCATCTTCTTGATGTAACTTTTTATGATCAATCAGAATATGCATTTATTTTAAGAAATAAATTTTCTTTTTCCTTTAAGACAGATCAGTTCGATTTTTAGACAAACCTTTCTGTGACCGTAAAATTAGAGAACAAAAACTTTTTATTGGTCCATAGAAATTGTTTTTACATATCATGGATTGAATATTTTTTTCAATTTATCTGCAATTCTCTTGATTTTGGCCATTGACCTAAAACTTTGAACATCGATATTTCGACAATGGTAGCACCTACAATGACTATTCGGTCACCAATACAATTCTTTAACAATTAATAATTCAATGCAATTCAATAACTTTCCATTAACCTATTTGGGTCATGGGCTTTGGGCTTTAAACGTGCGAGAAACAACTTATTCAATAATCCAAACTCATCTTAACCCATTTCTTGGTAAATAAACCCATTTTCTGGTTAAACTTGCAAACATAATGCAAAGAATGGTGCTAGAGACTCGAACATTTTGAGCTGAGCCTTGGTGGGTTTTTAGAGAAATTAAAACTGCGTTCATTGGTACTATTAAATAATTCATCCGATTGATAGTTTTCGAGAAAATCGAGGCCAAATTTGCAACTTCGAATACTTTTTGTACGATTTTGGAAGCCGGTTTTTTCATGAAACTATATTTTACTGATGTAGATTTTGATGATGAACCAGAAAATGCATTTATTTGTCCAAATAAAATCTTCGTTCTCCAGTAAAGCATCTAAGTTTGATTTGCATTTAAACCGAATTTACTCTGTGACCAAAAAAGTTAGAGATCTGAAACTTATGATTAGTACATAAAAATTGATTGTTAACATAATGTATTAAATATTTTTTATAAGACATCAACAGTTCTTTAGATTTTGGCCATTGATCTGAGAACTTTGGTCCTCAATATTTCGAGAATGATAGCACATACGATCACTGTTCTTCATCATTTATCCTTTACCATCTACTATTCAATGCAATTCAAAAACTTTCCATAAGCGCATTTAATTCATGATAACTGTGGTTTAAATGTGCTAGAAACAGCTTATTTAACAAAACAAACTCATCTTAACCATTCTGTTAAATAAAACAATTTTCTGGTTAAACTGTCAAACATGATGCAAAGAATGCTGCCAAAGGTTCGATAATTTGAGTAATGAGTTGAGACTTGGGTGAGTTTGTAGAGGCGTAAAAACTGAATCACTTGGTACTATTAAATAATTTATCAGATGGCCAGTTTTTGAGAAAATCGAAGTCAAAGTTGAAATTTCGATCGCCTTTTGTACAGTTATGGAAGCCGGTTTTTTCATGAAACTATATTTTACTGATGTAGATTTTGATGATGAACCAGAAAATGCATTTATTTGTCCAAATAAAATCTTCGTTCTCCAGTAAAGCATCTAAGTTCGATTTGCCTTTAAACCGAATTTACTCTGTGACCAAAAAAGTTAGAGATCTGAAACTTATTATTAGTACATAAAAATTGATTGTACACACCATGGTTTACATATTTTTTTCAATTTATCAATAATTCTCTTGATTTCGGCCATTGGGCTAAAAAACTTAAAGCTTAAATATTTCGAGAATGGCCTAACCTACAGTCATCATTCTTCGACTAATTATTAGATTTCACTATGGGCTATCAGCATTATATCATTCAAGATTGCACAAAAAAAGTTATAGCATTTTATCACTGATGTTGTCAGATTTGAAATTTTATTTATAAAGTTAGAAGGTTACTTAACACAAATCTTACGTGTTATAAGATTATTCATAATTAAATGATTTTATACAGCATTGAGTTATATCAAATTATAGCCTATGACAGAATCTAGTGTGCGGTCAAAGAATGGTGATCGTAGGTGCTACCATGCTCGAAATATTATAAACCAAAGTTCTCAGGTCAATGGTCAAAATCTAAAGAACTATTGATATCTTGAAAAAAATATTCAATACATTATGTTAACAATCAATTTTTATGTACTAATCATAAGTTTCAGATCTCTAACTTTTTTGGTCACAGAAAAAAGTCGGTTTAAATGCAAATCGAACTTAGATGCTTTACTGGAGAACGAAGATTTTATTTGGACAAATAAATGCATTTTCTAGTTCATCATCAAAATCTACATCAGTAAAGATTAGTTATTTGCAGAAATCGGCTTCCATAGCTGAAGAAAAGGCGATCGAAGTTTCAACTTTGACTTCGATTTAATCAAAAACTGGCCATCTGATAAATTATTGAATAGCACCAAGTGATTCAGTTTTTACGCCTCTACAAACCCAATAAGTCTCAATTCATTACTAAAATGTTCGAGCCTTTAGCAGCATTCTTTGCATCATGTTTGACAGTTTAACCAGTAAATTGTTTTCTTTAACAAGAAATGGGTTAAGATGAGTTTGTTTTGTTAAATAAGCTGTTTCTAGCACATTTAAACCACAACTATCTTGAATTAAATGCGCTTATGGAAAGTTTTTGAATTGCATTGAATTAGTAATTGGTAAAGGATTAAATTGGCGAAAGAATAGTGATCTTAGGTGCTGTCATTCTTAAAATATTGAGGACCAAAGTTCTCAGGTCAATGGCCAAAATATTCAGAACTGTTGATATCTTGAGAAAAGTATGCAATAAATTATGTTTACAAACAATTTTTATGTATTTATAATAAGTTTGAGTCCTCTAACTCGCACAGTCACAGAAAAAAGTCGGTTTAAATGCAAATCGAACTTAGATGCTTTACAGAAAATAGAAAAGTTTATTGTTCAAAATAAATGCATTTTCTGGTTCTTTATTAAAAATTACATCAGTAAAGCAGTGTTTTATGAAAAAATCATTGATAATTGAACAAAAAACAATTGAAGTTTCAACTTGGAACTCGATTTTCGAGGAAACAGTTTATCAGAGAAACATCTAAATCCCACAAATCGATCCAGTTTTCATGTCTATATGTTTACAGACTAACAGAGTCTGAAACTTTCGATATTTAGAGACGTCAAAACTACGTTCATTGGTATCATTTAATTATTCGGTCGACAGACAGTTTTCAGAAAAATCGAGGCCAAAGTTAAAACTACGATCGCATGTTTAGATGGGATGGAATGTGGCGTCTGATGTATATGATGTTTATCTAATATTTTGGGAATGGTATCATGTACAATCATCATTCTTGGCCAAACATTAGTTTTTTTATGATGGAATGAAATATGAAATCATTAAAGATCCTACAAAAAAATTTATAGCATTTTATTACTTGTCATGTCAGATTTCAGACTTGATTTATTTAGTTGGATGGTTACTTAAAAAATCATATGCATTAGATTGATCTTTGATCCTTGATGTCTTTACAGTAAGCCGGCTCAACTCCTTTGAATGCTGGTTTTGTTCATATGAAAATTGGTTCTATTCAAACGAGAATCATGTTATATTCAAGCAAAATTATCTGAATCGGAATTAAGAGAGTTTTTCTTCAATTATATAATGATTATCACAAAATATTCTTTCATTTTCAATTCCATTGTTATTCATTCTTCCAAGACAGTTCTGATGGTTTTAATTGATGAATAAGTTTTAGCTTTTCCATTTCATACAAAGTTGGTTATAATCATATGCTAGCAAAATAAAAGTAACTAAAAAGATGTTGATCAATCAAACAAACAGTAGATGAAAGTTGACACTGATTAATAATTCCATTCAATCAAATTAATAGTTAATGGAAAATAAAATCACAGGATAAGTTTAACGAAATAAATGGGAAAATGTCTGAAAGATGTTTCAGCTACCTAAATGTACATTTGGCATATGAAAGTCGATTCTATTACCTTTTATGGAAGATTACATTGATTTTAAAGGCTGATCTGATTTATGTTCAAGTCCAACTGGAATAAGTAAATTTCATTTCTTAGAAATTCTATCACACAATGCATTACACCATCGAGGAGCTTTCAATGAAATTATTTGATCATTCAAGTAACTGTCAGAAGCAACAAAAGTGATCAGACTAAAGAACTGGGACTTTGTAAGTTTTTACATGTTACTGAATCCATTAATGCGCTTGAAAATCTCTGTGGAGAAACTCGAGGCTAAATTGAAAACTTGGATCGCCCTTATCAGATTTATTGAAGCAGTTTATTCAACAAAATCATTTTTCTCAAGTTTCATTTAACGTTTTTATGGTGAATAAAACACTTATTTGCTTTCAGTGTGTAAACCATTGAATATTTAATAGTATTTGCCTTACTAATTGTTGACTATCCTCTTCAACCAATTTAGAGATCTAAGGCTAGATGCATTGTCGACAATTACAAGGATATGAACTTTAAATATTTGAAAAAATTCATTGCAGTCAATTAAATTGCTAAACTTGATGAAGAAACATACCGCAATTACTACAAACATTAGTGTTTGAGAATCAGATAATTTCTTGCTGAATTTTCAAACAAATAGTTAAAATTAGATACAGTGTGCAGCTTGGTTAACCTCAAGATAATGAACTAAAACCTTTTGAAATAATACTTCGAAAAATCACACAATACGGTAAATTGTATTATTAGCTGTTATGGAAAAGCAACAGTCGTCAAAAATTGAAGCAATTTTAATAGTCGATAGAGTAGGTGAAGCAATTAAGACCATTTCATTCAAGATCAAGATTAATTGAGGTTTCATTGAAAAACAATGTTCTGCCAGTAAAATTGCTATTAATTGATTACCTTTTTAACCGGAAAGTTAGGCTCGATAAAGATCCTGACACTTTTAGGCTCATTAATTTTTATCAAATCATTGATCATTAACGCACATTCAAATTATTTTGTGACATCTCGATCTTTCATTTATTTTAAGTATAAATAGCGAGAAACAATTCCAATGAAAATCATTCTCTTTCCAACAATAAACAACAATCGGTAATTTGTCTTCTCTTTTTGACTAAAGTTTCATACCAATTGTACATCAATATGCGACTTTCAATCATTTTTGTTTTAGTGTTTGTGTTTCTATCTTTGATCAGCACTGATCTTGTTTCTTGTGATGATAAAAAGCCAGAACCAAAACACAAGGAACCACCGAAACATAAGGAACCACCAAAGCATAAGGAGCCACCTAAACACAAGGAGCCTCCAAAACATAAAGAACCACCGAAACATAAAGAACCTCCAAAACACAAGGAACACCCAAAACACAAACATGGTTAATGCTAGTTTGTTTTACTTTTTCATAGATCACTTCTCGCCAGTTAAATAGCGAATAATCATAGTCCAATTGCATATATGATCAACTCAATTCCAGATTCTAACCCAATACGACGATTTATTGTTTACGCGAAATCAATAGTGCAATTACCAGGAAATGTGAGCCTACTCTCCACAGCCAACAATAACTACCAATAACTTAACAACCGACTAAACTTTTGTTGAGCGATGAATTAAAAACGCTCAAAGATACAAAACTTCCAACCAGTAAACAACAAATATCGTGAATCAAAAATGGATGACATTCATCGAGTGAACCAAAGTTATATTACGAGAATGAATTATTTTTCGAAGAGTACTAACCCTTAAAACGCAATTTATTTTTGTTTTTAAATCAACATATTTTACAATAATTTTACATAAGTGTAACAATTTTATGATTTAATAAAGATCTATCGTGCATTTACATTGGTTTGTTTTTTGTTTAAATTTGACAGCGAATGTTCATCTTTACACGTCTTGCACAAATAGACTTTGCAAATCAAACCAGAAGTTTAATGCATATCAAAAATCCTGATTGAACCATTTTCATAATGATTAAATAATAATAATGAGTAGACAAAACACAATATTTTAAATGCACCTGTTTGTAAAACTATTGAATGCTCAAAATTTTGTCACATTATGGACAATGGATAAATTTTCAGTCGGTGATTGTTTGACGCAAAACAAATCATAATTTTCACACCAAATTCATGCATTTTATTCTTTACATTTGTACAACTCGATCTTTTTGTTACCTTAAGTATAAATAGTCGATTGAAACTGTACCACAATCAAACTAACCTCCAAACTAATAGTTATTAGTATTAATTTGTCTCAAGTTTTGTACACTGTTATAAGTATGAGATTCTCGATAGTCTTCGTTTTGATCTTTGCTCTTCTCGCCTTGATCAGTGCTAACCTGGTTGAAGGTAAGAAACATGATGAACACCACAAACACGACGATCATCATCATAAACATCACCACAAAGATGAACACCATCACAAGCACAAGGATCATCACGGACCTAAGGAACACAAGAAACACCACAAACACGACGACTAAATCAAAATTGATTGAGGTTCATAACTATGGCTGATTCAATCTGTTATATGAGATATTTAATTGTTTAATAAAACTTATAATTATTTGCATTAATATTTTGCGTCATTTACTCATCAGATGGTAAAGGCCCAAAACAGCCAAAGTCAAAACAGGTAAGTCCATAACAGCCAAGTCCAAAATGGCCAAATACAAAGCTGCTTAAATGATATCAATTCAAATTGCAAAAAAGTCCAAAAAAACCTGCCTATGGATATTGATAAGCTAATTAATTATAGTTAATTAACTCCGATCGAGTCAAAAAATGGTCTACATACACCTATATCGATGCTCTTGTGTCCTTAAAATTATTGAGTCAATTGATTAAGTCAAACTTATTCAAAATTGAAGCAAAATTCGGTGGTAAAAAAAACAAAAGTACTTTTTGATGCCCCTAATAAATCTGATCATTTAAGTAGTTTTATTTGATTTAAGCAGCTTTGTATTTGGCCGTTTTGGACTTGGCTGTTATGGACTTGGCTGTTTTGGGCCCAAACCCTTCAATCTTCTTTCCTTCCCTGTCATCTTCTTTGTCTCTCAAGAGTAAAACTGACAAGCAAAGGAAAGATGTTTATTGCATGCTACATGTATTTTCAACATTTAACATTTTTATCTAACAAGCATTGGCGAAACAGGTCAGAACCAGTACCATTTGTCGGCTTAATTGCCTTACTCCAATGATTGGCTGGTCAGATTCCTTTAAGTCGCTTACACTAGGAGTACACCATTCTCTGGTTATATTGATCTCGTGTTTTAAGCTCTCAGCGAAAGTATAGGCGAAATGTGGATTATTAATAGTAAGAAGCATATCGAATAATCGATCCAAATTAATAGGTAAAACAACATCAACAACATTTTGATTCTTGGTAAGGACATGATGATGGATCTCGTAAAGGTTTGCAAAATTTAGGAGATTCATCTGCTATTATTTCTTCTTGTCAGCCTATTGTCTTTCGCATATTCAGTGATCCTTCAAATTCAACTCTTAGCCACAAGCCTACTAAGACTTTTCTCTTTCTAGATGAAGATGGTGTTTATCGTGTTAAAAGATTATACAGAGAAATTTTAAATGGTGAAGAAAGTGGAGAAGCTGGTTTCATCTGGAAAACCTGGTACCATTCAATGATAGCCGGTGGGATTATTGGTGCAACTATTGGTATGAGGCCTGTTTATAATGGTGATTATCAATTTGCGCAATTTTTTAATCTATGGTCATGCTAAATACTTTCCCATTTCTAAATATCATGCTTTTATTTTTATAGACTTCAAAACAAGGTTCAACGAATATCAATTCCAGTCTAAAACTGCATATGCTCGGAAACTTGCCGACTGTACCCTGTCTACATGTATTCGAAATGGATTCAAATTCGGGTGGAGAGCTGGTTTATTAGCGTTGCTATTTTCTACCACAACTATTAATTTAGCAGTTTACCATAATGACATAAGATTTACTGACATGGTTTTTTCATTTGCTATTACCGGTGGAGTTTATACTTTTTGAACCCTGTTGCAGGTTTACTCAAGTGTTTTTTTCTGGACAAAAGGCCCAGTTGAAATAAGAAATAAATTTAAAACTTAAAATCAATGTTAAATCAGAATGGAATTTTATTATTAAGACGAACCAAAAGTTGACATAATTTCATCAGGATCTAATTCTCGTACGATTGTTTCTCCGAGAATTGGAGTTGCACCAACAGGAAATGTGTAAGTTCCTAGTTGTTTGTAAGATTTAGCTGCAGGTTCAACACGATGCTCCATTCCACTCGGTGTGATGATGCATGTTTCAAATCCGCGACCAGATGCAAGACGCTTCTCAATACCTGCTAAAGTTGCATTACTTGTCAGAAGTTTAGCCTCATCTGAATTCATATTTGTCTTGTAGTTGAGCTCAAGATGAGAAAGTGATGAAGATGATGTAGACGATGATCTTTTCCTTAAACTTAAAGATTTTTTCCAGCAATTATCGGAGCACGAGTTACAATAATAGATTCAGTCACTGGGGCAAAAGATTTCTTGGATAAAAAACTTGATGAATTGGATAAATTTATACTTTTAAGATCAGGTTCAGTGAGTTGTAGTAATGGTCCAGTCAGATCTTCAACAAAAATACTTTATCCTTGAATTGTAGAATCTTCAATCAATGATTTCATTCACCAAGCACTTTTTTGAACACATCTTTGAAGTGAAGACAAAAGATAATTGAACAAAAATTCACTTGTTAGTCCTTTTATCTACCAGTTGGCGAGAAAGTTTCTAGAGCCACCTCCACTCAACATGCGTGGAAAACGAAATGGTCCTAATCTGCAAAATTGCTATAAGCTCATTACTTTTCAATTGGTGAGTTTTAAACTTTTCTCTGCTCGACAATTTTCTATTAGTTACATCATTAAAATGAATTTCATGAAAAAATGTACCTCCATAATTGTACAAAAGGCATTCGAAGTTTCAAATTCAACCTCGATTTTATCGAAAACTATCCATCGAACGAGTAATTGAATAGTACCAATGAACGCAGTTCCAATGTCCCTACAAACCCATCAAGTCTCAGCTCTTTACTCAAAATGTTCGAGTCTCTAACACCATTCTTTGCATTATGTTTGCTTTAACCAGAAAATGGGTTTATTCACCAAGAAATGGGTTGAAATGAGTTTGGTTTGTTGGATAAGTTGTTTCTCGCACGTTTAAAGCCCATGACCCAAATGGGCTAATGGAAAGTTATTGAATCGCATCGAATTATTAATTAGTAAAGAATTAAATTGGTGAACGAATAGAGATTGTAGGTGCTACCATTGTCGAAATATCGATGTTCAAAGTTTTTAGTCTAATGGCCAAAATCAAGAGAACTGCTGATAAATTGAAAAAAAAGATTCGATCCATGATGTGTAAAAACAATTTCTATGGACCAATAATAAGATTGAGTTCTCTAATTTTTACGGTCACAGAAAGAGGTCGGTTAGATAAAAAGCGAACTCATCCGTTTTAAAGGAAAAAGAAAATTTTATTTCTTGAAGTAAATGCATTTTCTGATTGATCATAAAAAGTTACATCAGGAAAATGAGTTTCATTAAAAAATCTGCTACCATTATTGTACAAAAGGCGATCGAAGTTTCATCTTCGACCTCGATTTTCTTGAAAACTATCGATCAGAGACATCTTTTAATCGCTCAAATGTACAAGTCAACAAAATCTAAATTTGAAAGAAATCGATTTTCCTCCGTAATCCGTTTTGTGTCAATTTGAATATTTTGACACTAGTGTTGATTTTGCCTTGTTAGTAACAGCCATGTTTGACTAAATGCTCAATAAAGGTTACTATTACTCGGATTGATATTTTGTGTAATTTACTCATCAGATTCCATCTGGGTGCACGTTTATATTGGTTAAATAGGATAAGTTTGTTTTATCTGAACATATATCTTGTTGAGGCAAATTTCATGAGAAAAGCTGAAATTATCTTTTTTAAGTGCATTAATTGTTCAGTTTATGATTACTTTTTGATAAATGAAATCATATGATTACATGAGTGCAGTCAATTCCTGTGTTGCTGCATTTAAATTATTATTTAATGAAAGTAAATTTGCGAAACAAAATATTTAATAAGAGAATATCTTTTTTGCAAAATTTTATGCATTTAATATTTTTATGCAATATATTTATACACAAATAATTTAGTTGATGTGGCTTGTTTTGATTTACATAACAATTGGTAGCTATTTTTAAAAATTACAAAGAGATCGATTGTGATAGATTGAAATAACCATTATCCAAAAATAAAATTAATAAATACAACGTTAAAACTGAGTGACGATTGAAACAAACAAAAACCAGAAAATTATCAAATATTTCTTTTTACATGGAATGCAATGGAAGATAGGACTTTAGCTTTGAACCGTAAAGTCAGGATGTAATATTGATTTCAAGAGTTGAGCTGAATCTTCTAATCTTAATAGTCTAATATAAAGGAAGAAATTTAGAGTTGATAGTAGAATAAGTAAAACAAAAACAGTTCTTATCAACAAAGTATCTATTTGATTGGTACTTGATTCCTCACCTAATGAAGTTTGTATTTTATTAATAAATAAATGATCACGGCGTTTCTTTATACCAGACTCACTAGACAATTTCTGATCAATGATATTAGGTGAAAGTGATGAAGGTGATGTAGACGATGATCTTTTCCTCAAACTTAAAGATTTTTTTCCAGCAAATATCGGATCACGAGTTACAATAATAGATTCAGTCATTGGTGCAATAGATTCCTTGGATAAAAAACTTGATCCATTGGATAACTTTATATTTTTAAGATCAGGTTCAGTAAGTTCTAGTAATGATCTGGTCAGATCTTCGACATAAGTACTTAATCCTTGGATTGTAGAATCTTCAATCAATGATTTCATTCCCCAAGCACTTTTTTTGAACACAACTTTGCCATAAATTTGCAAATTACATTCGTTTTCGGTTTCTCCTCTGCTTAAATAATAAACAGTATCAACTCGAAAGCTGCTTGATAACGGAAATCCCATATTGGATACTTCTGATTTTATCACATATGCTTGACCAGGAGTAGAACTGGAATATAAATATTGAACCTCGGTTGTTGATACAGTTTTAGCCATTGACTGGTTCACATCCATTGTATACGATAGATTCCGATATTGCTTGTATTCCTTAAGATCATCTGAAACATTGTTTGGATCTATATCAGTCCATTCACCAACTGTAATATTATACGTGTTTCTTTTGGCCAAGAGCGATTGGAAAAATGGACTATCAAAGAAAATCATATTGAAAACATCATCAACATTTAATGAAAAAGTTCTGTCCAGCATTTGAGCTCCATCAAGGTTCATCATGGCAAGCAAAATGGAAGGAAGGTGAAATCACAAAACAACAAGAAATATTACTGATGGAAGGGATTATAATATTTACTTTAAGTGTAATATAAACTGAGTAAAAAGTAACATAGCAATACGATGATAAAATTTATTATTCAATAATTGGCATAGTTAAGTGAAGATTTTTTAATGTTTACCAGAGCTAGTTACACAATAAACATCATCAGCTGATTGGTTGGCATTAGCTTCTAATAACAAAAGCGGTAAATACAATTTTATTTTCTGTCACTAAGCCTTCTTTTAGTCACAATTTTATTCGAGTTAAATTAATTTGTATCTTTTTTTTGAATTTTCACAATCAAGGCAAGAAAAGATACAATGACATCATTTATTAATAAACAAAGCATATTTTATTGACAGCAGAATAACAAAGTCTTGCCTATTTGCTTCTAAGCAGAAGTTCATGCATATGGCTCAAAATTTAATAATGCTAATAAATTTTGACCAGTAACATAGATTTTAGCTTACTGAGTCAATAAAAAATTTTTTAATTAATGGGGAAAATAGAAAATCCGTTAACTTTCAACTATTAATTTAGCTGTTTACCATAATGACATAAGATTTACTGACATGGTTTTTGCATTTGCTGTTACCGGTGGAGTTTATAATTTGCATCGTGGACCTAAAGCTATGCTTGCTGGAGCAACGTTAACAGGTTTAATGGGAATCCCTGTTGCAGGTTTACTAAAGTGTTTTTTCTGGACAAACGGTCGCGTTGAAATAAGAAATAAATTTAAAACTTAAAATCAATGTTAACTCAGAATGGAATTTTATTATTAAGACGAACCGAAAGTTGACATAATTTCATCAGGATCTAATTCTCGCACGATTGTTTCTCCGAGAATTGGAGTTGTACCCACAGGAAATGTATAAGTTCCTATTTTTTTGTAAGATTTAGCTGCAGTTACAACAAGATTCTCCATTCCACTCGGTGTGATGATGCATGTTTCAAATCCGCGACCAGATGCAAGACGCTTCTCAATATCTGCTAAAGTTGCATTACTTGTCAGAAGTTTAGCCTCATCTAAATTCATATTTGTCTCGTAGTAGAGCTCAAAATGTGAAAGTGATGAAGATGATGTAGACAATGATCTTATCCTTAAACTTAAAGATTTTTCGCCAGCAATTATCCGATCACGAGTTACAAAAATAGGTTCAGTAATTGGGGGAATAGATTCTTTGGATAAAAAACTTGATGAATTGGATATATTTATATTTTTAAGATCAGGTTCAGTGAGTTGTAATAATGATCGCGTCAAATCTTCGACATAAGTACTTAATCCTTGAATTGTAGAATCTTCAATTAATGATTTAATTCCACAACCATTTTTTCTGGACACAATTTTACCATAAATTTGTAAATTACATTTGTTTTCGGTTTCTCCTCTGCTTAAATAGTAAACAGTATCAAATCGAAAACTGCTTGATAACGGAAATCCCATATTAGCTGCCTCTGATTTTATCACATATGCTTGACCAGGAGTAGAACTGGCATATAAATATTGAACCTCGGCTGTTGATACAGTTTTAGCCATTGACTGGTTCACATCCATTGTATACGATAGATTCCGATATTGCTTGTATTCTTTAAGATAATCTGAAACATTGTTTGTATCTATATCAGTCCATTCACCAACGGTAATATTATAAGTGTTTCTTTTGGCCAAGAGCGATTGGAAAAATGGACTATCAGAGAAAATCATTTTGAAAACATCATCAACATTCAATGAAAAAGTTCTGTCCATCATTTTAGCTCCATTAAGATTCATCATGGCAAGCAAAATGAAAAGAAGTTGAAAACACAAAACAACAAAAAGTATTACTGATGGAAGAGATTATTATATTTATTTTAAGTGTAATATGGCCTGAGTAAGAAGGTACTTAGCAATACTATGATAATATATATTATTCAATAATTGGCATAGTTAAGGGAAGATTTTTTAATGTTTACCAGCTAGTTATACAAATACACTAGTACACAAGTACACACTATGAAAACATTATCAGCTGATTGGTTGGTATTAGCACCTAACAAAAAAGCGGCAAATACAATTTCTTTGCTGTTACTAAGCATTCTTTTAGTCACAATTTGTCTGCATTCGAGTTATTTGTATCTCTTTTCCAATTTTCACAATCAAGTCAAGAAAAGATATGATGTCATCATTTAAACAAAGCAAATTTTATTGACAGCAGAATAACAAGTTTTGCCTATTTGCTTTTAAGCAGAAGTTCATGCATATGGCTCAAAATTTAAAGTGTGCTAATAAATTTTGACCAGTTACATAGATTTTAGCATACTGAGTCAATAAAAAATTTTTAGTTAATGATGAAAATAGAAAATGCGTTAACTTTCTACTAGTTTGTTAAATAATCAACGAAATTGAGATATTTTTGGCAATTTGGTATTTAGCAACTGTTCTTCTCATAATTCGAGATAATAAAATTTAAGATAATACTAAATGAACGAAAAATGATGGAAAACAAGTATGGCACATCAGTATCATTCAGTTAATTTGTTTGGAGGTAATTGAGCATAAAAAGCAAGAGAGGAATAGTTCGAGGAATGATAACTCATAACATCACGAATGGTAGTTCTTGCACTCTCATTAATGATCGTCTTCTGTAACGGTTTGGGAGGTTCTCCTAATAAAACTGAAACACAATTGGCAGTTGATTCAGTTATTGCATTTAAATTGTAGCCACCCTGAAAAGAAGATAGATAAAAATTAATGAAAACGAATAAGAATAATTAATATGCAAGAAATAAAGTGAGATAAAAACCTCAAGAGCAAGGATGAGCTTCCCTCTAGCAAGCCCACTAAGAAGATGAGTAAAATGGCCAAAAACTTCTGGATCTAATTTATACTCGCCGAGAGGATCATTTTTGGCTGCATCGAATCCAGCTGACACAAAAACCACTTCAGGATTATATTCATACGCAACAGGAAGAATAATGTTGGTAAATGCTAAAATGTAGTCAAAATTTGACATCGGTCCACCATTCCATGGAATATTAATAATGTTGGAAGGCGTTTTGAACCCAGATTTAATACTGTTTGGATAAAAAGAAGCGAAATCATATCGATGAAGAGAAATAAAAAGAACATTTGGATGATTTTCAAAAATAGATTGAGTCCCATCACCATGATGGACATCCCAATCAACTATAAGTACTCGTTTAAGATTATAATTTTTGATTGCATATTCAACAGCAACAGCAATATTGTTGAAAATACAGAAACCAGAAGCTGCATTTCTAGCTGCATGATGCCCTGGAGGTCTAATAATTGCAAAGCCATTTCGAGATTTATTAGTTAAAACTTGATCGGTAACTTGGAGTAAAGCACCAACAGATAAGCGAGCAGCATCGTTGGTATTTTTACACATATAAATAGAATCAAATGTGTGTGCAACCTTGTCTATCTGATCTTGATTCATGTGTTCCAACAATCTTATTTTTAAAACGTATTCATCCGAATGGACTAATTTGAGTTCAGCATCAACTGCAGAGCGTTTTTCTTCAATAATTGTACAATTATCAAGTATTCCTTTGTTTTTAAGACCATTATAGATGCTTTTAATTCTATCAGGGCACTCTGGATGGTCTGAATTAGGACGACGATGAGAATTCATATCAAAATCAAACTTGATACAAGTTCTGGAGGATGACACCGTTAAATCAGTCGAGTTCCACAAACATCTAATCATGGATTCAAATTTTTCAAATGTTTCTTTATCACGGACAGGATAACAATCTCTTGTGTCATATTTACTTGGGGGATCAACAAGAGACGCTTTTCCACGATATTCAACAACTGGAGAGTAACGCCGAACCAAAGGATTGTTTTCGTCAATAATTTCTGCACCTGAAAACTCCTCTTGAATTCGCAGTGATTTCCATTGAGGTTTATGAGCCCATATTACGTCGAGAATCGAATCAACAGCTGACTTGTGGAGTTTGACAGGTTCATCTGATTTCGGCAAAGGAGGACAAGGATCACCCAGGAGTGCACGCAAAGTAAGAGCAGCTCCATCAGATAGCGACGAAAGGCAATAGCCACCCTCTAAAACAACACAAACTTTCCCTTGAGCAAGGGTCATTAATTGACTTGTCAAATGAGCGAAAAGTGATGGAGACAGTAGCATGTTTCCTTCTGGGCAACCAATTGCAGCATCATATCCAGCAGAAATTAGTATAAGCTGAGGGTTGTACTCATAAGCAAGAGGAAGCAAGATGTTATGAAAAATGGCAAGATAATCATGATCAGTCAATTCCTCTTCATTTAAAGGAACATTGACATTATAACCTTTTCCAGGACCTCGACCGATAGAGTTGTAATTTGATTCAATTAGCTCAGGCCAGAATGATCCATTTAGATATTTGTGTATTGAAAAATACATAACTTCATCTTGCTCTTCAAATGAAAATTGTGTCGCTTGGCCATGGTGAATATCCCAATCCACAATGAGAACTCGTTGTAACCCATGTTGTTTGACAGCATGAGCAGCTCCAATCGCGATATTATTGTAAAAACAATAACCACAAGGCTTATCAGCAAATGCATGATGACCAGGAGGTCGGATCAAAGCAAATCCATTTTTGACCTCATCCTCCAAAACTGCGTCAATCAACTCAATAGTAGATCCAGCAGCGAGTAATGCTAGTTCATTAGTTTTAGGGTGAAAGTAGACTGCATCATATTTCGAAGACAATTCCTCTAGTTCGACTGGATCATCAATAGTTTCAGTAATTTTCATTTTTTCAAAATGATCTTCAGTGTGAATGTAAAGAATTTCTTTTTTTGAAGCAGGTCGAGGCTAGATAGATTAAAGGATTGTAAAATTAGAAACATATCGTAAAATTTTAAAAAGTTTAAAGCTTACTTGCAATAGTTTACATCGATCAACTAGGCCTAACTGTTTCATTTTGTCCAAAACACGGCTAAATCTATCTGGACTCTCAGGATAATTTTCATCCCAGATGCATTTGTGTTCCGTCATGGAAACGTCAAATATAAGGCCAGTTTTAATACTGTGGATTGCACAAAAAACATGATATTAATTAAAACCGAATAAAATACTTAGTTTTTAAACAAACCTTTTTCTACTTTGATCTTTGACATCGTCTGTGTCTCCGAGTTTCTGAAAAAGAGACCAATAACCATTAGCACCAGTTAACGAATGCCACCCACCGGAAATCTTTTTAGCGTAGGATAACAAGCAAGGAACCCACAACCGGGAGGTGATAGTAATGATTGAAGGAAGAATCAAAACAAAAACAAGTCGAGAAAGTAATTGAAAACAATAGCCTTATAATTTAACTCAACAGAAATGAAAAAATAATCAAAACATCACAAACAAATAAAAATGCTTAATAAAATTTGTCTTAGGATATTGATTAAAAAAAGAGTGAAAATAAGTGACTAAATGAGAAAGATCTTTGACTACGTGCCAAAATAGCAAGAGATAAAAATGAAGCATGAAATTACAGAAATGACAAAAACCTCGAAAACAGAAATGTTGCCAAAATTTCGACAAGAAAAGGGAATGAGACCGGTAAATATATTCAAAAGGTCTTACAAGTTGATCGAGAGCTTTAGTCAAGTCATCATTGGTGGATTTAGTTGAACCACTTTTTGTTAGATTTCGCGTTTCAGCTTCCATCAGAATTGTCAAAAGTTCAACTTTTAATGTCAAACAAACTAAAACAATCTAAACAATAAACACAAACAAAAAAAAACAAAATAAAAACAATTTAATAACAGGCAAAATATCCTTATCCAAAGTGTTTGCTGTGAGTGCATTTCAAAATTCACCTGACACTGGTAGCCAACCAGATGATGGTGCTGGTAACTACTAGCTACATCTAGTAACCAGAATAGGATCTGGAATTAAACTTTAAGTTAAACGCAAAATTTTTGGCAATTTTCAATCATATTGTAATATTTGATTATTTTAATAGGAATATGATTCCTCCCAAAAAATGGATCCCATTGATATAGCCGTTACTAAATTATATGCAAGCAAAAATAAAACGTAACTGAATTAAATAGCAAGACCAACCAAGCAAGAAATCAAACTCCGGATTTTCCTTATGATCTAGGAGATTTGATTAATACACATCTGGAGAAAGGTTTGAGTCAATTTAAATGAATCATCGCAAGTGTGAGTTGACCTGAAAAAATTAATCGAATCGACTCATCATTGCAAATGTCTCTCATTTTCAACCAATTAAATCAAACTAAGACTGATCAATTTTTTACACCAATTGCAGATACAGTTGACCATTAGAGAGGTTAGACTCTAGCGCTTCTGATTGGAAAATGAAAAGCAAATTAAAAGAATTAGGAAATAGTGATGAAGAAAAGTGGAAATGATTATCGTCTGAATGTTTGATGAAATGATTTAAAATTATATGCATTCCGTTTGGTTCAATATTTGTTACGAATCGCTGTTAATTGACTATTTGGTAACAATTTTCAACCTTAAAAGTGTCAACTATTAAATTGAAAACCAGTCTAACAAAATGGTTAAGATGATGAAACTGAAAGTGATGCACTCAAACTATACAAATTGTGATTACTTGACCAAGTAACAAATGTCTTGTTTTTGGCGGAGCTTAGTTGGACCATAGTTAAATTGGTACAGGTAGTCGACTGATTGAAAAATGATTAAAAAAGAGCCCATCATCGATGTAAATCAAGGAGTAAGTCATTTGATTGGCAAAAGGAAACATCAAAATCCATCTTTTTTCGTGAAAAAAGTGAAAAGTGTTTTATTTTTTACCTCCATTAACATCATCTTTTTCATTATTTTCAATATTCCAATCAGCTAGCAATCAAAGTAATGTTATTGATCAATGTTTATGTTTATTCAGTTTTTTAATTATCTTTTTATCTTTTTTCACCCTTTCCAATAGATGAGAGCAACAACAATTTTCATCTGTTTATCAACATTAATGATTGTCCTTTTGGTGTTCACTCCACAATCAGCTTCATCACTTTCTCGTCGTAAGATGATGAAGATCAAGAAACTTGCTGCCTTGGCAATGATTTTGAAGCCAAAGAAAAAGATGATGCCAATTCCGATTCCAATTCCAATCCCGTGAGTAATCAACTAAAATAGCAAAAAAAGCAATCAATAACCTTTTATTCATTCCAACTTGATGTGTTGATCAACACAACACAGTATTTTCAAAGATAAAATGATGATGATGAAGGGAAACAACTTCCAACAGGATCAATCTTTCCAAGCTCAACCCGCAATGATCCACGGTCATTTGGCCTTCCAACCAGCCATGTTTCACAGCCATGTACCTATGCAGCCTCCGGTTGTATCTCAGCAATATCATGCTGTACCCGTTCCAATGCCTATTCGAGTCCCTGTTCCAGTACCAGTTCAAGTTCCAGCTCCTGTCCAACCCTTGGTTGCTCTTGAATACCACCAAGAACCTGCAACAATCTGGTAATTTTGATTCTCTTTTAATCCCGAAAATTGCTTCAAAAATTCACTCCAATTTATTCTAATTAAATTATCTTCTCTTACATTCTAGCCACCATTAAATGACTCAAGATTTACTCATGGTTTTTCTGGTCCTCCCAAAATCCATACAATCATGTATCTTATACTTTAATCAGAAAAAATCACTTTAAATTATTCCGTCGAATCAGTTTATTATAACTTAAATAACCACCACCTTCATAGCCTCAAGATTGTCAAATATTACCTACTAATACTAACCAACTATGTTACACTCATTTGTCCATTTTCATATTGTTACTGTTAAATTATTACTGATTCACATTCATACTAATAAATACAAATATATATTTTGCTATAAATTTTCTCACCGAGTTTACTTTTTTTGTCCAAAAATTAAAAATTAAAACAAAAAACGATGAATTTCGATGATTAAATTTAATTCAGTTCAACTCTTTTTTAGGAATCAATACTAAAAACATTAATAATTTAGACAGGTCTAAATTGTTTATTTTGTACACCAATTGATGATGAATTGGTTGCAATCTCATGTTTATATTTTATGATCACATTAATTTGTTATCTTCCTTTGGTATTATTTTATAATATACATGGTAACCATATCTATTGATTTGAATACGACCGCAACTTTCCACTCATTAATACTGCAATTGTTGACTTGGTTTCTTTTCATGTTTGATTTGCATTGTTTTTGTTCAAATATCAGGTAAAATTTGTTATCATGAAATCAAACTTATTAATTGCCCACAAAATTGTGTAGAGTTGACAGCTTAGAGCTTGAAGTAGAAAATACAAACTCAAGGATCACTTTGGTTATGTTTTTTTTGGACTGTCTTTTTTTTTCCTTGTTGATAAACCATAATGTTGGTTTAGTAGTTGCAAAGATGTTTCCTGTAACATGAGACGCTATTGCATTGCTTTCAAAATGTATATAAATTGGTGATATCTAAAATACCTTAATCTAGACTCATTTGTGATTGGTATTGGTTCATCTCCATAGTCACTGAAACTCTCACAAAATTTACATTCACATGTTTTTAAGGTATGTCAATGGCCTAATACAACTCTTTAGTTTGGATTATGCTGACATTAATTTGATATGCATCGAATATTTGCAAACCAATCATCCAATTAGTTTGTTGATAAAATAAATTCTCCCTTTTCCATTTGTCTATGACAAGAATTTAGATCGTATCACTGACCATGACTTACAAGATCCTTCATTGAACCACCAACCGACTAGATCTTTGTGGCGCCGATTACATAGCACTGAAGATTGTCTAAGTTTTTCACCTTCTTTGTCAAAGGATGAAGAGGGCGAAGATTGAGCTACACTTTTTAATTTGGAGCATATTTGGCAAAATAGTTGGCGATAGTCGTGATTTTTAACAGTAAACTGTCTTTTCCATTCAAAGTATGAGCTGTATCTTTTCTCATCAGCTGCTAAATTTCTCAATAACATTGCCAAGTATCGAGGTGATTTGAAAGAAAGCGCGTCGATGTAGGAATGGTTTGGTAAAATTGAAGAATAATTAGCTCCACCAAGGACAATTGGAATAACGGTGTAGTTGAGGATATTGATAATTTTCTCAGTGTAATAATCTGAACAGATAGAGTTCTCGAAAGACAGATAGAATCGATAATTAGTTTCAATATGATGATAACAATAGGATCCTTTTGAACTTGGACATTTCAATGATCCACAAGCACCGTAAATGTCAACATCGATATATTTAGCTAATTCTTTAGCATATTCATCTCTTCCTGATGAAGCTTTACAATTGCTAACCATCCAAGCCACATTACGAGTCTTTGAGGAGAATGGAACGTTGATAGTTTTTCGTTGCTGCCAAGACTCTGAATTGTTTGCATAACTAATTTCAGACAGTTTTAATACTTCCCCGTAAGGTGTTGGAAAATCCGAATCACTTCGATAGCTAGACCAGCAATCGATATAGTTTGCGAATTGGGCTAAATTGGCTTTTCTAAATGTGTTCATAGGAGATTCCATGTGATGCCAAATCCATGTTTGTCCCTCAAATTTATACTTTGGTAAGTCTTTTAAATTAGTGTTTCGCCAGTAAAAAAGAACAACTTTTGCTTGAGCTAATAAGCTTCGATTTCTCGAAACAATACAATCACAATTTAAAGGAGATTCAGTTGCTCCCCACCAAGAGTCACTGTCAAATGCTCCAGTCCACAAAAGGATTATTGGAGGAGTTGATGGAAGAGGAATTGAAGGTAAAGGTGAGGACGAGGATAACGGCGAAACTTGATGAGATGAAAAAGAAACGGATGACGAAGATTGTTGATTATGAACATATTCACTGAAAAGTAATTTATTTGGAACATCCAGGACTCGGACTGATGGATCGGCTGGATTTATCAGAAAATAAGTAAAGTAAAGACAAAAAAGAAGGCCAATAATAACCAGGGTCCATTTTTTTCGCCTGGGTGAGGAACTGCCAGGATTTTGCGAAAGATTAGCCCGTTTGAGTAAAAATTGAATCTCAGTCATTGAGAACTTGGTTATTCTTAAAGCTGTCAGTTTCAATAACAGGAGTGAAGAATGGTACAGGAATATACAAAAAAAATGATGAATGATGACGAAGGTGAAAGAGATGCTTGAGGAGTAGTGAATGACTTGAAATTTAATTGAATTGGACACAAAAGATAGCTGCTCTGGATCAGGGAAATATTTTAAATCAATGGGTGTAGTAGTTATTGATATAAATCCAAATGATATCACTTTAGACCTGCTTTTAAATTCCAGTTGCTGGTTGTGGGAAAAAAATCTTTCAAGGTATAAGATCCAAAATTAGAATATTTCACCAGTTTTTCTAGCTGTATTTGGAAAATCGAAACCATATTGAATTTTAAATTTTATAAAATTTAAAAAAGAGAAATTGGTCTGAGGTAGATTTAGTAGAGTGACATCACAATGAGAAGGCAAAAAGGAAAAAAATTGAGATTCAAGAACCAATGATTGGTCATTATGATTATTTAATGATGAAGGGTGAACCAGACCGGGATTGTTGATCTGATGTTGGAAACAAGTAGATTGAACACAGGACCCAAATTGATAAGGTGGTTTTGGTTTTAATGGAAAGGCGAAGATAGCAATAACAAAATCAAAATCCTTTTATTGACACATTTCATCTTGTTGCATGGAGAAGAAATGAACCAATAAAATACTATTTATTAACCAGCACATTTCCAACACTAAATATCATGATGAAACATTCATAAAAAATGTATTATAAAGCTGATTAAACACTAAAAATGGTTTAATAAATTGTAGTAACCAAAATGGACTGTATAGATGTGAAAAGAAAATAAACAGATGACTTTAAGGAACTGTTTTTGCTTCTCTTTGGCCAGCTGAGAATTTCAGGTTAGCCTTGAACATATGTTTGTCAAATAACACACAATAGAGCAAATTAATTGTAAAAATCATCGTGATACAGTAACTGTGATTCATTAATCATGCTGACAATTATAACAAAGTACATATAACGATAGATAATAAATTATTTCAAGTGAAACAATAGTGAGCAATAAATGTAGGAATAGGCAATTGATTTTCAAAACAATAGCAGTTTCTCTTACAGTGCAAATTGGATTTCTAATTTAAACATGGCACTGGTTCATGTCTAATAGACAGTCAATACACAAGGAACCGTTCAATAATTTCATAGGGATGAGAAATAGAGAGTTTAATTTAATACTGTTTAATAAGGATATCGAATGCCAAAACAAAGTCAATGTTGGAATTAATATATTGGATTGGGTGTCAGAGTAAGATTATCAACATATCAGGCCAAAACCAATGAGTAATAGTTCTACTCTTTACCAGAATTCAGTCAAGTCAACAAGAAACGTCCGCAAAATGAAATTGCTCAAAATTTTTAGTTTAGTCTTCAAGATTGGTGATCAATCAATCTATTTTTGTGGAAATCTGAGAGACGATCAACATTTCAATAATGTGAAAATTTGTTAGAGCTTCAATATAAAGGATATTATTTTCATATAAGAGCCGTTTTGTATCAACGGGAAGCAGAAACAGCCACTAATTCAATAACCATAAATCCTGATTAATTTTCTAGAGAATGACAGAACTTTCAAAATTTAAACTTGGAAATTTCTCATAAATTGATTAAGACTCTAGCTAAGTTATCATTGGTGTATTTAACATGTTTATCTGTAGTTGGTTAACACACTATAATAAGATTTCAATTTCCATGAAAGTGTCAAAAGTTGAATTAACTTTCATTTTTAGCAAAACATTAAAAATAACGAAACAATTTTGAAATTGCTGGTAGCTTTAGTAGCTACATCTAGTAACCAGAAGACATAAGATTATTTTCTATAGGAAGACTGGGATCCGTATTCACATCTGGTTCTAGTTACACAATAAGATATTCACTTGTCAATTGACATTAGACCAAAGTTTGTTTTCATATTGCTAGGTCTAATTTTGTGACTGAAGTTTTAATTATATTTTATAAAATGTGGTCATTTTGGTCAAGAAATCCAACTAAGGATTTCCCTTATGATCTAGGAGATTTAATTAATTCACATCTAGAGGAATCAATATGGATAATCCAGAAAGGAAAGAAAAAGGTTTGTATGAGTTGTAAATGTTGATACTTTGTTTTGTGATGGTGGCAATCACCAAGATTACATATCATAAAGTAATAGACTCAATATATTAAATTGGTTCTTTCTACTAGGGTTCTGGAGAAGCTGTTACAATTTTCCGTTTTGAATGTAAACCAGGGACGGAACACCTATTGGATAAAGCTAAATCAGCATTGAAACGAATCAAAACACTAAGACATCCGTCTTTTTTAACTTACGTTGACTCGCTCGAGACAGATAAAATTGTTTGTATTGTTACTGAACCAGTTGAACCTCTCCCTTCATATCTTGAATCAGCAGAAAACTTTACCAATGAACAAAAGTCAAATGCAATCTCGTATGGTTTACATCAAGTTGCTGTAAGCATTAAATTTGCATCACATAACTTGGTTTTTCGTTCTATATTTCTCACCTATTTATTTTCCATTATTTTGAATAGATTGGACTTGGATTTTTAATAAATGATTGCAATTTCAATCACAATAACTTACATTTAGGTTCAGTACTAGTCAATTCAAGTGGAGTTTGGAAAATTGGAGGTCTCGAATATGTCACTTCAAATAACCAAGAAAATCAAGTACCTTCTATAACAAAACATCACCATTCTCTTGATAAATACAACCCGCCTGAACTATCTGATTCTTCATCGAAAAGTTCATCAAATAAATGGTTAGAAGTGTAAAAAACCTCAAGTTCACCTTTTAACCTTATTCTTTTCTAATTTTTCTTAGGTCAGTCGATAGTTATGCATTAGGCTGCTTAATTTGGGAAATTTTCAATGGTTCAATGTCTCATCAAAACGATTTGAAGTCACCTGGAAAGGTATTCATATCATACTTTTTATCATTCTTTTTACAAATATCATTTGTTTATTTAGATTCCAAGTAATCTGGTCGCTGTCTATAAAGAATTAATCGATTCAAATCCTAAACGCAGAATTAGTCCATTGGATTTTGTGCAGAGATGTCGTGCCAAAGGCTGTTATATGAAAAATCCTTTCATAGATTCCATGTTATTTATTGAGGAGATTCAGGTATTTGATGGTCTATTTTCATTTATTCTTAAGATTTTCGAATGAACATGTGAACAATGTTGTTAAATGATTATGTTTGCCAAAATTTCTTATAGATCAAAGATCAAACTGAACGAAACAGATTTTTTACTCATCTCAATGATGCATTAAACTCATTTCCTCCTGATGTATGTAAAAACAAAATGCTGCCACAACTTATTATTGCCCTGGAATTCAACAATACTGGGTCTGCCTTTTTAGGACCACTTTTAAAAGTAAGATTACGCCTGAAAAATTTCAAAATTAAACTTCATTAAAAACTTGTCATCAAATTTTATTCATTAATAGATTGGAAAGCTTTTAAATGAAGACGAATATCAAACCAAAATTGTCCCTTGTGTTATAAAATTATTTGCTGTGAAGGATCGGGCAACTCGTGCTAAATTACTGCAAGAGGTTTGTAGTTTTATTGCTTATTTACTACAATTTAGTTTTTTACTAATCAACCAAATAATTCTTTTTTATCTGCAGATGGAATCTTTTATAAATTATTTGCAGCCCAATGTAGTGAATGAGCAAATTTTCTTTCATGTTTCACAAGGATTCGTTGATTCTAACCCAGTCATTAGAGAACAAACTGTTAAAGTATGTGGTGCTTTCAAGATAATTCAAAGTTAATTCTTGAATGATAACATAACATAACATTTGTTTTTCAGTGTATGTTACACTTGGCTCCGAAACTCAGTTACTCAAATCTTAATGAAGAAGTTATAAAACACTTTGCCAGACTTCAAACTCGAGATGAGGAGGGTGGTATTCGAACTAATACAGCTGTTTGTCTTGGGAAAATTGCAAAATATTTACATCCTCAGGTAAGTAATTCCAAGTAAACTAATTTATCTAATTTATAAAAAAAGGAAAAGTAGTTTTAACAAATTATCCATCTCTTTACAGACTCGACAAACTGTTCTCATTCCTTCATTCTTAAGATCTATGCGGGATCCATTTGTTCCAGCGCGAATAGCCGGAATACTCGCTCTTTCAGCAACTCAAACTTTTTATTCCCTTTGCGATACAGCAACTAGAGTAATGCCTGCTCTGTGTCATTTGACTATGGACCCAGATAAGTCAGTCCGTGATCAAGCCTTCAAAGCTTTAAAAGGATTTATCAGCAAAATAGAGAAGGTTTCTGAAGATCCTTCCTTAGCAGAACAAATGGGTGCGTTTTCATAGTCACACATTGAATGTCACTAGTCTAAATTTTAACATTTTTGTTTTTCCCAATATAGAAGCTGATCTCAACGCTTCTGGAAGCAACGTCTCTACAACACTGGCTGCAAACTGGGCAAGCTGGGCTGTTAGCTCATTGACATCTAAATTTTATCGTTCGAAACCAACAAGTATTAACCCAAGTAACAATAATCAGATTTCTAGTGATAAAACAGTTAATCAGCAAACGAGTAGAAGTCCTAAATTGACTGATTCTGATATTAAAAGTCCATCCGAAGATTCCATAAATGAAGATGGTGATGGTTGGGATCCTATTGACGAGCCACTTTCTTCAACAGTCCATAAAACTGAGTTAGAAAATAAAAAATCAATGGATGGCTGGGATAATGAGGACATTTGGAATGATGACGAAGTGATTGATAAAGAAATTGCTTCTGCAAATGTTCAGAGCCCTACAAAACTTGAAAATAGCGAAGATAATTGGTTAGATGCTCAGTTAAGACCAAATAATAAAGCGGATTTGCGTAAGCCAAGTCTTAGTTCCAGAAATATTCAACCTCAAGATGTTGTTAAAACAGAGCTAGATGATAACCAAGATGTCGAGAAGGAAAGACCAAGAAGACCAAGAACTAACATTGAAAGGAAAACAACAAAAACGAAAAAAGGTCCAATGAAGTTAGGAGCACAGAAAATCACTTAATGTGTGCAACTTTGTGAGCATAATAAACCAAATTTTCTACTAATAATAACCTAAAACTTATTACTCATTTTTTCGATTGAAAAAAGTTACGAATTTGTAAATTTCTTTGATATTCGTCTTCATTTAAAAGATTCCCAATCTTTTAATGAATAAAATTTGATGACAAGTTTTGATTGAAGTTTGTTATTGAATTTATTAAATCACTAATATTAAATCATAACCTTACTTTTAAAAGTGGCCCTGAAAAGGCAGAACCAGTATTGTTGAATGCTAGGACAATAATCAGGAGCAAATGAGTTTAATACATCATTGAGATGAGTAAAAAATCTGTTTCATTCAGTTTGATCTTTGATCTATAAGAAATTTTGGCAAACATAATCATTAACAATGTTCACATATTCATTTGACAAGCTTTGATATAATGAAAATAGACAATCAAATACCTGAATCTCTTCAATAAATATTTTCAATTTGTTTGCCAACAATCAACTTTTCTGGATTATAATTAGCTTAATTGCATTGAATGAAGGATAATATTTTTGATTGTTTTGATGTTGGTGCTACTTAACTATTTAGAACTTTTCCCTTATCATTTCATTTTCAAATTATGACCACAGATTTTTGTAATATCTCATGGGATGAAGATGATAATTTATTTATCAACAATCGTTACCTGTTACTGGAAAGGATTGGCCATGGTAATTTTGGTGATCTTCGGAAGGCAAGAGATACAACCAATGATAAAATGGTTGCTGTTAAATTAGAGAAATTAGCTTACAACAATTCGGGAAATACTTTACGTGTGGAATATCAATTGTACAAGAAAATTAAAGACGAACCTGGTTTCCCGAGGGTTCACTATTTTGGTACTCATGGACGGTATAACGTTCTGGTTATGGATTTACTTGGGCCTACTCTGGACGATCAATTTAACTCTTGTGGACATAAATTTAATATAATTACAATTTGCCGGTTAGCAGTTCAAATTATTGCTCGACTCGAATCACTGCATCGCCATGGAATAATTTTTCGTGACGTTAAACCAGACAACTTTTTATTTGGTCAAGTCAAAAGTGATACAGAGGATGTACTTTATTTGATTGATTTGGGTTTATCAAAGGAATACATTGACTCTCAAACTGGCCTTCACATTCCGTACCGGGAAGGAATCAATTTAACTGGTACAGCTCGTTATATGTCTGTTAATGTTCATCTTGGTCGGGAACAATCGCGTCGAGATGATTTAGAGGCTGCAGGCTACATGCTGGTCTATTTGATTAAGGGTCAACTTCCCTGGCAAGGATTGAAAGGCCCTAATTTGAAAGCTAAATTTAAATTAATTTTAAATAAGAAGCTAAACATTCCAGTCAAGGAAATCTGCTCAAATTGTCCTGAAGAACTGTTTCAATATTTAACTTATGTGAGAAAATTAAAGTTTGAAGAGGAACCTGATTACAGATGGTTAAAGGAACTGTTCATCAATTTGTTAAAGAAAAGTGGAGGAGATGAGACAACACCTTACTGTTGGAAAAATGGTAAACATGCAGTTGGGAATGAAGTTTCTTCTGTATCTTTGAAGTTGACCAAGAAGGAAGGCTTAATGTCAACTGCCCATTCAGCGGTTAAACCAACAACCTCTGATATTAAAAGAGCTCGGACTCCATCGCCAGCTGATGCATCAAGTAATGAATTTGAAGCTGATTCTTCTGCTGGTAGTGCAGGTGGATTAAGTTCATTTCAAATAGGAAAAGCAAAACAACATAAATCTAAGCCACACAAAAAGAAGTTCAAGTCTGATGGTAAACACGAACATAAAGCAGACGATGAAACATCTGAAGATAACGTAAAGTCGATGGAAACTGCGCCATTCTCGAATACTTGATCTGATTATTGTTGATTTCAATAGCCGAATTTCTCATTCTGTTCACGACCATTCTGTGTGTTTGAATTACTTTCATTTCTAAATGATCAATTGTTCCGTTTTAGTGTAATAAATTGTTTCCAATGTTTAGTTTTCTTCGATGATACAAATTGGTAGTGAAAAGTCACTTTTAATTTTGTCAAAGATATTTGATTGATTCAGGTTAAAACTAAAGTTTACTTTTTTACTAAAGTTGATGAGAAACTTGATACAGTTTTAGATTTAATCTGAAAACAGTTAGGTTGCTATCAATCAGAAAAAGCTCCTTAGAACTAAAACTAACTGCTAACTAATCGATTGTTCAAATTTTACTTTGAAATAATACCAGAATCTTCAGAATAGATCATTTGATTAACGTTTACAATACTTTTAACATTTACTAATATTAAATATTATATATTGATTTTTATTTAAATAATTTGAAAAAGGTAATTGTCTAGTGAGACAAAGATGGTGAAAATAAATGAATTACAATTGATCATAGCAATATTTCGAAAAGAAATAGGCAAAATCAGATGTCGGAATGTTAAATATTGCGATGAATGTTTCCTTGTCAGTCAGAAGCATCAAGTAATGATGATTGAGTCGATATAAGAGCTTCTCGAGAATTGGATAGGCCAGTTTCAGAGTGATTCCAGTTAATGGAAGGATTATCATTATTGCTATCATTTTCATTGTCTTTCAACTTGTCTTCGTCTTCTTTTGACCCATTTCCAGTTATTTTTCCTTTCAGATAGTCGATAACATTATTTTATTTAAATCTATTTTGAATGTCTCTGAAGATTATCACCGCGCTGTTTCGTCTGAACTTGATGAAGATGATTGACTAATTAATTTATCTCCAATATGACCCATAGAGTTTTTATGCATTGAATGTTTTTGGCGGTGATTTGATTGACAGCGAGTTCGTTGATTGGAATGTTAATTTATCGGCAAGAGTTTTAGTTGATAAATTGCTTGATCTGGACTCAAAAAGCACCATAACGAGAAGATAAATTTCTTATTGGACTATTTGGCAAAGGGAAACCGAGTGGAATAATTTAGTCGGAAATTGAGATGGTAAAAATCTAATTAGGTGTTGGATCATGAATTGAAAACAAATGATTTGATACTGATTCTTCTAAAAATATCCATCTTGTGGCTAACATAGATCAATAATAAAATTAAATAGGGCTTCAAAAAGAGATCAATTTGTTAATGGAAGAGTAAAGTCTTACCTGAAAATATTGGTTATTAACTCTCAAGTTTTTCGCCTTGTTTCTTCTTCATTTGTACTCAACATTAGATCGGTAATTATACAATAAAATATGAAAATGAAAGATGTGAAACAAACTGTAAACAACTGTTGTGGATAAATTTAGGTGCACAATTTAATAATCAGAGTGTTTTGATTGAAGCTAGTTCAACTATTGATTGGTGACTAAATTACTCGTGCAGTTTTAATCAATAATACTTATGGATTATTTTAAATCCATATTTTCAGGATTGCAATGGTTATTTGGCGGTCGAACTGTTGATCTAAAATGATTGAGTGAAAACCCTAAAATGTAGTTAAATTATAAAAGCTTTAATCAGTCTGACACTATTGCTTTGTATTAATAGTATTATTACATCTAAATTAGATTTGGCTGCATAACATAACTATAACGAGGTCTTGACAAAACAAAACTTTGAGATGATATCCATGTCAAGCTGCTACAGATTAAGAAAGGTATTACGAACCAAACGTTGATAGAGAGGACAAAGTCTTACATGTTGACAATCTTGGCCAGTCTGTATAATATTATTCATAATCTTTAACGATTTACTCTAATTTTAACTCAAAGTTACAGTTCTGTTCACAAAGAAATTAAAACCACAAAATAATTTCCGATGTTAACATTCAAGTATAAAGCAATTGAAATGTTTGGAAACGTCTTGCACATCTAAACACGGAACGTTATGGTAAATAATGGATGAAATATCTTAGGTCAAGAGCACATAATTTCAATGATTTAAGGTTAATTATTTTAGTAACAAGCGATGAAAATAACTTTTTCAATCAGACAATTTATAAGACAATTTACTTACTCAATATCATTAGAATCATCAAAATTTATTGGTTTAGTTGGTAGTAAGGGAAATATGCAACAATGAGTTCATATCAAGAAAATAATGGTTTATTTAATGATTGTTATTTGTCTTTTTGCTAAGCAAAACGATTAGTTTGATCAATTAGACCGGAAGATGAATGAAAAAATTGCATTATGAAATTTAGAAACAATCGTTTAATAAGTTTCATGACATTCAAAATAAAAATCTAATTAGCATGAAATGACATTAAATTTGGGTACATTTTTAATGGTTTTGAGATATCGCTTTGTTTTTCATTCAATATCAAGTTATTCATTAATTGAACGGCCAATAGTATAAATAGTGAGACTTGTTTGAATCAAAATCATTCACAGCTTCAACTGTAAAGTGAACAAATCAAAAATCAATTCAACTTCTTATATCTTGTTAAACAAATCGTCACCAATTGCTCCAATATGCGTCTTTCCCTCATCTTGGTTTTCATCTTTGCTGTTCTCGCCATGATTGGTACCAATGCTGTTGAAGCTGCTGGCAAGAAATCTCCTCCACCCAAGAAGTCTCCACCACCAAAGAAGTCCCCTCCACCAAAGAAACATGGTTAAATGGATTTCCATTGATCCATCTGATCACATCTGGATCTAACAGTGATGATATTTCAGAAAAAAATTAATATATAATAATACAACCCAATAGTGTTAGGACAGTGACAGCAATCATTTATATCCTTTTATATCTGTATCCGTATATTCAAAACTCAAACTGACAATAACTTTCAGCTTACCTTATGATTATTTTTCCAATAAAATGATTTTCTATTAACAAAAGCTAAAAGTGTTTAATCAATCAATTTCGGGTCAAACTGCTTATGGACATTGATGAATAAAACTTTCGATGTTCAATCATGTTCATATGAAGAGTGTTTCAAATCGAGTCATTCTTTTATTTCTCGTGAATCGAACAAGAAATCGAAATTTGAAGTCATAGTTAACCAAAACTTAAGCAAAAAATTATCGATTATTTCTTGTAGACTGTGAAGATTATTTATAGATTTAAATAAAAGAAATTATTTATTTATTTTCTTTATCAAAGAGTATGAATGAGTTGAGAATAGATGCTGAAGAGATGAAAATTTTTACATGAAAATAAAATTTTACAACATTAGCTCACACTGTATGATATGTCATCTGTGGCTTACATGCAGTATGTGTTAAGGTCTGATATTAAAGTCTATTTTGCTCTGCTAGTCGTTCTTTGATTTGTTCCCGTATTGAACGTTGGTCAGCTGCACATGCATTAAAAATGCCTCTAACTATCGCTTGATTTGCTGGATTATCTTTAAGGAGATTGCGAGTGGCCACTATTGCCCATTCCCGAATGAAAGGATTTTGGTAGTCGTAATGAGCAAGATCAAGTATCAATGGTACAGTATCAATTTTGTTGGCTAAATTTTGCATAGCAGGTCGGTTATAAGCAAGATTAGCGATCAAGCGAACCAAATTCTTTTTCATTTGCATTGCAGCTGAAAAACTTGGCGGAAAGTCAATCCTTAATGCCTCTCTCAATGGACTTTGTTTATAAACTTTGTGGATAATTTGAAGAACAGCTGTTAAAATATGATGATAAAATGTAATTAATATAAAATGTAAAATTAATTTAACTTAACATACTTGATGTAAGTTTGAATAGCTCTTCGTCTTCCAGAAAAGAGTATTGACTATGTTCATTGGCAGTCACTTCACAAGCTAATCGAAGTAACGCGAAAATAAGTTCGAAGTTTCTTGGTTTCCTTTCTTGGACTGATTTTTCAATCTTTAAATCAACCAAATTATGTTTAAGCAATCGAAAAATGGGAATCAAATTGTATTCACTGATTCGAGGAGCACGATTCTCAGCGTTATCTTGTGTCAACATATTTGTCATCACATCAATGAAGTTGATGCTGTGTGGAAATAAAAAGTATAAATTTTTGTTACTCTTAATTATTTACTTAATAAAATTTTAGCAATTATTTACCTTCTCTCCATGGGGATATTTTGTAAAAGATCACCGACAGCTACTTGGTGTTCCAAAATACGTTGAAGAATGAAATAGCTGAATAACAAAACAAAAAAGTTTAGGTTAACATTAAGTAAAGAATAAAATTCAACCAGTCAGTTGAACAATTGAAAAAATCTTACCTCCACTCGGAAGGATGATCAGTTCGCAATTCAAAAATAATTCCATCAATCATGGATACTAAGATCGGAAATTCATCCACTACGCTTCTAAAAATGCCATCATCCAACATACAATTATAAATAATAGCAGTAGTAATTTTACGAACTCCAGGACAGTCTGTGTTCAACAGTTTGCTGACGTGAGAAGAAAAAAATGGGTCTGAAATGGAAAGCTCGACAAGCAAAAATATTGTTGATACCGTTGAGTATTGAAATCGAAATTCTGCCAAATGTATCTTTTCATTGGATCACCATCTTGAGATTGGCCACCAACTGCATTAGCTAAAAATTGCAAACAGCATTTTACTGCAATAAGCATTTTATCATGATTTGAATCATTTTCTTCCTCTGTATCATTTGATAATTTATTTGTGTGATATCGTAGCCAACAAATTATTGCATCAAGAAATTTTGTGTTCCTGAAACAAAAGAAAAATATGCAAGTTAGAAAACAAAAGATATCGAAGATTATAAGAAAAGTGAGAGCAAAAAAAAAATACATCGTTACCTAACTAAGAGTTCAATATTACGGGGACTACCGGCACAACAATTTCTCAGCAAACGAAAGATATTTGCATTAATAGAGTAGTGGAAATTCAAATGATCCTTAAGGGTTATATAATCAACTTTACTGAACAGCAGATAGACTTTCTGGATCATGGCATCTTCCAGGGTAATTCGTTTGGCATCTACCTGGTAAGTACGTACGAGTAAATCAATAACAGTATCAAGTACTTGCCAATCCTGCTTTTGACATCCCAAGATACAATTGGTGAGAACCTCTTCAAGAGCCTCAGCTTGGATGGACGTTTCAGCCATCGAGAATTATTAATGACAATGGTGGAAACAGGTGATTAACGATAGATACCAATTGGACATTCACACAAACTGTATAAATAACAATCTAGATTAACTAAATCAACACGAGTTGATGAGGAAAAATTGAAAGCGCCATCTTTTTTTTATCAAACAATCACTAAGCGCGTATTTCAATGAAAATGGATCAAACCAAAGATTGACAATTTTAAATTGTTTATTAACGTAAATTACAAATATTTCAATATCAAATTACAATTTCAATTAAGCCAAATAATTTAAATGAAATATCAAGAAATGAAAAAAAACAGCCAAAAAAGCAGCCATTAAAATGAAGCCAATTACATGACCTTGGACAAGTCTCAATGTTATTACCAAAATTTAGCCAAAGACTTTCAATAGATGGCGATAAAGTAAAATAAATAAAGCATAAAAATGGTTAAATGATTAAAATAATTAAACCCGTTTTATTATTACCAACAGAAACCAATCAATTTACCAGCAAACTTGTAATATTAATTGATATTTAACCGTTTTAAAAGCCGAAAAGAAACCTTACCTAAACAAATTAAGAGCCAATGAAAGGTAATCACTAAAGAGCGTTAAATGTTTAAAAGCAATTTGTAAAAATTGAACCCAAATTTTTAGGTGAATCAAAACTTGGCGACAAACAAATTGTCAAGATCAGTTGATTGATTGAATTGGATAAAAAATTAGGTTAATTTACTTCAATTGGTATAAAGGTTTAGTGAAGTAACAACAACAACAAAAAATAGGGTTAAATAATTAATCAATTAGTTAATTAATTGAGTAAAGAAACAGAGTCTAAACAAGAGAGAGATGAAGCAAGGAGATTGAGTGGCAAAAAAATAGTAACTAAGGATTTACAAGATGAATGAAAGTATCCAAATTAATGTTAATTGAGACAATTAATAATCATTTTAATGTTACCAAAGCCGAGATAGATGGTTAAGTTACTCTTTGACAATTAGTTTTAATCACTCAATTGTTCAACATCAATACTAGCGATAGTTTTAAAGGCAAAAATGTGAGAACGAATAAAAGGATAAATTTTTTTGAAAAAAAACAATCCACTGAAGGAAACTTTATTCAACAATCTAGAACTTGATTTGCGCTGTTATCAGTTCCAAGAAAAAAAGTTGCATCGGATAAAACAATTTTGCAATTTTGCATGAGAAAGAGAGAGAGAGAGAGAGAAGAAGAAGAAGATCAAGCAAGATGAGGTAAAAGATGAGGATGAAGGGTGATGATGAAAGGTAGGAAAAACGGAAAAAGAAGAGCAAAAAATGAATGATAAATGGCGAGCAGAAAGTGTTAGTGAGATAAATGCTCAAAACTATATATATTTGTATTTATATTGTTGGGTGTCGAGTGTTTGGGTCTAACAATGTTAAATATTGTTTTTCGTCGTCATCGTTTTCGTCATGTTTTTTGCGTTTCGTTTGTTAAATGCGGTTTCATTTTGGTAGCGAATTTTTGTCATCACGGTTTTGCGATTTTTTATATCAATTTTCAGGTGAAAAGAGAGTGAAGAGTTTAGGTAAATTGTCATGTATTGTCTTTGAGTGAAACAAGATGAATTTATAAGAAAAATGTCAACATAATGATGATTTTTGTTTGCAATTTTTTACGATCTTGTCATGTTAAGTTTTTTTTGTCGTCTTTTTTGTTATCAAATGTGATTTAAATTAGTTTTTTTGTATCTTTTTTTTTTGCTTCTTTTTTGTTTTTCTTGTATTAATTGTCACTTTTGTTTGCTTTGAAAATTTCTAGTAATTTTTTGGTAAAACTTTTTGCTTTTGTGTTCCACTTTTTCATGGATTTTCAATTTTTTCTTCCTGCTTCAATAATAAGAATTGAGATTTCATCAAACTGCTGTCTCGATACTTTGACTGTTTTCTGAGTCGATACTTCGATTGGTCTTTCGTTTATTGGCCTCCAGTTTATCCTTATCCTCGTCAAAACTAAAACTATGAACCACACTTGAACTTCCACTTGGGTCTCCTGCTAAAGGAGTGCATTTACTTGCTGGTGACATCATGGAGCCAGTGTCAAGGGAAGCTGATTTCATGGCTGCTGCTCGACGGAGGAGCGATTGAGGAGGAGGATTCCTAGAGTCAACACCGCTCCTAAATGCGTTAACAACACGAATCTGGTGATAGAAACAGATGGATCAACAAACAACGGAAAACGAAGGTGAAGATAGAGTAACCCAAAAAGGTTAAGAAAAAGGAAAAGAAAAACAAAAGAGAAAAAAATTAGACAAAAAATTAACCAATAAATTATTAATCAGATAAATAATAATGAAACAAAAATTAATAATAATAATAATAATGATAAGACAAACAAACATTGCATTGAAAAGGTTGTACTTTTTTAGTCTCAAGTTATATTTTTGTTTTAGTGTTTGAGTTGCAGCTGCTTTTGCTGTCCAGCAAATGTAAATATTACATGGGAAATGATTCAATTCAATGGGAAATGGTGAGGAAATGGAAACATAAAAAAAGTATTAATATTAAGAAAAAGGTTAGCAAAGTTGAACGGTCAAGCACACAAAGCGTTGCATAGTTTTTAAACAATCGTTTTGGCCAATATTGATATTGACTGGAAATGCAAACTTTCAAGATTCAGCTTTTGTTACAGATAAACTTTCAGGTGTAATTACGTGAAATTGGTGCGAAATGTACACTCGAGCTTTGATCTTTTTGTAGTTTTTGAACGTTTGAACTAGGAACGTGAAATTGTGATTAAGTGACTTATTTACTGATTGTGATTGTGATTTCTTTCATTTTGTGATTGTGATTAGGAATTGGTGTGCATTGACTGATCTTCAAAGGAAAGTGAGCGATGTTTTCCCTCATCACTTGGCGATAGTTGTGAAGTGCATTGAATACCATTGACGATCAATTCAACATTTTTGTCTAAATACAAAGTTTTAACGAAAAAAATATATACAATAATGATAATGGATTGAATAATGAAACAGATATGAACAACATGAAACACACAAAGAGTGGATAAAATTGAATGATTAGACTGTTTGGATGCAATGGAAAGTGAATGAAAAATGAAATGAAAAATTGAATAAACATGAAATAGTGAATCAAGATTTGTGAGTTTGAAACACTTTTCACAATTTTCTTCCTCTTCTTTCTCCTGGAAACATGAAAATATTTTCAAAGTGCGATGAATAATAATAGCAATAACTGAGAGGCTCATTTGCTCATCATATTATTTCTTGCCTTCCCTGACTTTTGTGTGCTTATTTTTACTTTCAAAGTTTCAAATCTTGCCTTCTGATCATGATGATGATGATGATGATGAAGCTGATGAGGCTGATGAGGCTGATGATGATGAATAACAAGAAAAGGAAGATAGACAAAAATAGAGAGAAAAAGATATAAAAATTGAAATGCATTGCCTAAATAAATAGGATAAAAAAGAAACACAAAGAATAATAACATTTTAATAATAATGAACAATTTGATGAAGATAAGAAAGAATAGTAATGATCCATCCTACATTATCATGAAAATTACTCACCATTCCAATGAAAGATGAAATACCAATGATAATACACAATATTCACAGGTTAATCTTGAGCGCTGAGAAATCACTACGCTCTAAAAGGCTTCTCGGTGTTCCCTAGATGAACCGATTATACGATATATAATTGTATTATTTACGATGAAAATAATTTGTTTCATCTTTTGTTTTGTTTTTTTTTCATTGTAAAATTGTTCCTCGTTCAAAGGAGTGAAAAAGTCAAAGCTGAGTGATCAATTTTCAGGGAGTGTGAAAAGAGAAGGTGATAATGATGATTATATATGTGAATTCATTGTTAACTATACATCATCATTATCATCATCATTCGCTTATTCAAATATTGGGATTGATTTAAAGTAATAAATGGTTCAGGCAAAAGCTTCTTTTGGCTGTTGTCTAAGGGAAAAGGTTAAAGCAAAGGTTAATAATAATGCATTTTGTTTTGTTGTTAGCAATGAAATGAAATCAATTTAAAGGAGAAGAGATGAGAAGACAAAAAAGGATGATGATGAGGAGGATGGAAATGATGGAAAGTGAAAGGTTTGAAAAGGGGGCGAGTTGCAAATGGTTGCAATCAAAAAAGTAAGATGCATTATTGTAATCAACAATTATGAGAGGAGCAAATATTGAAATAAGTTATCATGAATTAAGAGGTGAAATGAATGGAATGGCAAGATAAATTGAAGGTGGAAAAGCAAAAGGATGTCAATTTCCAGAATTGCAAGTGAAATGGAAGCAAAAATGTGAGCGATGTTGACATTTAAAAAGCTGTTTGGACTCAAAGTGTGTGTATCATTGTGTTTGTGTGTGTGTTCTCAGTGTGACAAGATTCGGGTGTTAAGTGTTACAAGCGAGCGAGGACTGTTACTCTCATTTAGTATTCATTAGTGTTTCATGTTTGTGTGACTTGTTATCATTTTTTTGGTTTTACGGTCAATAATAATAACTAAAATTGATCAATTTGGTTAAAGTGAATAAAAATTAAAGATATTGATTGGGAGAAGAAGAAGCTTACAGCTTGATCTGTCGCACTTTTGCTGTAGGGTACAGGAATCAATCGATCCTGCAGTTCACCTCCGATGACCTTTGATGGACGAACATGGACGATGAGAAAGAGAGAGAGGGTAAAGAGACAAAGAAAAAAAAGGGGAAAAATAAAGAGAATAAATGAAAAGGTAAGAAAGAAGGTGAAAAAAGGGTTGAAGGGACGAGGTAAAGAGAAGAAAGAAAGAAAGAGAAATGAACATTTTTACAAAACAAGTGATTCTAGGAATGAATTCAATTGGGTCTGATAAGGTTGAGGGTTCATCCTCATGACAATTGTGTTAGGTTGATCTTCATGAAGGGTAAAAGGAAACTCTAGACGGCGGAAGACGCACTTGTTAGTCAACTTGTCGACTTGGTTAAGGTTTGCGCTATTTTGTTATTACTTTTGGAACTGGTAAATGAGTAATAACAATGTAATTCAATTTGTTTAATTGATTATTATTTGTGTTGTAAATTAAATAATAATAGTAATAATAATAACAACAACTAACAATGTATTACAAGAAAAGAGACAAAAAAATGAAGACATGAAATAAGGAGTCAAAGGATAAATATAAGGTTTGCTTTGCTATATATTTACGGTAACACTTGAGTTTTTTTTATGTTTCAACAATTTAATTAGTCGATCAACTGAATTTACGTTTTTAACAAAGTTGCACTTTAATTGTGTTTTGTATGTTCGTCGACAATGATTTTTTGGGTTTTGCCTTTTGCGTTAGTTGCTCGTTTGGATATGAAAAGAAATGGGATAAAATGTTATGATTGTATTACAATATAAACTAGTCTAAACAACGAAACATTTTTTTTTAAACATTTAACATAATTTCGCATTAAAATGACTGTTAATTGGCAAATTTAAATAAAACTACAAATGTTAATCTAATTTTGTTTTCGTGCTCTTTGTTTTGAGTGTCTTGAGTGTGTTTCGAGTACTTTGTCATTTGTTTACGAGACTCATGTTAACTTTCGCATATAAAACACCATTTATCCGAATCGACTTTTTTTTAGATAACAGCGCTTCCATAACTGACCCTTAAAACCATTAACTTAACGAAACTATGTGGGGCGAATGGTTGAGCACCAATGGTCCGCCTGTTAATATTGATGATTTTGGTTTGAAAGGTTATGATAAAAGGTAAGGAAACAGGTAAGAAATGGGGAGAAAGAAAGAAAATAGAAAAAAAACGTAAAACAAAAATAAAGTAAAAACAGAAACAGAAAATTGGGTGAAAATAAAAAGGGTTACGAGGAGCAACTTGAACCTTAGGCACAATTAATTGATTGAGAATTGGTCAAATCAATTGAATGTCTGCTGACAATACTAATCACTGTTTACCAAACTCTTCAATCATTTTGGATAAGCAGAAGTAAATAACAGAAAATAATGAAAACAAAAAAAACAAAAAGACATGAGAGACAGATGAAAATGTAAAAAGCATGAAATGAAACAACAAAAAATGGGTAACATTTAAGCGCGTATTTTCGGGGTTTTGGTCATTGTGTTTTCAATGTTACCATTTAATCTTTTATCAAAATATTGACTTAATCATGACTTTAGTCTTTGACACTGGACACAGTCCATTGTTATTGTTTACTCCTTTTCAATTTTATGTTTTTCATGTGTACCTTTCGTTGAGATTCAACTTGTGAATAGATGAAAAAGGTTATTGAATGATTGACTCTTTGAATCTTGAATGATAAGAGGTGAGGGATTTTTGCTTTTATTTTGTCTCTTAGTGGTCAGTGAATGGATAAATGTGAATGGTTTCAATTTCAAGAGTGTGCGAGTGAGTGTGTTAATAAGTGATTGTGTGTGAGTGAGTGAGAGGTTTTTATTGAATTTTGAAAAAAGATGAATTTAAATAACAATTGTAAATCGTTTGTCAACCAATTTCTTATATTTTTTGTGTTTGCAAGATTTCGGTTTCTTTTTTTTATTCCTATGATTGAACAAATTGATAAAGATAAAGAGGAGGGAAACAAAGAGTTTTGCTTGTTAGGATTGACCAATTGTCGAGCCACAGCTATCAATTTATTAATTATGATTGAAGACAAAATGATTTAAGGTAAAAGGGTTAAAGGATGGAAACATGATGAAGATGAAAGAGAGATGAATAAAGATGAATGGATAGAAGCAAGGAAAAGATGTAAAGAGGACTGAGCTTTGTTTAATCGTTGTTTTCATTTCATTAAGAGTTTATATTTTAATTCATTGTAAATTGTCGATCTCAATTTAGAATCATTGGGATGATTAATCTATATTCAAATGATTTATTGATAACTAATGAGTATATTTGTTGTTTTCTGGTAAAACTATTATATCACTATAATAGTAATAAATGATCTAGTTAGTTTCGTTTTGTCCCCGGTCCAGAAGAGGAAAGTTACTCAAAGTTATGAGGATTGACCAGAATAAACTGGGAGTGAAGGGAAAAAGGGAAATGTTTGATAAATTATGAAAAGAAGGAAAAAAGGTGGAGAAAAGATTAGATTAAAGGATTTTATTCTTTTGATCCTCATTTTTTTCTCTCTTTTTCTTTCAAGTTAATTAAGGAACACTCATTGACACTTTTCTGTCTCTTGAAATTGGCTGAAATAAGGCGTTGAAGACAGTTAAGCTTCAATATTGACACTAGTCTTGGAATGGTTTTTGTATAGCAATAAATAATATTAATTAATATCTAATACTTAGACTTAATGATGATAAAAAAAGTTTCGTTGTATTGAGATGCGAATTGACTCGACAGACAAAAGGTGATGAGGGATAAAGATGAAGATGGAGAAGGAGAAGGAGAAGGAAGCAAATGAAATGAAGATAAAGGTGAGGAGGAGGAAGGAATTAAAGCAAATTTCAAGTGTGCATTGCGATTCCCTTTAAGATTATAATGTTAATCAATTAGGAGTAAATTGTACGATTATAAATATTGGTAGGAAAACCAGAAAATAGATATTGATAGAAAATGCGAAACATCAATTAATCGTTAAATGAAGCGTTTTTGTTTGTAAATGTCAGCGAAACCGAAGCTCACGTTGGATGTAAAAACAAAAAATAGACAACAAATAACTTGGTTTAAATTTTTTCGTCTCGATATTTTAATATTAATATATTAATATAAATATATATATTAATATATGATAAAAACAAGAAGGGAATGAGGTGGGAGAAGGAAACGGATCTTTTTCATGATCCAACAGAGATTTAAAGATAAATATATATATTTATATTGATAGCAAAGGGTTGAAGAGAGAGAGAGAGAAGAAGAGAAAGATTGGAAGAGAAATGTTCATAATAATAATTAACTGCATATTTTTCATCTTTTTTTACTCAAAGGATGGTGAATTAAAATGTTCATCCTTTCAATTTGTATCTAATAATAAAAATAAACGGAACAAGAAACAAAAAAATTGTTGCAATCGTATTAAAAGCTGTGCATAAAATTTCATTCCTTGAAATTTTGGTTTCAAACTTAAAACTCAATTTTATACAAGCCAACATCAGTTTGAAGGCAGTAATTTTGACGAATCGTCTTCAACAGCATTTTCATTTATTCATGTCACTTTTTGACCGTCATTTGAAGTCACCGAAATTGGATTTTTGTGATGATTTTTTGTTTGTCTTTTGGTTTCTCTTTTTGTTTTATGATCACTGACTAGGGTTGTACAGGGTTTTACACATAAAAAATTCAGTGGATGAAAGGACAGAGGTCACTTCAAGTGCAGTGTACAAAGTATTATCAACTAGAAATTAATTATAACATTAACATTGTTAACTGTGCATAACGGAGTGACTGTCCCATCGATTCACATAAATTTCTGCATTTACCCTGTTCTTTTCCTTTTATATATATTTTTTCATTTGGTTGCTTGTTAAATTGATTACATCAAGTACAAATTAAACTATGACTCTCCATTTATCATGGTTAGCTTGATCAGCATACAGGCGGACAACATAATCATGCTTCTATACTCGTCATGTAATTTTTTTCATTGATGTTAACAGATTTGCTTTTTTTGTTGTGTTTATCAAAAGAAAAAAAAGATTTTTGTTTGTTACTCAAAATTACTTTACTCTCTCAAATGCTTGTTTCATGAATACGACTAGGTTCACTTAGAAGATGATAGCCTTGGACTAGAGGGTTATTTAATGCGGCCTGAGAACGATTATTGCTAGGACCAACGGGTGATGGTGAGGAAGAGCTAATTGATGTTGGGTTAGATCCTATGTTGCCTCCGCCTATCACTGGTTCTCCTGATAATCCGAATGAACGAGACTTTGGTCCACCTGAAGCTGCCAATTGCCAACTAGACAAAGGAGCACTTTTACTTCGTTCTAACTCTCTTTGACGAGCTGATGTCGCTGAATCTACTCTTGCCGACCCTTCTGAGGTTAAGGTTGAACCAGACTCTCCGAAGGGTCCAACCATATTACCAGCCAGTGTTGCCCCACGATGAAGAAGCGGTGGATGACGTCGAGTTGGTTGAATACTAGTGGTGGTGTTGGTTGGTGTGGTGGTGGTGGGAGTAGAAGCATTAGTGGCATGACTGTTGCTATTGGAAAGAGCTGTTGGGTGATCCCTGCTTGAATGGTGCTGGTTCATTTGATCAACTTGTTGTTGGTGTATCTGCTGGTGCAGTTGCTGTTGAGATGGTGCTTTGCTTGAGCAACTGTTGATGCTAAGATCATACGGATAATCGTATAGAGAAGAAGTTTTGTCATCCTCATCGATATACGATATATCGGACATCGGACGAGGACCAGGATGACTACGACTGGTTCTCAGAGAGTGTAAACTATGAATGCTACGTTTGTCTTCCATATCTTCCAAAGTGCTCTTAAAAGCCCTGACTACTCGAAGCTGTTTGTAGGAAGAGAAAAAATAGGGCAGAGGAAAGAGGCAAAGAGCAAGAGGGAAAAATTGGATGATACAATCATCTTCACAACATTTTCGGAGCCTAACAATTATAACTCAAAGCGAGGGCACCGTACATAGCACGTGAGAGAGAGAGAGAGAGTGGGTAAAGCAGATTAATTGATTAACCTAAAAATTAGAGATTCACAGAGAAAAGATATAAATTGTTCCAAGTGAATGAAAAAATTTACACTTGACATTTTCATTGATGCACTTGATGTAATGTTTTTTAGTAAACATAAATTAATAAATAATTTATGCAAAATCAGTTTTAAATGACGGCAGTAATCATCGAGAGCAACTAGATTTAAATTAATGAAACCTGAAATTTCATTTTCACCGCCATTTCAATGAAATGAAAATTTTGCGCAAGAGTTAATCTGTGATTTAAATTAATCTTAAACTTGAAAAGGGTGCATGTCTATTGGGAAATCAATCTTTACTAGCAAATAAATTATTGTGAGCATGACAATGTGCTATTCATGAAGAAATATCGATCTTCTTGAGTTGAATCAAGATACCAGGAAGATTGAACTAAAAGAGTGAGAAGCAAAAGAGATCCCAAAAAAAACTGGTTCTCTTCTCACTTGGAAGAGAATGAAATGTCGATCGATTTCAACTTGCCTCTTTTTTCCCTGACTAATGCTCAGTACCGAGTCGGCTCTGTTTATTTTCTGGTTCTGTATTACCTAAGATTTTTTAAGGTCATGTTAAGGTTATACATGATTTGGGTTCAAAAATTTGATTACCAATTATTAATGAAAACAGAGCAAATTATAATCAACTGGCGATAATAATAGCAGCAATAAAATAATGAAACAAAAAGCAAAGCTAAAGGATGAAGGCAAAAAGTATCAAGTGAGAGTAGCATAAGTAGTAATAGTAAAAGTATAGTAAATAATGATGGAAGTAGCAATGAGCAAAAGTAGTACTAGAAGTTATAATAGTAGTAGTAATAATAATAATAACTTAATAGAGTAAATGCTTATTTCGGCCGATTCTGGTATTCAATAGGTATTAGGATAGCGGAATTAATTGTAAATTTTTCATCATTAGATTTGCATGTTTCTCCTTCTCCAGACTAAGATGTCACAGGCAAGGAAAGGTAACAGATAAGGAAGAGTAGTTGACTGGGAATTGAACAGGTTTATTGTACTGTTGGAGTTTCATTTTTGTCTGTGGTTGGGATTGAACAAAAAACTCTGTCTCAATTGCTTATCAATACAAGTGTTAATGTGTTAATCAAATTAAATGTTATCATTTGTCTTGAATAAATGAAAAGTGTGTGAGTGTTTAAAGTGTGATTTGTGTGAGTATTTTCATACTTGGAAACATAAACAACGAAAAAAAGGTCATTTAGCAAATAAATATTTTGTCCCTTAATTTTGTTATCAATGAGTGCGAGAGTTTAGTGGATAAAAAAGTGTCAATTAGTGTGTATTAGTGTGAAAGAGAAAGAAAGAAGAAAAAGAAAGAGAAAGAGTGGTTTTTTGTCTTTTGTTTAATGTTGTGAGTGTTCGAGGGCATCAAAGTGATTTAAGTGCGTGTGTGTGTATTGAGTTATTACTTGTTTTTTGTCATGGTGTTTTTTAATATAAATTTGTACATATTAAGACAGGGGAACAACGAAATAAATAAAACAAACATTGATCTTGCAATTTACTAATATTTAGTTCGAGAGAGAGAGAGAGAGATCGAAAGATTAGTTTACCCAAATGCATTCTAGTTGAGTTACCTTTGCGTTATTTATATATATATACTTTTTGCGTTTTATATACATATATATGTATATTTATGTTTATGGTTAATTTGATTACGGGTTAAGGTAAGTTTCTCATTTCTCATTAAGAACAGCTTAAAGGTAACAAGAAACAAGAGCAGGATTAAAAGATAGGGATGGAGAAGAAGAAACTATTGAGATTCTTCAAGGGAACAGAGGATGAAGATGAAGATGAAAGATCGTTAATAGGAAGAGAGAGAGGAAGAAAGAAGAACAATTTGAAAGAAAATTGAAAATGATGGTAATTGTTATCCCTATTTGTTGTTTGCTTTAATTTATTATTGGCACTTGTTTACACCCTTACAGTAAACGTTGAGGTTAACGTTCATGTAAGAGGGTTTTTATCATAGTTTTTTGGCTTAGTATTTGTGGGCATTTTAGGAGTTGAAAGGGATTGAATACTTGCTTTTGGTTAAGCTATTATCGAGATACATAACCTGAGATTGACAGAGAACAGGTAAAAGTGCCTTGAGATAAAGCTGATAGAATGCGTTTGCAACAATTTGCTGATTGTTTAGTGAAATACATGCACACGCTAAGGATTGTACGTAAAGGAGGTGAAATGTGTCGTTAGAAACATTTAAGGGAGGATTTTTGGAGCTAAAAGGTGATGAGAGATGATGGAAGAAGGAGAAAGGAAGATGATAGAAGTTGATGATTTTTCAAATTTAGATTCATTAGGATGTAACAAAGAAATCAGAGATTAAATGAAATGTTCATTATCACTGTAATTATTGCAAAAAAAACTCCTCGAGTCTGAAAGGCATAATATTACCAAGGGAACACCAAGCTATATTTTTATCCTCTTATTATAATTCAAGTGTGATTCAATCATCAATAGTCTAAGTTAAATGTTGCCTGGTTTTTTCAACTTTTGTTTTTTTCACTCATTTCTTATTGTTTTTACATTTATTTTGTTTGTTTCTTCATATAATTATAATTATTGTTATTCCAAATAAATCTCTCAAAGTCCTAGAAAATTTTGTGTGTTTCCTCAGCAAAAATTGTCTTAATAATATTCTTGGATGGATTAATAGCTGAAGATGAAGATGATGTAAAGGAAGAGATGGATGAAAGTAGAAGGAGTCAGAAGATGAAGAAGAAGCATAACGAGGAGAGAATCGAGGTCAATTGATTTATCGCTTGCTGTATTTTGTTTGTGAACAATTTTGGGCGATTACAATAGTTATTATTATTATTATTACTATTATTATTTTATCTAACATTGAGTTTGTTATTGATAAAATAGTTGGTTGAAAAAAAAGGAGCTTTGCAAGGTCAACTTAGTCTACCTTTGGTGTTCCCAAAATAAATATTAAAATCAATCTTGAACAAAAAAAGAGCAATGAATCATTGGTATCTCATAATAGCTCAACAGCATTATTTGAAACTGAATTTGCTTTTTGTTCTGTTTGAACAATAAACTCACTGAGGAATTAATTTAATAAAAACAGATGAAAAACAAAACAAAATCTTCAGTTAATTTACTTTCTGTTCTGACCTCATCATACTTAAGTATTTATAACGACAAGAGAAAGATGGAAGAGAAAGAGAGAAGTGAATGGAAAGATGAAAATTTTGGGTGAGAGCATGAATGAGAGAGAGAGATGAGAAGGAAATCGAGGGATGAAAATGATTGAGTTGAAATCAAGTGAAAATGGAAACTAACAAATTAATCTGATTTATATACGAACGCTAGATGGACTGTCTTTTTGTTTTCAATTGCGACTAAATCTGTCTTTTTTTGTGTACGTTTTCAGTTATGTTTCATCAATCTCTGTTTTAAAATGGCTTTAGCAATCAGCCAAAATAAAAATCGACTAAATTTTTTAGGTTTAGTATGATTTTTGTATAACTAAGAGGCATTATCATTATTCTGTGTGGCATTATTAGCCAAAGAGGAAGAGAGTGATGTTTCTGCTTGATTGGTTGACGAGCTTGGTGCTGTTGTTGATAGTGCTGTAGTGTTAGCTGAAGTTGCTGTAGCTGGAGCAGATCCGACAACGTTGCCAACGTTACCGTGACCGCTGCTGTTGCTGCTGCTGCTGACGCCGCCGCCGCCGCCGCCGCTACTGCTGCTGCTACCAGCGACTCCAATTGCACCGGGCCCGGGAACCGATGTGGCACCAGTGGGGGACGTAGGTGACCCTACACTGAGTCTTTTAAGACCTAATTGCTGTGCTTGGTGCTGTGCCTGGGACACAGTCTGGTTGTGGAGTTGGATCAGACATACCTGGGTCTGTAGCCTGGTTAAACCACGGATCCAGAGGATCTGTCCAGTTCGTTTAACATCCTGTGATAAAGATCCGCTGGAACCATCTTCCACAAGTGAACTTCGAGCAGCCATAATATCTTCTGGTGTTCCACTTCCCCATGTAAATTTTTTTGGTATCCTTTTGGTTGGCAGGGTTGTAATTAATTGACCCCAAACAAGGACGCCAACTCCGAAAAATATGCACCAAAGCCATTGTTCTAATGATAACCTTGCTGTAGAAAAAGCTCGTCCACCGAACTGTACAATTATTATCTACAGAAAACGAAGGAAATGAAGAGAAAAGAAAGAATAAAAAATATTACAATCAATGGAATCAATCTTTTTCTTCTTATTGCTTCATTTCTTTGACAATCTTTTTTTTGTTATTCTCGCCTCTCTATTGTTCACCAACAGAATCATCAAAATGGAAAGCAATAAAATATATATTTATTAGATAATGAGTAGAATACCTGAGCACCCGCGGTGATGAATAAAATGGAATAGAATATGGGATTGGTGAAAAGACCTTCAAAGATGTTTCGTTCCCCATGAATTTTACGGGAATTGATCTCATTGAATAATGTCATCATTACGAAAGTATTGAAAATGATAGTAAAATGTTGCGATGGTGGCGCATTCAATGGAGCATACATTCCAGAGTCGATATCAAAAAATTTATCACCTATTTGAAAGAAGAATTGAAAAGAGAAGAAGAAAAGAGTTGTAAATGGAGAGAAAGAGAAAATTAACTTTTGAAACTTTTCTCATTTTGTGGTGAAAGAGCAAAGTGTAAAAAAAAAGTGATTACAATTGGGAATGAAAATGGTTTAGTCAAATGGTTTATAATGCAAAAAGGCACAAGAAAAGGGTATGAAAATTGCATAGATAATGAAATACAGTAACAGTTTGATAAATCATCTTTAATTGATTACATTCTTGGGTTACCCAAAGGATTGTCATCAAAAGTAGAGATGAAAAAAAATTGGTTCTGTATTTTTTTGTGCTTTTCAATGATGGCAATAACAAGAGCAAAAAAATAAGCTTCAACCTTAACAATAAGATTATCATTTTTACTATTCAATGTAATGAAAGTAAAGATGAAGAGAGAGAGAGAAAAAAATGTTCAATATGAATAAAATGGATGAAAAGAGGACAGAAAAAGAACAAGAATGGAAAAAGAGGAGAAAAAAAGTTCTGAAACTGATTCAAGAACCGGAAATAAAATAGTGGGATGGATTTTGGAATCGAGGTAAAGGAAGTAAATACTGGGAATAGGAATTGTTGATTGGATTTATTGCTCTTTTCGGTTCAACTTTTTTCTATCAACTTGCTCAGTTTGATATTGGAATCATGAATGATAATTACCTCCAAATAAAAGAAAAAAGATTATTATTAATTGATAAATAGCATGGCCTAGAATATTTTTAAACATAGTTCTCGATATGAGAGGTTTAGTCCGTCCATAGGGTTTACGTAAGAGCAAGGCTGGTGTTGGCATTTCCGTTGCTAGTGCTAAAGAGGCTAAAGTATCCATAATTAAGTTAACCCAAAGCATTTGTACAGCTTTCAGTGGACTGTCCTGTGGTCATCATAAGTGTATAACAGGTGTAGATGTAACATGAAAAGAGAGAGAGAAACGAAATGATTAATAATTTTTTTCCTTTTCACTTTTGTAACTTCTTTTTGGAGAGAGAAGAAGCAAAAAAATATTTCAAAATATTAATCAATTGGTACAGAGAATCAGACTGGCATCAATCATGTCAAATAACATCGAAATTGAAAATTCATGATTGTTAATCATCTGGTGTTATAATCTGATTACTTCAAGACTAATATAGCAATAGATTGATATCCTTTTTATTGCCAACACTAAGTGGGTATTACATGTGTTATAACAAAATGCTGCTAGCTGACGTTGGTTTTTTTTCAATAAAACTGGGTCAAGCATAATTGGCTTTGAGATATTAATCAATTTGACAATCATTGAGAAGGAAAAGAAAGGTTAACATGAAAATTTATTGTAGCTGACATGAAAGGCTAGGAAAAAAGGAACAAGCAAAAAGTTTCATTGAAAAGGTAACGTTTTGTCTGAGCAATTTCATTTTTTTGTTTTTTTCTCTGAAATATATTGAAAGGTTTTCAAGTTGACAGAAGCACTTACTTCAATAGCACAAGCACCAACAAAGGCTACAATAACGGCAACAACATTAACGGTAAGTTGAAACTGTAAAAATTTGGCAATACTATCGTAAACGTTTCGTCCCCACATAACGGCTTTAACAATGCTGGAGAAGTTATCGTCAGTCAATATAATATCAGAGGCTTCCTTGGCTACATCGGTTCCAGCCATTCCCATGGCAAAACCGACATCAGCCTTTTTCAATGCAGGCCCATCATTGGTACCATCACCGGTAACCGCGACAACCTCACGGTTAGGGTTAAGTTTACTTTCAATTATATGCTTCACTAAAATATATTTGTCTGAGGGCGATGATCGTGCTAATACACGTAAACGAGGCCAAACTTTATCAAACAGGGCCTGTTGAACCTGTCCCGCTGAATCGCGAATACGCTTGTTAAACTCTTTACCCTCCAAAACAATAAACTCTTCACCCGGTTTAATAATACCACATTTCATGGCAATTGATCGCGCTGTATTGACATTATCACCAGTTACCATGCGAACTGTTATACCTGCCCTTTGACATTTACGAATTGCATCAGGGACCTGCAGAAAAAAAGGGTTGAATGAAAGGATAAAAAAAGAGAGAAAAGCCAGAAAAGATTAAATGATTGTAAAGATAGCAATTTAATTTCAAACCCAATAATAATGATCGTGAAACAAGCAGAATAATTTTATTCCAAGTTGTCTGTCAATAGATTTGTTTGTGAACCGTTCAACATGCGCCGTTGTAAATTTACTATTTATATTATCATTGTTATGAGATTGTTTTGCATTATTAAATGAAATTTTATGTGTTCACCACTGGTAAATGGTAAAACAATGGAGCAATCAAATAAAGGGTTTCATGGTTGCTTAAATTGCAAGCAAAATAAAGGTTATTTAGTTGTGCATCTGTTTTAATCAGTAACACATCATCATCATCAACATAATTATTAACATAATAATCATCATCATCATCATCTATAAATAGCACGTTTCACGTTCAGTAGTCCATTGATAATTTAATGGATTCTCTCATTGATTATCTTTCCTTTTAATGTACAAAAGCTTACCTCAGGTCGGACGGGATCTTCGATGCCAAGTATACAGAGACATGTTAATCGAGAGATGATAAAATCTTCATCTTCCCAATTTGGCTCTGTTTCGATTTGAACCTCATTTGAGGCTCGAGGCTTGCGCTTAACAAAATCCTTAAATGCTACGGAAATGGTTCGTAAACCATAACTGGCCATTGGTTCAATTACATCATTAACCATTCTATCTTGATCTTCTTTCGAAAATCTTTCCACTTTTCCTCCCTTTCCATAGATAAACATACACCTTTTCAAGACTATTTCAGAGGCTCCTTTTGTGAAAACACGAAAACCATCAGGGATTCGAATGACCGTGCTCATCGATTTACGGACTGAATTAAAAGTATACACTTTGTACAATTTATCCTCCGGAATTTCATCCCGTTTGGTTTGATAGTCTTTTCCAAGGGCAAGAACAAAGCCCAATAAAGCGCACTCGGTTTTATTACCAACATGTTTGGGAAGCTCACCAGGATTATCAGGAGGCTGAACAAAAAAAAACGAAAAAAAACGACAAGAATTATTAATCAAATAAAACATCAAGAGTTAAAATTGGTTCATCGTTGCTACAAAACGTTCAATATATTGATAATTGAGGAAAGTTGGTGAAGAGGAAACAAAATGTACAGTTGAATCTAAATTAAAATCAAAATACCATTGAACAGTTTTCTGAACTTTTATCCATTTTCAATCTTTTTTTTCTTAAATTGCCGTCTTTAAGTTGAATAACTTTTTGTTTACTTCCTTTCAACAGATTATTGCTTTTCTCTCGTTTACCTTTGGATATTTTATTATAAATAATAAGAAATGTCAAAAAAGGAGTGAGATTTATGAGTGAATTGCCATTAAGAGAATACCTATAAACAATGATTGATAATCAACAGCGATTTGATAGATCAGGACAGTTTATTTTGTAATAGATGATGAAAAGTATATTGTATTGAGATGTTTTTTTTGTTAATAGCGTTCATCAGCCTTAACCTAAGGGCTTCCAATGTATCAAGTAATTGAGTCTTCCCTTTGTCCCAATAGATATTGTCCTTTTAGATCATCTCAAGAATGGTTTGTGTGTTTTTATGCAATCATATTAATCGGAAAATGAGTTTAAAATCAACAATAAAGCAGTCAAAATATGCAAACAAATGACATGAAAATTGAGTTTGTGATTAAAGAAAAGAAAGAGGAAAATACTGTTCAATACTTTGAGATTGTCAAGTCATCAAGTATCATGTAACTAGGTTGAAGTACAGAATGAAAGGTTATAAAAAGGAGAGAGAAAGTGAATAACAAGGAAACAATGAGGTTTCTAAGTTGAAATAAATGAGCTGAAAATAGATATTCAAGTAAATGAAGAGAATGAAAAGTTGAAGCTAGAAATTGATAAATTATTGCATTCAATAATTTTACCAGAGTTATTTGGGTGCAAACCTGGTTGAGTGTTGAAGGAGAGAAGCAGGGAAAAAAAGGTTAACCCAAAGATGAGATGAAAAGGTAAGTCAGCAAAGTGAAAATGGGAATAAAAAAATGAGGTAAAGGAAAGACAAGAAGGAAAAGATGAAGATGATGATTAGATGATAAGCAAGGAATTGATTAGATATAAAGTGTAGAGGATTGCTGTTAACTTCAACAGCAATCTATTCCATAGGAATTTACTGTTGAAAAGGATCAATGGTGGGCTACCTTTTCATTCCAAGATGGCCTGAATCTCTTTACCTTCTTTCTTTTCATCATTTTCCTCTTTCCTTCCTTTCTCTTTCTCACCTTTTCTCTTGACTCTCTTTTTTTTCTAGGTTACATAAAAATCAATATTGGCCTCAAAATGATTCTATTTTTAGCTGACATGCAAGTCCAGGTAAAGCGCCTTGATTCAATGAAAATGTTATCTGAATAGAAAGAGATGAAAGTAGAGACGAAGTGAGCATGAAGAGAAGACAAAAAGAGAGAGAGAGGAAAGAAAGATACAAGGTCAGGTCAAGTCTCGATTCACAAATAATCCGAAATGAAATAAACGATGAATTATCAGCCTATCAAAAAGGATCGTTTGCTCAAACTCAATTATGCTTATGCAAACTGAATCACTCAATTAATCTGTAATAGAGCAAAATGTCCCAAAAAACTGGTAACATGAAAAACTATTAATTATTTATTAATAATAATCATTTCTATGAACACATTTTTCACCCAATTGTTCAGTTTTTTCTTCTTCTTCTGATTTTCTCTCGTTTTTAATCTTTTATAGATCTTTTTATTCAATTTTGAAACAATTTTCCAGCTTATTTTCACGCGTTTTTTGTTCACTCTTTTAGCTAAAAATATTATTACATTTGGTGGTTGTAAAAGGTTGAAAAATATTTAACAATAACACAAATTGAGCTTGTAAGAGACTATTGTATTTACTTTGTCAATATTCATGAGACCTTGGAGTTGCTCATACTATTCAGATTGAATCAATGTTGACAGCTCAGTCTACTTGATTCGTCAAGGCAATCAATTTAAAGGTATCATCAAGTAATTCAATACCGCTCAAGACAAGAATAAGGAAGATAAAAATGGAGAGAGAAAACGATCAACTGGAAAAAAAGAGTAAAAACGTCAGCTTCGTACGTCAGAGAGTTTTAAGTAAGTTTGAAGTGCAAAAATATAAAGAAAGGAAACACTTTTCGTTTCCTTTCAAATATTCATTATAAGATAGTGATTGAAATTGCAAGTTTCAAATGAAACGTTTCCTTTAATAATTAGAGAAAAGTTACTGATTAGTTATTCAACTTGATATCAATGCAAATGATTGATTCCTCTTTCAACTCGCAACCAACAATTGAAATGCAATAAAATTATTTCATGACGACGATCATCGTAATAATAAAAAAAACACAACAACAATATCAGCCTTAAGGCAATATAAATAGAGAACACATTCTAATAATTTGGGTTAAGAGAAGTACAAGAAAATATCAATAAAAAAGATGAAGATGATTGGAAAGATAACCTGCAAGTTAGCACGTTCATGATGAGCAATGAATATTATCATGATCTTGTAAAGGTAAATGGATGGTTATCTGGGCGCAAAGTGATGATAACCAAATAAAATCAATGTAATGTTAGTTAACAAGAAACGAGGTTTTAGCTGATGAAACCTAAATCAAGCACAGAAAGCAAATTCAGTTGTTACTCAGGCGCATAAAGAGTGAGAAAAATGAGAAGATAAGGGATGAGGAAAAGCATCGATATTTGTGTAGACCAGTGTAGACTTGAACAAGGAGGTTAAACTTGTGAGTGATGCTTGGTTCCTTGGGAAGGAGTGACTGGGAAGGGTAGAAAGGAGGAAAAGATAAAAGAAACTGGATAGGATAAAAAGGAGAGAGAGAGAGAGAGAAAAAAAGTTGATGATTATGATGATGGTGATGATGATGAGTATGAAAGGATGAACAAGGGGAACATCAGAACATTCAGGGAAAAAGAGTATTCCTGAGTATGCCTTTCATTTGTATCCATCAAGATATTGATTTTCCCTCATCTTTTTTCTTTCCTGTTTTCTGTTAAGATTCAACGATGGCCCGGATCAACAACAAATATAATGGTGTGTCAACATATATTTTTTTCAAATGCTTAAGGCAAAAATGCATGGAAAGATAAACGCAGTCCATAACCTTTTATCCGCCCTCAACATTCAATTTCAGTATCACAATCACAATCATTCTCATCTTCATCAACAACAACATTATCATTTTAGCCATGAAAAGAGAAACATCACAGTCAACATGATACAATGAGGAAGAGAGAGAAAGAGAAGAAGAGAGAAGATGAAAAGGTTAAAAAATAAGCTCTTCTCTTATACTTTTTGTTATTTTCGGTTGAACAAGTTTTGAGTCAAAAAACAATTCTGCTAAAGTGATTTTCAGCGAAGACGAAAAGCTTATTTTTTCACATTTTTTTCTCTTTTTCTCATCACCAAGAAGCTGTTATCTTGCAAAGGCACAGTAAGGCGACTATCATGAAAACAAAGAATCAGAAGAATCGAGTTTTAAGAGGGAAAACAATGAAAGTAAACAAATCTTTTTCCTGGAAAGACAAAAATTTGACCGAGAAAAAAAAAGTTTGGTCCGTTTAAAGAGTAAAGCAGAAAGTGTTCAAAGTTGAAGGTATAACAAGAACTTTTCTTGTCATTCTTATGGTTCCTCTCTTTTTCATATTTTTCATTCTCAATTTTGAAGGTAAAAATGACAGAAGCAGATATTTTTGTAATCAAGAAAGTTTAATTCATTGTTCACTGAAAAGGAGAAACAGAGAAAGGTTGAATTATAATGAAAAATTTATTATTCTTATCATGAGTTTAAAAATGAACTTTATAATCTTATTGGTTAGCCTTATGCAATTTAACTGGAGAAGAGAGAAAAAAATAATATCATTATTGAAATGAAGTTGCAAGTGACAGGAGTCGATTTACGTCATGATTTTTTTGCTTCATTTCAAATCATCAGATCATATTTCCATGTTATTTTACCATGTTGACTATTTCAACCATTATTTATTCTTGTAAACTAGGAAAGGTCAAATTTGCCCTCAATTTGATGGGATAAAGGGTCTACTTACATTGTAGACATAATTCAATGCAAATTCAGTATTATTCAATGAATACAGAAATAGTTGAACCATGAGAGGTTGGAATTAGACAAAACACTTTTTTACAATAACAAGTAAACACAGGGAAGAAAGAAAACAAATCTTGTATATTACTTAATTCAGAACTTTCGATGAAACTATCATTTTAAGTTCAACTGCAAGTTTATTTATTTTAAAATTGCAAGTTTTACTCCAAGATATTTATCGTTGATAATAATATCTATTATTTTGGTTCAACAAAAGTTGTTGGTTTATCCTTATTAAAATCATACTTTTTACACCATTTTTTCATTCCAATTGCACTTTTCAGGTTTTTATTTCTTCCTGTCGCTCAGGTTTTGTTTTGATTAGAGAAGAAAAAATTTGAATACAAAATAATAATTCAATGCATTTTGAAATGAATTTTTGCGTAACATGATGTACAGAAATAATCTAATTATTGTAGAGATTGATATTGAAAATGGGTTTTTCACCTTATTTTTTCTTCGAATTGTCATTCTTCAATCTTTCATATTCAGATAACTTTCATCTCATGAGAAATTGTGAGAGGAAAATGGGAAAATAAAAATTCCAACAATGGAAAATTTCTTATCATCTGTAATCAGATTCAATTTTATCACAGTTCAACATCAGTGATACAATGTTACTGTTAAGATGAGGAAAAATTGAAAAGCAAAAATGATGCAAAAAAAGACAAACAAATAACTAATAATGACATTCAATATTTGATGTGAAGAGTGAATTGTTTTTACATTTAAAAATGTCGATTGAAATGTTTTCAATACAAAATTGATTCAAAGGCTGGCAATGAAAATAACGATTAAACATGAATATGAAGAAATGATATCATTAAAAATGAGGCAAAA